GACAGAATAACAGTGTCAACAAATACAATCATCCCGGGTTCCTGACCGCCCTCCCCGGAGAGGTAGTCTCCTTTGACTCGTCCTTGTCGTGGAATTTTTAGGTCCCCTATACTACCCCTATACTACTGGATATGCAGCAACCTTGCCCATCCATGTTCGTAGAGCGTGAAGAAAAGCACTGAGAACTGGTCTACAACTATCGATCATCTTGTGCTTCTTATATCCCATGTTGGTCGCCTGAGACATCTACTGCCCTTCATACTCACCAATGCGACTCGCGCACGAGCCAACTGACCGGACATTGAAATGAGGGGTAAGATTAGTTCCTGTCAAAACTTTCGCAGGCCAAGGAACCAGTTTTCTTCAAGGGTATGCAGTCATGTCTAGATACAAGTGAGGCTACGCGTTGGAGCAACGTAAGAGCTTATATTGTTTTGCTCGTTATATGTCCATATTCACGCAATGAGTGACAAAGTATTCTGTCATGCGAGAACAGGATACCTATGCTGTTGAATCGCAAAAGGCGGTACAACTGTGGTCACCCCCTCGAGTTACTATAATAAGATATGCCGACATCGTAGAGCTCCACGTTTCCCAATGTTGCCGCGGGGTTCGCATCATGAAGCATATCCAATGGAGTCCACTCAATGGGTTCATTTGATGAGTTCATTCGCTGGGTTCATTCAATAGGTTCAGTCGATAGGTTCATTTGACAGGTTCATATATAGGCTGAACACTATGAAAACCTCAATCGAGACAAGGGTTAATCAAGCAAGTAACCATGACGATCTTACTCAGCCATACTCCTCAAGCAAAGTCATCGGCAGTGATTAGACACCGCTCGCTAACACGCTGTCCCGTAAGTTATGAGTACACCGTGTCGATAGTTGGAGCACACCGTCTCATAATTTGTTGAGACTTTCAACCGACACATCATCGACGCTAATATACTTTGACATTATTGGCTTGAGAGTGGAAACAGTGCGCAATACCCAGAGAGTATCTCTTTTAAGATTTCAGGGGGTTGACACGAAGGAGAGAAAAAGGCTCGAGGAGAGTATGGAGCGGATATAAACTCCCTCTTCCCCCCCGTCTTTTGATCATGGACTAGTCAACTCAAGCACATTTCAGTAGGAGACTTCGTTGGTCGACAGGGTTTCGTACGATAGAAGTTGTGTTTTTCGCAAGCTACAATGTCTTCGGCGACGACGACGGGCGCAGTGCATGGAGGTGACTCGCTATGTATCAGGTAACATCTCGCTCTATTCATGTATCTTACCCTTCACAAGTATCCTATCATACAAAACAAGAATTGTTGAATCTCCAACGGTATCAGATTCAAGCAACTAACGTCTGCTTGGCTAGTGCGGAACCGTATATAAGCAAGACAGCCTACGGGATCATGGTAGCCAACACCAAAACGACCAAGGACGAACAGTTGGAAATGCGTGAAGCCGAGCTACAAAGGTGTCTCTCTTCGCCAGACCAACCGTATACTACTCTCCGGAACAAGAAGCCGCGCAGAGACGAGAAATGATGTCCTCGAGGACACAGAGGAGGTGAGGGTGCAGAATAACCACTGCGCTGAAGACAACGCTGACAAAACGCATAGAGGGTACGCAGAGAACGGCACATCGAACAATCAACTTGTTTCTGAAGTCGAACTATAATGGAATGTCGGCACAGTGTTGCCGACATAAATTCAATTCTATATAACGCTGCTTAGCAGCACAAGTTTGACTTTGGATCTCTTCTATTCTCGGGAATGTGTGTGGCGGGCGAGATACTATCCAGCCCAATCTAATATAAATATGGATGAAGCGAACAGTATCTCTAATATTTCGGGGGAAGCTTGTGTGCCTCAGATAGAAGTTAATATTTCATAAATAAAATAATTGGATGATATATAACGGATAATGAATAATGCGAGGCACAACTACGAAATGACACAAAACAACGGCGTCATCATGACTTCCAAAAACAATTCCATACAGATCATCCTTTCAAGGACTACGCATGCCACATCAGCTTGCGATGCCCTCCAAAACTTGTAGATGCATATCCCTCGCTCGCAATGGCCTGGTACGCGTTGCAGGACCCGATGAGCGAAGATGGCGTTTTCGAAAGTATCGCCGTACAAACGGGTATGCTGCAGAACACCCGCCCTAAAGGCGGCAGTGTCCACAGTAACCTTACTCGTGGCAGCCCTAGCCCTAGACCGATGTCTAGAAATAACCGTGCGTTTTGGGGGCTAGATGCTCTGAGCAGTGACCGTAGCGCAGCCATCGAGCAGCAACCAAAACAGGCGATATGCGTTTTGCGCCACCATTATTAATTTTTGCCCATGTTACTTGCCCCACACCACTCTCGGTGAGAGATCCAAAAGCTATATCCTCATTTCGGAGTCTGCGGGCATGGATGTGGACATCAGGGTGATAAAACGCTATCGACAGTGATGGAGCTGAGGTCGCTTAGAAAGTGATACCACGGATTGGGACTAGCGCATTCGGCGAGGTGGTGCCAAAGTAACGGATCAGACCGCACTTAGTGCGGAGTTGGTGATGTAACATCCTGGCGTACCAGAATGTCGGGACTGACTCGCTCATCTCACGAGCCCCCCATGCCACGCGCCGAGCAAGAATCCCGGCGTGCTGGGTTGGCGCACGAAAAGCCGCTCCACTGGGTCGTGGGGGCTGTTAATAACCACGTATATGGCAGTTGCGTACCATCCGGCACACGATCTCTCTCACCACAACTGCAAAGCGAGATAATTCAAAAAAGGGGCGGTGTCATCTCAGGGGATTAAACCCGCGGAGGTGGTGCAGAGATTTTATTCCTGTTGCAGAGACCATTCTCTAATGGTGGCAATAACAACAGCGCCAGCACGAGAGCATGCGCTGGACCTGTCTATATTTTGTGGGCTGAGTGGCCCACTCAAACCACAAAATATAGACAGGGTCATACACAGCTTCCTGCAAGTGCTCGAGTACGGAGTAGATCTAAGGCTGAGCAACAGACCTGCTACAGACCCGCAGAATAAATCTTGCTTCCCTCCACTACAGCCCTGGTAGAACAAAACAAAACAAAACAAAAAAAAAAAAAAAAAAAAAAAAAAAAAAAACACGACACGCACCATCACCATATGCATATGCAGTCCAAACACGTTACACGCACCCACAACTCGAAATTGAAACTGACTCGTCCTTTTAAACGGGGAGTATCATAACATCGCAGCTATCAAGGGTGGGGCGCCACGGAAGTGACTGACAAATTCGTGGTCGGGGTGACCATTTCCTTCACCCCCTATGAACATTTTGGGAACGATGGGTCCAGGGAAGGTGGGAAATGAGATTACTCCCTGCACGTTTTGGGAACGATGGCCCCAGGGTGGGGAGCAGATTTGGTCTCCCCTACCCCTGCACGATTGAAAAAGACTGACCCCGGGGGCGGGGGAGACCCCCTCTCCCCTGGATGATCTTAACAGGCTGACTATGGGAATGATGAGGAGGCAGAATGTCTCATGCAAGGGGGCACCACATCGTGTGATCCTTTGAAGATTTGCAGATTTTATGTGCAGTGGTGATTACGATGCGGGCCACTCAGCCTCGCAATTCCGGAACGCTGGTTACCAACCAATCGACGAATTTACTGGGTGAAACATTCGCTCATGCGACGAGTCACGGAAGAAGAGTTATTGGTGTAAGGTTGGAAGGGTGGCGTGCCGTCGGCTTGGTTCCCACCCAGGACACTTCCCGAGCGGCGGTTTGCTCATCTCGGTTTCAAAGACGGTCTCGCCCGTCCATCCAAGACCGCCTGCAACATTTACACACCTATCTAATTCACTATCAAATTCACAAGTACGGTCAAGAAAGGGTGGCGTGTCGTTAGCCCGGCTCTTCCCCGAGTCCTTCCCGTGCAGTTTTCTCATCTCATCTCGGCTTCGGAGCCGGCCCCACCAACGCATCCAAAATCAGCCGCATTCCAGTCACAGCCACGGGCCGGGAAAAAAGTATGGCGTGGGCGATGACTGCTAACCGACGCGACGCGGCTCGGATACTTGATTTCCAGTTCCCTCTTTCTTCTCTCCATCCACCTCCATACACACCCACCCCAAAAACACTCAATTATTCATTCATAGAGTGAGACTGTTCACGATTTATCGCATCGACAAAATAGAAATAGTTCATTACCATGAAGGCTTATCCTTTGTTACTTGATTTAGAGGACATGTCATCATAATGCCAGGGCCCAAGTACCCCGCGGCACTTATTGGCGGGGCGTTCCCGCTTCCCGCCAAGGTTCCAAATGATAAGTGATAATGCTTCGTCTCGATTAACTAGCACTGTCCCCTACTTACTTAATACACGTGGTATGGACCAGTGTGAAGATCGACATTTTGAGTTGATACAATGACCAGCTGGGGCAAGGCAGGGATGCACAATGATGGCATCTAGAACAAGGCACCCGGATGGCAATTATGCCACCATGAATATAGCGTCTCAGCAGTATGCAAGAGTTGCCAAGTTCATACATCACTGAAGATCTACCCTTTCACTTTCATTTTTATAACAAACACCAAAATTCCGCACATATCAGTCACTCAGATCTACGCTCGGCTGTACTCTCTTCACGATCTCCATCAACTCAAGCCAACCTAGGGAATTACCCACGCATGGCTGAACTCATCGGATTCGGCCTCTCGGCCTCAGACAAACTAATCGACAAACTCACCTCCCCAATGGGAAAAGACATACCCTACATCACCGAAAAACTACACGCCCAAACCGGAACAAATACCGAGCACAACCCCCACCGCCGCTTCCGATCTCCAGACTCAGACCCAGACTCTTCCTACTCCTCTGACACCCGCACCTGCCGCTCCCATCACGACAACAGCAGATCGAGGCACAAAAACACGAGAGACAGAGATAGCCACGCTGAGAGGCCGAGACGTCAGCGCGCCGCGGATATGAGGGAAGACTCGCCCCCAAATTCGAGACATGTACACGTTGCCTCTCTGCCTCCGCAACGCCCGGGGTTTGTCACGCGGGGGAGTCAGTCGCAGTGTGCACCGCGGAGGGCGTCAAGGCGCGGGGACGAGAGGCGCGGGAGTACGGACAGAAGAGGAAGCAGGAGCAGGAGCAACTCCTCAGAAGGCATCGCTGAGCGCTTTATGGAACCCCGTAGCGAGAGGTGCGATGGGCATAGCAGTTGGGGGTGTGCTGGCGAAGCAGGCAGTTAAGGCAGGGGATAAATGGAAGGAGAGGAGGAAGGGGGATGGAAAGGGAGAGCATAAAGCGAAGGGTCATGCTGATGACGAGATACTTGTGACACTCGCCGGGATGGCCCTGGGGGGAGTTGGGTTGTTATCTGTAGGGGACAAGTATAAGGAGAAGAAGAAAAAGAGGAGAGGGAAGAGAGGCATTTGAGGGACAAGGCAAGGTGGGAGAGAGCGGAGGGGAAGAAGGAAGAGATAGAGAGGGAGAGGAATACACGGGAGTGGGTTGAGGGGAACAGGGATGGGGAGGTAGAGAGGTATATGCGGGGGGAGAAGAGAGCGGAGGAGGGGCGTTGTGGGGGATTTTACGACAGGAGGGAAACATATGACGACGTGTGGAGAAGGACATGGATATGATGATAGGAGACGGGAAAGATGATTCCCGCAGCTAATATAACTGAAGATCTAGCTACTTGTGGCGATATACCCCCTTTATGAGGATAGATTTGTGCCCATGAATGCCGTTGCATGGCTAGACACGATCCATCCCCTCCCAAACGTTTAGGCAATAAAGCTGCCCCAACATTGTCGTCTAGAAGACAACTGGTAGGAGAGGTAAGGGTGTTGCCTATATCACTTCGAGCGCCCTAGGGACTTGGAGGAGGCGCCCCCCCAATAACTGAGCTTAGAATCCCACCGAGAATTACCTAGACCACTTATAAGCTGGCGAGGTAGAATCAGTGCCGCAAAGATGACGGGGAGAAGAACGATGAGCGAAGCAAGGCGTAGTTGCATGGTTCTGTGATATATATTGTGAGATTGGGATTATAGGGGTTGGTAGTAAGTGAATGCTTACGCTAGTAGTTGAGCGTGTCATAGGAAGGGAGGTAATAGATGGGATTTAATTGTAGTTGTAGTATTGGCAATAAGTGTATTTTTTAGACGAGAGTCCAATGCTACTTATGTGGGTTTCCGCCATGTATTTATACAATCTGTTGTCATACAAGCCTGGGCTGAATAGCACTTTCTTAGACACTAAGTAATGATTGCTAATATTGTTGTCTTTGTCCTCTCTATGGCGTTATTGCGGCAATATTGTTCCACATGTCTTTGCCTAGCTACGATACCACAAGACACTACAATCGCTATAGCGCTAGTAGACACAGCACTCCTAGGCGCGGTCCTCTCCCCTCCAAAAATATCATTCTACAATAATCTGACCGGGAGAAGAACGATGACGAGCGAGGCGAGATGGAACTGCATGGTTCGTTCTATGATATAGATTGTGTTTTTTATACTATTAAAAACAAATATTATTATCACCAAACATAAAAACTACAAACTCTTCTGCCCTCCTATTACAAAACCCACAATACCATTCGACTCCCCTTGCAATATTACTACCTCAACCATACTATACCCTTCTCCTATATGTGTGCTCAAAATTCGGCGTCCCTTCTTACAATATAACCCCCCCTTTTTTTCTATGAAATATGATAATATCTTTACCATCTTAATTGAAATCTACAAACGGACTTCGCCATTGCATTTCCACGCCAAAACTACCCTATATAACATTCTCGCTGCTTATATACTTAAACTGCGAATATTACAATTACCCTCTTATAATGACCCCCTTCCATTTCCATGAAAAATATCAATATCTTCTCCAATACTAATCCAATCTATAAACTGACCCCGCCACTGTATTTCTATGCTAAATATACCCTATAAACCATTATCGCTGCACACTTTGTATATAAACCACAAATGTTGCGCCTTACTAAACCCTCCATCACCAACCTATACCACCCTACAACGAAATATGACAATGTTTTGCCCAATATTGCTCTGATTCACAACGGACTTCGTCATTGCATTTCCACACCAAAACTACCCTATATAATATTATCGCTGCATACTTACTACATGAAAATCAAATCTTACTACCCTTCTAATCTTACCCTTTGCCTACCTTACCTCTTGCCCTCTACTCTCTGGGCTAACTGTCGGTGGACTTTACCTGCATCGGTCTCCTCTCTCCTTTAAATACATCTACCCCCCTCAACCCCCCTCCCCATCGGAATATCCCCTTGCTAACTCCTGGAATGCCCGGATTAAATTGTTCCCCTCAATCCCACCCCACTCAACCTTCAACCCTAACCACTGGCCCTCTAACTCCGTATCCTGAATGTCATACCCATCCCTCTCTGCCCATTCCTGCAACCACTCTAACGCTGCTTGCCCCCCTACCATCACCATGCTCCAAAATGCCGACAATGACATCGGGGTACTGACACTCCTGCCTACAATCCTCTTCCCACCGCCCATCCTCCTCCTTGTGCTTCCAATGCTCACAAATCACCTGCGGTATGTAACAATACAAACAACACGAAAACCTCTCCATGCTCCTCTTCTCCTGCATCACTCTGATGAACTCCTGTACCCCTTCCCGGACGCCCTCTACGCCTGCTGTCGTGCACTGCTCTATCAAATGGCTCGTGCTGGGATACTGGCAAACATAACAATATACGCACCGCTTGCTGAACCTCTCCAACGCCTGCTCCAGCCAGCTGTAGTGCCGTGAGACACATTGACAGCACATCATTGAAACTATACTACCGCATTGAGACGCATTGAAGCCTTCGTTGATATTTATTGGATGCTCACAAACCTCACTCTACCAACAACATTTCCGCATGACTATGCGTTCTAGACAATATAATCGTATTCTAAAACTACTTTCCTAAAACACAAAACCCGACTGGCCTGCTATCAATTTCATTCCGAACTTTCCGCGAACTCTCACCAAACGCCATCCAGCATTTACACGTTTTCCCTCCTCGTGACTCTAGTTGACGCTCAATCTCCCCCTCATCCATACCTTGGCCTTCCCTTTTGCCGCTCCCAATCCGTTGCGTCCCATTCCGCCACCAGTGCCCCGTTTGTCGTTGAGATCCCTCAAGCTGTTCTTCTGAATCCTTCTCCAGCTGTATCCCAGGAAGGCGCCCTTCTTTCTACATTCCAGAACTCTTTGCCTATACTCTCCATCTCTAAGCAATCTATCCCTAGGCCTCTTCTTCTCTTTTCGACCATACGCACGCACGAAGCCGCGAAGATACTCTTTCTGCTCCTCGCCCATCACAAATCCTTCAATTTCTCGCTCAATTCGGCGGAGTTTGGTGGAATCATAAGCACTACCCACGTATCCTCGTGCTAACATTTGAATTTCACGATTGAAGCATCGAAGCGCAGCGTCAAGCTCGTCTTCCGTGGGCGGAGTAAGATTTGCAGCATCATCAACGCTGGTACTGAAGTCGGAGATAGGCTCTTCTTCATCGAAGTAGTGAGTGTCGTCAATGGATTTGATAGTTGGTACAAAAGGCGGGGTCATAATGTGAATACGGTCCCACAGGATATCTTTGAACCAACGGTGTGACTTAATATCTTCTGCGTCATCAGGATAAACGTAGCGGCCAGCATAGTCGCGATTGTTTGACGAAACCAAGTCTCTCGCCTTGTATCGGCGCGAGCAAAGGCGTTCCCCTTTCTCTTGAATCATTCGTTTGATAAGATCCTGACACCGGCTACTGACAACGGGTTTGCTTGGGAATGAAAATGTAGTCCGGTGGCTCTGTTTCACATTAGGTCTCCGTCATCAACCTGTAGAGCAATGGCTTACAAGAATATTGAGTTTTGTTTGAGCTCTTCCGCCTTCTTCGGCAAGGAATGGAGTGTGGCCATAGAGACACTGTGTGGGAGTTAGATTCAGTGTGGTTGTACGTACAGTGCGTCTCACCTCATAAAGAATGACAGCAACACTCCACCAGTCACATCTGGCATCGTAAAGCTCGCCCCGAACCACTTCGGGTGCCATATATTGGCTTGTCCCAACAACACTGCGGGCAAGTGTCCGGTTACCATTCCGATTTCGCCAATTAAGAATCCCCTCGTTAGAGCCAGAAGATTTCTTCTCATGTTTATCTTTGCCGCCCATAACAACATGAGCAAGTTGCATGGCGACCGCAACTGTCCGGCCATCTTTTTTATCGATGGAATCCCCTTCGACGTTAATACCGAGCTTGGTGAGCAAAGAGTACCTGTGATTATTATAAAAAGACTGGTCATGGGACCAATGCCCATCGAATGCTAGACCAAAGTCTGAAATTTTCAGGTGTCCAGAAGCAGAAATCAAGAAGTTGTCCGGCTTGATATCACGGTGAATCCACCGCAGTCTATGAGCCTCTTCGATACAAAGTATCATTTCGGCAATATACCATTTGGTTACTGCCTCTGAAAGAATGTTGTCTCGAATCAAGAGCCCCAGGAAATCCCCGCCAGGCATATAATCCATAATCAGGTAAAGGTTATTCGCATCTTGGAAGCTGACAATGAGCGGTACAACCCTGTATACCATCAGGTCAGTGTATGCTCTAAAAATTAAACCGGAAAGAGAACTCACCATCTTGACCCCTCCGAGGCAACAAGAAAGTCCCGCTCGGCACGCAGATGCCCCTCTTGGCTGTTCCGTAGCATATCAGACTTCCGAATGACTTTCATTGCGTAGACTTCTTTTTTCTTGGGCTCAAAGAAACTGAATGGACTGAAGATATCCTCCTTTTCACGGACAAGGCGAACAACTCCAAAGCTTCCTTTGCCAAGCACCTTCACAATTTCATAGTGCGAGACCATCGGATCCGTTCCCTTTTGCTTGCGAAAGTGGTTTCTGGACTTCATTACACGGACCTCACGAATGTAGTTAGTCTCACTATGAAGCCAGTCCCGGCGATGTTCAACCATTTCGGAGTGGGTCATATGTGCCGAATTCTCGTAAAGGACGCCCTCAAACTCTCTGAGACGTAGGGATCGAGGACTTGGACCGCTTGCAAGCAATCCGTTGTAATGGGTTTCGAAGAATATCTTCGCCGCAGCAGCCTTTTCGACGGTGATGACAGCTATATTTTATGTTAGAGTAATCCGAGATATGGTTCAATCAAGCTGTAATCTGAAAGTCCACAGTGCATGCAAAGCCAAATCAAAAATTAAACTGGAATAAGGCTTACTTGGAACAGGCACCGGGGCAATCATAACCTCTTGCGCCACCTCTGAAATAGGCATCAAGCTGTTATTAACAATCGTCTCTTCCGCTACCTGCTGTTTTGTTACCGTCGCCTTTTTGTTTTCCGTATTTGACGAATGCCCCGATACCATCTTTCCAGCAAAAAACTTGGAGTCCAAACTCGTCATGCCCGTGGAATTCGTTCTGGCTGGGGCAGACTGCTTTCCAGCACTATTTCCGCTTGTCTCCCCACTCGTTGAAGGTGAGACCTCCGGTGTAAGCTCCAACACGCCTTTTTCAAGTGAGGGGCTGGGTCGGCTCTTAGGCGAGCGGATGACAACGGTGGGTGGTTGCACGGAGGGACGCATGTTGTTGAATGACATCGAGACCTTCTTGACCAGTTCTCTCGCGAGTTCCACATTGCCTATCTGCGGGGATATAGGAGATGAGGATTCAAGATTGCTCGCACTCGAGGCTACATTCGTCAGTACGGAGATGGAAAATCTTGGGGGTGGGCAAGTCTTGCCTGAAAGAGGACTGTTCACGGAAGGACTCATGGGACTCTTACCACTGTTTGTCAGGGAGCGCAGAACGGAGAGGATTTTCGAGCCGTGGCGACGGATTTTCGACGGTCGTGGGGTACTGTCCTTGCTGGGGGGTATAAGAGTGTTCGTTTGCCGATCTAGAGGTTCTTCGACTTCGTCTTCATAAATCTTGAAATCACCAGGACTATCGCCCTGGCTGCAAATTCGCTTCATGCCTGAAGGTGAAGAACGCGATAGGCTATAAACACTGGAATACAGATGTAATAAAGAATGTATGTCTTGGTTAAGAGATCTGCCATAAAATGGCACCCATATTGATTCAAAGCGAAGACGTGGAACGCAAACTTGAGGCGATGTTCGTGTCGCTCATATCATCGGATGCGCCTTCCTTCTTGACAACTTGACCATGCCAGGCACTTGCCACCACAGACAAGCTAGACGGCCACAGTGAAGACGATGAAAGCAGTCACTGTTGATATAATAATCACTCACATATGGACCTTGGAATATACAGCCTCACACATACACTGAAGATCATCAGCTACATCCATATTTAATGACGACGTCAATTCAATTTATATGCTCTACGTATTGAAAATTGAGCACACAAAATTCTGTAAAAAAACAAAGATAATTTTTGGATAAAAACGCCGTATTATGCACAAATCCCATCATCCCATGAGCACTTCCCCCGCATCCACAAAGTCTATGAAGACCTGGGCCATAACCATTGCTCAGGTCGGGGACAGATGCAAAATACACCACACCGACTAGGTGTTCGGAACTAAAAAGAAAAATTGCCCCTGGAACACGTTGCACCAGCGCCGTTATCGAGTTTTACATTAGAGGCAAGAGATCCAAGTATTTGGGATCATCTCTGAAAAGGCGTCTGATTGATCAACTGTCCACGGCCACCTTTTGGAGTGCGGTCGTCTACTTGATCTCCAGCATCTTGACGTCGAAGACGAGAGTGCTGTTGGCTGGAATGCCTGGGAGCGACTTGGATCCGTATGCCAAGTTTGAGGGGACGGTGAGACGGCGCTCACCACCAACCTGCATACCGGCAATACCGAAGTCCCAGCCCTGGATGACCTCTCCAGCACCGAGCTTGAAGCTGAATGGCTTGCCCTTCTTGTTGGCATCGAAGACCTTGCCATCAGTGAGCTTTCCGATGTAGCGCATGCCGACACGGTCTCCCTTCTTTGCGGCTGGTCCGGAACCAATTTTCTTGTCGTCAACCTTGACACCCTTAACGGTCCTGACGCCTAGCTCAGCCTTTCCCTTGGCAGCAGGCTTTGGGGCCTCGGATCCAGTTGGACCTTGCTCAAGGTTCTTTGCGAATTGGACCTTCTTGGCGTCCTTGTCGGTGGCAGCGGCCTCGGAAGCAATGGCCTCTCCCTTGTTGTTCTTGAGCTTCTTTTGCTGCTTCTTGCTCAGCTTCTCGCCATTGGTGCTGGTCTTCTCCATGATCTCATCAAGAGTTTCAGCTGGCTCCTCAGCGGCGCGCTTGTTCTTTCCCTTCTTGTCAGCCGTGGTGACAAGCGCGGGGACCTCCTCATCGTCCTCAAGCTCGAGGATGCGGGGGTCATCAAGAGTGTCTAACTCGTCGCTCTCCTCATCATCGTCAAGGAGCTCATCCTCATCGGGAGACAGGTCGTAGTCCTCATCATCCTCATCATCCTCATCCTCATCGTAGACACGGTGGTGGTTGTTGCGACGCCCATCCTCATCAGCAATGAGGTAGTTTCCGGTAAGGTGGATAGAGTGGGTCCCGGTGACCTTGAAGAAAACACGCTCATCCTCTCCAATGGTGATGTCGATAGCTTGCTGGAAGTTCTTCTCTGCGTCCAATGTGCAGATAACAAACTCCTCAATCTCCATATCCTCCTCATCATCCTCATTGAAATCCTCCTCATCATCATTCTCAGCAGCGGCCTTGGCCTTACCCTTCACCTTCTTGGGCTCATCCTCTATATCCTCATCGGAGTCGTCCTTGTCAATGGAGGCCAACAGCTCCTCGAGGGCAGCCTGCTTGCGGGCCTTCTTCGACTTGGCAGGGTCGCTGGGTCCAGCTTCATCATCCTCCTCCGAATCATCCTCCTCTGAATCCGGTCCGGAAAGCAGAGCACGCATGTACTCATCATCGTCATCAGCCTCCTCATCATCCATGGGGCCAATCGGCTCGCGGATCAGCTTGAGAGTTGCGCGCGCAACGCTGCCCTCGGGTGCCTCTGGGTCGATTGGTGCGCTTGGGTCAATCGCGGCCATAGTAATGCGGAACTGTGAATGGATAGTTAACCCTGTGGCCATTGGTATTAGGAAACCATGGGCGTAGCTTGGAATGATCACAAGCAAACGGCGCATAGTTGTTTTGGGTATCAACTTACAGTTGCTGGGAAGTCTCGGACCGCTGGGACGATCTCATCGCCACATGGCACCTCAAGGCCGTAGAAGGCAACCTAGAAGTAAAAATCAGTCCCTCTTCGCTGAAACCAAAGATTAACACCAAAAGTCTTGGAATGTTGATCTTGAGACAATGGGAAATACGCACTGGAGTAAGGGAAGGCATTTTGTGAAGCGGAAAGTTGAAGTAAGGTGGTAGGTGGTGGAAGAATTGAAGTCTATCGTAAAAATAGAACTTTAAGAGGTGACGGGGGAGAGTAGAGGTGAGTGAAGGAAGAGGAAAGGTGGAAGGGTCTTAACGAGCCTCGAAAACTTTCTGGAAACAATTTTTGAGAGGCTCCAGCGCTAAGATAGCCTTATCTACCTGGTAACCAGACAACGGTCATGTGATTATCCACAATTGCCCCGCAAAGTCTGGATTGTAAAACCAAAGTTGAAAGTATTATTTTTGCCATGAAAGAAAATTATCTTCCCTGCAATGTTTCCCCGTCTAAAACACTATTTGACATCAACATTGACAACGCCAGCAAAGTGAACACGGCCGATATCAGCCACGGTGATATTGGATCATAAGAAGACGGTCTGTAGGAGCTTGGGAACAACATGGAAATGACTTCAGCAAGCTAAATCGTAGAGAAACGGGTCCGTTAATGTTTATAGTAGGATAATGAAAATAGTTGCGTAATGAAGTGTGTTCACCATGATAACCTGCCACGACAACATTTTTTCAATAATAGAATTCTATGAAAGCTAAAAGCCCACATATTTAATTTGGTATAAATTTATATAATAAGTTAGAGAATTGGGGAGAAAAAACATATACGGGTAATGCGGATGAAAATAAGAATTTAACTGGGTATCATAATCTGTAGCAAAAGCTAAAGTCTAAAAGTTGAAGTCAATGCTCCCAACTCCACGTTCCGAAACGGCCTGCTGGATTTGTTCCTTTATTCCATCTAGTGCTTCCCTCCATCCCTTCTCACCTATTTCCGTCTGGAACCCATCACCGCCAGAATCATAAATTAGCCATACCATCCACTTCACAACAGAGACGGCTTTTGCCATGTCTTTCTCATCAAGCACCACCCGTCTCAAGTACCGCTCCATGGCCTTGACATCATCCTCATGCGGGCCTTCGTTTCTGAACTCAGTGTACCACTGACTAATAGTCTGCCGTAGATCAGGCAGTACTGATATGTCTGCCGTAGTGAAGGTTGGCTTTGGAGGTCGTGGGGGTAGTTGTAATTTACGCTGACCCCGAGGGGGCTCCGGAGGTCTCTTCTTGGTCTTGTTAGGTGCGACAAGACCAGATCGGGCGGCAAGGCGCGCTCGCTTGTGCTCTGCGATTATCTCATCGCGCATGTCCTTCGGAATCGCAGCCAGAAAGTCTGGATCAATGGCATCTGCATCGTTGGTCATATCACCAGGCCGTGTGCTCGATTCGGCTTTGCGGCCAGTGAAAAAATTGGATTGAACCAGTGTTGAGTTTGAGGTGCTCTTGTTATGTCGACTCTTTACTAATAAGCTTGTATGTTTTTTGGTCGGAGTCGTTGGTTTCTTGGCTAAATTTGACTTTCCTGTCTTGCGTGGTGAGAGAGAAGCGACCCTTTGTTGAGGCAGGTTGCCATGAATGGACCCATATGAAGCCAAAACCTCAGCTTTAACATATTCTGGTAGTAATTCAAAGACTTCTGGATCCAACTGAGACGGAAAAGGTGCAGTTGAAGGAACTAAGTTAGCCGACAATGAGATTGACTCTGGTGTTGCTGCTTTGGATCGTGACTCCGAAGCTGCCCTTGACAAATTGCTCCACGGAGAAGCCCGTGAGGGTGTAGTACCCTTGGTCTGAGCTAGTAGTCTTGATCGAATATTCGACGGTAACTCAGCCAACACGGCTGGGTCAACCTGAGTGGGAAGAATAAACTGGGTACCGGTCAAGTTAAGGGGCTTCACCGCACTTGGATCGGCAGCATTTGCTCTGGTAATTGCTGCAGCTGGATGGACAGGTGTTTCTCTTGGCTTAAGTGGGCTGTCAGGATCGATGTCTTCGATATCTGCGCAAGGTCGATTGGGTGTTGGTTTAGACTTCCGAGGTGTTTCTGGATCATCTATCGGATCTAAAATCTCATGGCGCGGCGGCCTTGGAACCGGAGGTTTTGGGAATGAAAGCGTTTTTTGGCTGCCATCAGGCCGACCATCCACTGAATGCTTTATCGGTTCTAGCTTCGTCATCTGAACACCAAGTCCTCTCAGCTCCCCAGGAGAAAAGCCAAAGGCACGGAGGACTGAGATTGCTTCTTTTGCGAGGATTTTGACTGTATTCGTGGCAACACCTAAACCGACACTCTTGTTGAAAACATCGCATTTGCCGTGGCCCAGGTGCTTTGCAGGGTCTAAAGGAGAATCTGCTGACTTCCGCATAATTTTAACGGTAAGTTGTCGCCCTTTGACTGCCTCGTTCATAAGCCGTTTATGTAATTCTCCACAGAGGTTCTTCACGAACTCCTCCGCTTCCGGCTGATTTATGAACCGAATTCCCCAGTTGACCTCCGCCGAGACAGATTTTCGAGTAATTAGTTCCCCGACCTCGGTGTGGTCAATACCACGCGAATAATCCCATATCTTTTCACCGGTCTTGGGTCCCAGAACGGTCATAAGCCTATCTTTCGTGGAATTTCGCACGTCTTTGACAAACTTGATGCCAATTTCTTCGAGTTTTCCACCGATGCTGTAAGCCACACCAGGTAGATTTTGAACCGCAAGCTCGCCAATAAAATCCAAAACTTCCTCTGGCTTGATCTGATATTGGCCCGCAGGTTTTGCCTTGCGAAGCGCAACTTTAGCAAGTAGGATGTTGGACCCAATACCAACAGAGACTGCACAGTTCGTAGCGTCTTTGATCTTACGGCGGACTGTTTGGCCAATTTCATCTGCCTTCTCCTGCTCCAGTCGTATGGTTTCTTCGCTCCCGCCAAGACCACCACACTCGCTGGCAGGAAGGCACAAGGACGAAATGTCGATTAAAGCCTCATCAATGCTTACACTTTGAACCACACCCCCTATGCTAAGAATAGCCTCATAGAATTTCTTACTCGCGTCTTCGTACGCAGGGAAGTCGTACGGCAAAACCTTTATATCTGGACATAGCTTCTGTGCCTGCTTCATCCACATGCCGTTTTTAACACCAAAATCTCGTGCAGGGTAATTGCAACTTGCAATTTCAGATCCACTTCCACTGCCATGTGCTACAACTGCTGGTTTATCGTCGTATTCCGGGGCACTCAGAAGAGATACCGCACAGAAAAAGCTATCAAAATCCACGTGCATCACATACCGTCGAGAGCCGGGTTTCCGTTTCAACCTATTCTTTTGGGATAGTGTTTGTTCAGAGGCCATCCGTTGAAATTTAGATTTGAGTTCAGCTTTCCATGTAGACAGATGATGAAGCCTTGATTCTGAGTAGAACTGCTTTAAAAAATCAGGATTTGCGGTAGATGATTGTCTGATTTTCGGGTCAGCTAATAACATGGCGTTGTGTTCTTCTGCTGTGACCGGCTTCTCTTCTTTACTGGCCCGAGTAGTCTCGATCGAGCGTGATCTCTTGCGACCTCGAGGAGAGGACAAGGCACTAGTTGATTCGCGGACTTCAGTAGTCTCATCATATATTTGCTCCACTGCATCGACCGAGGAAGATCCTTTCGTGAATTCGAGTTTTGTGGACTCTGAAGCCACAATATTGGACTCTGCAGCATTTAGGGCGTCTTCTAATGAGGATGTAAGCTCAAAGCTCTCTGTATTTGATAACTTGAGTTCATTATCAGGCTCATCTGCGATTTCGTCATCGTTGGGTTTGGTGTGAATAAGATGTTGTGAATGATGATGGGAACTCTGCGAGTGTGCATATGTCGTCTTGCCATCACTTGTCCGCCTTATACTTTTAACATCCAATGCCTCCTCCTCATCGTCGATCTCATCCGCAATATTCTTAACTTGGCTGTTATACCAGCTGGTCTTCGTTTGGTCCATATAACCCTTCTGTCTGGATTCCACTTTATTCACAACCCTCCCCTTTTCAAACCCCAACGTTTTTTGGCCTACCCCTTCATCCAGGACCTTATAACTCTGCCATGGCAGCACTTTTCCATTGGCCATGCTATCCACTATCCACGCTGGCTTAACGATCCTGTAATTCCGAAACTCAATCGCCTTCTTCGGCGTCAAGTTCGCCGCAATAATATGCGTTGCTGACGTCTTTCCATCAAGATACTGCACGAAGCCGCCCCCATGAGTGACGATCAATTTGTGCAAATCGTTCAGTGAAGGCTGCGTATATCCATTGACATAGGCAACTATGCCTCTGAAAATCGGTGGCTTATCTGGAGATTGCGCCCTGAGGTCGGCATCAAGATTTTGAAGCTTGATCTTCTTTCGGCGGAAGTACTCGAAAAATCCACCGAAATCTGAGCCTGTGTATTCCTCGCCTTCTTCAGTGTCGAAGGTATGCTCTGCGATGCGTTTATGCGTCGCCTTGGAGTTCTTCTCCAGCTTGGAACCCATCATGGGCCTACAAAATCCTCAAGTCATCGCCTTGGTTATTGGGTGAGTTACTTTGTTCTGTTCATGTTTCACTGCGCATGTGAGATAACTCGTATAATGTTCTTAAAGTGGGATAAGTCCTGTCGCCACCTTGAAGTTGTTGAAGACGCGCCAGAAACACGCAGTCACATGACTGATTACGTCACATGCAATACTGTCAAACACAACGACGGAGGAGGATTGAGTGTCTGTCGTCTCCTTCTTACAGCATTATAGAAGTCGAGTTTCACTCACTGTTCATGGTATTTGTGCAAGGAAAATGGTGGCAGATCCTAATTACGTGGATTATCTTGTTGGTTTATGAATCACGTGTATGAATCGAGCAATGTGCGAAAACACCAACGGAAACTGAACCATGATATCTTTCATATAGTTACATGAAGAGGTAATAAATCTGTAATATTTATCCCAATGAGTAATGAGTAAAAGCCAACGCTGTTATCTTCCCAACCCACCCATACATCCAACGCCCCAGACCATGCCCTGTTCCAATTGCCCGACGCCATGAACATTTGCTTTCATTCAACCTAGCTTTGCGCCATAAAAACTACCTAGGCATGAACTGGGCTCTCAAAGCTAACAGCTGGTTTCTCTCTGCAGGCGCCAACTGATCGATCAACTCTTGCGGCATGCTCAGAACTTGCTGGATTAAAGCATCGGCATCTGGCTGCCCAGCTGCTGCTGGAGGTGGCTGCTGTTGGTAGCTTTGTTGTGGCAGTGGTGGGTATGGCATTCCATGAGTGGGTGGAGTGCCCATTTGTCCTGCGGCTGGGTATCCACTTGGTGGTGCATATCCTGGTCCTGAGGCAGATGGGTACTGCCCCTGAGGGGGCTGCGCCTGAGTTGGAGGCGCCCCGGCTGCTTGTGGAGGTGGCCCTGCAGCGTCCACCACAGAGGCGAGAGAATCAGTACTGACAAGACCCATGAGTAGTAGAGCCTGGAATATTGCGTAGGAGAGCTGAGGGGCCTGGCGGAGAAGTTCGATGGCTTTGCCTTGGTCCGTCGTGACGAGAGACTTCATCTGGGAAAGTACATCTAGAAGTTGCGATGGCGGAAGTGTATTGAGTGTGCGAGAAATCGAGTCTGGGCAGGTGAGCCCGGGAGGAAGATCGATCCCTTGGGGCAGAGGAGGTAAAGTGCTTGCGCCGTTCGGTGGAGCCATGCCAGGAGGGGGGACGGGCACTCCGTTCAGGGGGAGAGGAGGGTGTTGGTAGCCTGTTGGGGCAGACTGGAATAACGATCAGTATGCGGTTCATATATGATTGAAATAAAGTCTTACTGTCTCGTCTTCCGCGCCGTCGTTGGAAAAGTCGACTCGAAGCTTGCGGTTCATAATTTCGTAATCATTGAGATTTCGCACTGCCGAGGCTGCAGAGTCTGGTGGATCGAGCATTAGTACCTGCTCATCTTCAAAGAGAATATGCTACCTACCTGAATCTGGGTATTCTGCGAATCCGAAGCCTTTGGGACGACCAGTTTCGCGATCATACACCAGTCTGAAATTAACAACTTTGCCCGCGCTACTGAATATGTCTATTATCTGCTCTTCTGTGAGGCCTATTTGTAGTTTTAGCGGATGCGATTCACAAGGCGCAAATGTAACCATACCATACGGGATGTTGCCCACGAATACCGACTTCGATGGGGGCTTCGTCGACATCGTGGTGGTTTAGGCCAAGGACCTCTGGAAGTGTTGGCGCTGTTTCTGGGATGCGATTGTTTGATATAATTGAGACCACAGAAATTGCACAGCCTTCAATCAAGCACAACGGCCAATTCAATACTTGGACGAAGTTGACCTTCACGTTCACCTCATGCGCAAAGGTTGGAGGAGATGGGGACGAGATGGAGTATATCTGCAATAACTCTCACTATATGAAGACTTTCGCCTTTACAGATTCCAAGTAGTACCTCAGTCCCAGCATCAAAAGTGATGAAATGAGTAAAGGGATTGTTCCACAACAATGCATAAAGACCTGCTTTGGTTCTCTGTAGTCGCGACAACTTTTGTGGTAGTTAGCTTGGATTCTGAGATGTGAAAGTGCGCTAGTACGTATCGGGAGAGTACCGTTGACATCTCGAACAATTCTCCAGCAACGCTCAACCACATCTAGTATCCGGTCACCAATTTCCCACAACACCTTCTCCAATACGCAACTATGTCGCTTCCTCCAAACGCCCGCGATGCTTGGTCGCAGCTCACCAAGATGGCGCAGAATGCGCAAAAGAAGGGCGGAGCCCCCGGCCCAAAAGGTGCAGGAGCTGGACTCGGAGCTCTGATCCTGTTAGGAGGTGGAGTTATGCTGGCAAACAATGCGCTTTTCAACGTCGACGGTGGTCATCGTGCTATCAAGTATACGAGATTGGGCGGTGTGAAGCAGGAGATTTACGCTGAAGGTTAGTGAGGTCCATCCGGCGATGCTTATGAAGCTATTGGGATTGAGTACCCGAGCACGCGCTGACTTTCCGGTTCTACATAGGCACACACATTAAGATCCCGTGGTTCGAGACTCCCATAGATTACGACGTACGCGCGAAGCCACGAAACGTCGGCTCTCTTACGGGCACCAAGGATCTTCAAATGGTCAATATCACCTGCCGTGTGCTTTCCAGGCCAAGAGTCGAGGCCCTTCCCCAGATCTACCGAACATTAGGCACCGATTACGATGAGAGAGTCCTTCCCTCTATCGTCAATGAGGTGTTGAAGAGTGTCGTGGCACAGTTCAACGCGTCGCAGCTGATTACCCAGCGTGAGAACGTTGCCCGTCTCGTCAGAGAGAACTTGTCCATCAGAGCCGCCAAGTTCAACATCATGCTTGATGATGTTTCCCTCACTGTATGTCATACTCTTCCTCAGTTTTACCTTCTTGTACTGATCAAACCTAGCACCTCGCCTTCTCCCCCGAGTTCACTGCCGCCGTCGAGGCCAAGCAGGTCGCCCAACAAGAAGCCCAGCGTGCCGCATTCGTTGTCGACAAGGCCCGCCAAGAGAAGCAGGCCATGGTTGTCCGCGCCCAGGGTGAGGCTCGTTCCGCAGAGCTGATCGGTGACGCTATCAAGAAGAGCCGCTCGTACGTCGACCTGAAGAGAATCGAGAACGCACGAGCGATCGCTACGATCTTACAAGAGGCTGGTGGCAAGAACAAGGTGTACCTGGATTCCGAGGGATTGGGACTGAATGTTACTGAGGGCTACGAGGATAAGACGAAGAAGTAATGTGAGAGCGGAAGGGAAATCTCCACTGTATTCTGAGCGCTTGCTGTATAAATATCAAAATGTATAAGACTTGTCAGTTGGTCAAAAAGCCGCTCTATTTATAATCGTCTGTTCATATTCGTCTGAAGCTCGGCCGTTGGGTTACGTTCGTGGAAGCGTGCTTTGGCAGTGTGCTCACTCCTTCGCCCCCTCCTCCATAATCCAACGTCCATTCACCATTGTGTCAAGTAGAGAGTGCCGACCCTCCTCCATGCAATGCATTTAGTTACCACCACGAAGAGCAAGGACCAGATGCAATGTTGCGCCGCCTTCTAGGTTGTATTCAGTAGCTGTCTTGTCGTCAACCCTATGCCATTACATTGTCAGCATGTTGTTTCCAGCGCCACCTATCCCAGGATCCATAAGACCGAACATACATTTGCTTGCCTCCGTAAATCAGGCGCTGTTGTGCAGGTGGAATCCCCTCCTTCTCCTCAACCTTTTCCTTAATTTGGGAGACCTTGAAATGGTGTTAGCTATGTGTAAGTCCAAATCACGGCGCGAGTATCGCACCACGATGTCGGAGGGAAAGAGGCAGAGCACGGAATAGTACCTTGTAGTCGTTTTCGATATCTAACTCGATCTCCTTCCCTGTGAGTGTCCGGACCCTGCATCAGGTGTCAGTTGGGTCCTTGGCTTCCTGCTCTCTTCTGGAGTTCATATCTTGAGGCTTACTTGATTAACATCTTGGGCGAGAGGTATGCGTGATATGGCAGATAGTGTAGTTGTATGAGTCGCACTGAGTTGGAAAATGCCTTGTGGGAGAGAGAGCACAGCAGGCTGATAATAATCCACAGCGAGGCTGCCGAGAGGTGGTGCGGGACCCCACAGGAGGTACTCAGTACTTTCTCGCGGTTAATGGTAAGCGCCGACTTGTGACGATTTAACGTCATCAGATTATTGCTGTAGACTATTTCTGTGCACGTCTTGATGCAAAACTATGAGGAAGGGGAGTATCTTTAAGGCGTATATCTTAGATTACTGTTTACTTGCAATTGATGAACAGGGCAAGTGCAGAGGCTCCCAGATGGTTCGATTTCGATGGAAACCCCCCCTTCTCGACGTTTAATATAGCTCACTGCGGGGTGCCGTGGCAGACGTCACCTCCTTGATGTGGCACGGGTTTTCGGAATGGCTCTTAAACTGTTCTCGCACTTAAACCTCATCTCATTCGCAACAACTCTCCCATCGTAGCTGCCTTTGAGCCACGGGTCAAGCTCATTTCGTGCCCATTCAATTGTCAACCCTGAAGTCTATAGCTTTCACATAGCTACCTCACCCCAACTTAAGCTGCACCAGCCCAAACCACCAGTCAAACAATGTTCAAGCGTGTCACAAGGAGGCTGAGCAGGTCCTCACAAGATCTAGAGGACCAAGCACCGCGAGATATAAACAAGAGCGTTATGATGAACAAACCGCGTCTGGTTATTGCAGCTTCCTCTGAGACCTTCGACCATGCAGTTATCCACCGTTGGAGACACGAAGGCTTTGATGTGCATTATGAGCACGTACATGGAGATTCTCGCTCTAGTACATATGCAGTAGAAGCTCACGGCGACAACTTAGAGCCGGGAGAGAATTATGCAATCGTTCGTTGCCATCCCCCGCTCTTCTTTATACCTTGTATGCAGAGAAGATTCTGATAATTTCCACATCATATTACCATTACCAGCCATGGATGTCCGCTAACACACAATAGATAGCATACGGCGAAGCAGCTTCCGTTCTATTGCCCAAAACGTTTCAGGCCCGGGGTAAACTCTGTGCCATCGTTGCATTCTACCCCTACGCCATACCAGATCCTAGCTCCATGCCGCCCAAGGACCTTCGCGTGCAAGTCCATCTCGCTGCCAACCAGAAGTTTGCACCCAAATACCCACACTTCAGATACCAAGGAACGCACCCCGGCTTCGACGAGCATAGTAGGGACACATACGATCACATTGCGTCGGGTCTGGCCTGGAGCAGAGCATTGGATTGTGTGAGGCGAGGATTCGGCATTGATGTTGATTTGGAGGATATATGGGAACGCCATCTTGCTCGTAAGATGATCCCTCTCTCCAGCACTCGCCTTTGCTCGTTACTAATACCAGATCTGCAGATGAGTTCGTCACTCGCGACGCCGCCGCGACGATAGAAACGATGACTTCCCATCCTTCGGTAGTCCACATCCCCACCCTAACAGGCGGCGTGGGCAAGCACGAGCTCTTCCGCTTCTACCATGAGTTTTTCATCCCGTCTAATCCCGCGAGCATGCGCACTACGCTTCTCTCTCGCACTGTTGGCCCGGACAAGATCATCGACGAGATGTTGATCTCGTTCACTCACGTCCAGGAGATCCCGTGGTTGTTACCGGGGGTGCCACCCACAGGGAAGTATATCGAGGTTGTACTCGTTAGTGTGGTTAAGATTATTGGCGGGAAGTTGGAGTCGGAGAGGCTTCATTGGGATCAGGCCAGCGTGCTTGTCCAGGCTGGACTGTTGGATGCGAAATTGGGTGCGGTGGGGTTGGGCCAAGGAGGCGTCACTAGACTGCCGATTGTTGGTGACGAGGCCCCTCGGGTAGCGATGGGGGGGAGAGAGGGATCGGTGGCGTTGAATGAGTTGATTCCTGAATGGTAATAGATGGAGGGTTTTATAGTAGAGATGGGTTGAAGTGAGGTGAGATGTGGAACTGATTATTGGCTATAGTGGGCAAAATGCGGATGATAGATGATTGGTGAAGTTTCTGATAAGTTATTAGATTTAACATAGCACAATATGGCACACAATGAAACTGTTGATTTGCTTTCCCAATGTTCGTAGTCGTGCCTCCAATAATCGTTCAAGAGATTCGTCTCATACAGAAAGTTCACGACTTTGGCAGGCTGCTTCAGGTCAATCACTACAAAGACTTCGGGGCTACACGAGAAGTATTCATGGTAATGGTTCATCAACTTTCATATTAACATGCATCGTATGTATGGTATCTATCATGTATGGTATCTATCATGTATGGTATCCATCGCTCCAGTAATTGAACTCCTTTATACGTGCCAGTGCTTTCTGCATATATACCCCACCCTCATACTCCTCCGTGATTTATGCGTGCAAATGCTTCACGTGTGTATATACCCATATACCCCACCCACATACCTATCTCCCAAACGCCCCAGACGATGCAAAAAAACAAAACAGACTGACTACGCACGGCGAGGTCTCTTCGGCGTCATGAAAGGATCCGTAGGTGGTGGGCGCCTGAAGATCTTCTTTGGTGGACCCTTCATTAGGCTTGCATTCTTCGACTGCTCTGTGACTCCACTCGGGGATGACTGTCTCGAACGCGCAGGTGGACTGGCACTCTTTCTCTCTTGCAATCGAGCTTCCCACTCCTCCGGCGGGACATCAGTTGTGCGCTTCGTCGCTGGTTTGACAGGGGAAGGGCGGTAGGTGAATGGATCGGCATAATCCTTTCCGTGTAGCTTGCGCTTGGCTGTCGCGCTGAGCTGGCGCTCATGGTACTCCCCGAATAGCTTCTCAATATCATCATCGTCATTCGCAGAACTTGCGTGAGTGTCCTCGGACGGAGTGTTGAAGTCGAGGACCTGGGCAGGTGCAAGGTAGGGTTCTTGCTCTTGGACGACCGGCTTCCTTGCTCCAGACGCCTTGATAGCTCGAAGTCGTGCCTCGCGGTCTTTCATGGCTGCGTTTGGGACGGGGATACCAGTAGCGACTGGGGAATTGCGCGGGCTGAGCTTCTTCTTTTCAACTTCAGCAGCCTTGAGGTACTCGTTCACCATGCCAGCTGGGGCCTTTCTGATTTGGCTCCGAAAGTCAGGGACCTTGGCTTTACCTTGTCGCCGGGCTGCGATTGCCATGGCGGCCTCGCGCCTGGCCTTCTCGACAATGTTGACTCGCTTCTTGACTCCTGTTGCGGCATATCCAATTGTGGACACCGATGGAAGGCGACGACCTGGAGCACCAATACGGTTCCCAGATCTGCCGCCGCGACCGACAATCGGGACTCCGCCATCATTTGCACGCATACGCGAGTCCCTCGGTATTTTTGGCATGTATCGAGCTTCGACCTTCTTGCTGAGGTTGTTTTTCTGTTCTTTCTTGATGCCGGCCAATGCCTGGCGGAGCTTCTCTTTATCGTAGTCGATTTTGGCCTTCTGTTCGTCCATGTACTTCCTGTAAACAGCAGGCCAGTCTGCAGGATTGCTTGGGCGATAGTTCTTTTCACGCCAATTCTCGACGTCGCGTTGGATGAATCTTTCCCACAGTTCGACCGTTTCGCCGATGATTTGAGGGGATGCAAGCTCTATTTGACGCAGCTGCTCAGGGATTTTGATTCTGGCAAGAATTGGTTTGACGGTTTTGTATGACATGCCGCCAACATCGTATATATCTAAGAATTTGTTAGTTGATGGAGCCTGTAGTCGTCATAAAGGAACCATACCTTTGATATTTCTTATGGCTGCCCTCTCACACATTCTCTGCAGACTGAACGGGTTCAGATGAGCGCTCTTCTCCTCTTCCTTGGAAGCCATGGTTCGTATTGGGTTCGGTGTTAACTCGAGAATAAATGAAGGGGCTTTGTGCCTTGATAAATTGCTGTCGTTCAAAAAGTGATTGATGGCAAAGTGTGAGTGAGCAAGTGCAAGAAGTTATGAATGAATAACGGTCTGTTACGAGTAATATTTCAACGAGCCAAGTAGAAAATATTCTTCGCAAGATAGGCGATCCATTGTGGTGATATTGTCAATAGGAAGCGCTTCCATTGTCGTGGTGGGTTCAATAGAACTACAATAGGAAAGTCGAGGCTGAGGTTGAGCCAGCTCATATGAAAATGGTTTAGCGTCGAGAGTGGAGCCGACAGGGATTGGTTGGCGTCAAGCTTCAATCTCAGCCTCGCGGCGGGAAGGCCTGTGGCATTTCCAGATCGGAACAATAACACCTTCAATTGAATTTCAGTCAATCGTCGCAACAACGAGTGTGAAAGCGAACTCACGGTTTGGAACTGAACATTGTCACCTCTTTAGCCAAACCCAGTTTGAACTCACCAACAATGGCTTCCTTCCAACTCCTCGGCCAACGCGAAGAAGACGAACTCCACAAAACCCGCATCCTCAACATCGAAGAGAAACCCTTCAAGCGCATCACCAAACGCCTCCTCGCCCCCGGCGCCCTCACTTCCACTCCCCTCTCTCTCCCCCCCACTCCTCCCCCCGACACCGTCTCCACCCCCGAAGCCGCAGCGGAGCAGGAAGCCACGCAGCAAAAACAGCTCGACGAGCGCCGCCAGTTCCAGGAAGACGTGCTCCTCGATTTCGCCGCTTTCGACAGCAGTATCGCCCGCTTCCAGTTCTTGCGGAACTCGAATGAGCGAGAGCGCGAGCGCTATGCGGCGGAGAAACTGAGGATTCTGGAGGCGGCGCAGGATGTTAAGTATAATACCGCTGAACTCAGGGTGAAGTTAGAGAGTGCGAGGGCGACGCTGGACCAGCGGAAGGGGTTTGATAAGTTGGCGGAGAAGATCACGAGTAACCGCATGCTACGTACGAGGGAGGAGCAGGCCGCGAACTTGCTGAAACTAGAAGAAGAATGCCGCGAGTTAGAGAGGGAGAGAGAACAGTACGGCGAGACCTGGGCTGAGAGACGCGAACAATTCGGACGCATCGTAGAAGAGGGCGTGAGGCTGCGAAGGCTAATCAGAGACGAGAAAGAGGAAGTAGAACGCAGAGAGGGGATGGGTGATGCTGGCGAAGAAGATAACGAAGTAGGCGAGGCAGGCAGCAGAGATGGACAAACACCAAAACACGACGGTTTAAGCGGCGAAGCAACACCGAGACCGGATGGTGCGTCGACACCTAGAGCGAGGGGTGCGAGCACGGAGGCGGAAAGTACGTATAAGAGCTCGAAGCTGAAGCCGGTGTCGAATAGTTACTCGAGGTCGAACAGTCGCGCGAGTAGTCGTGCGGGAAGTCGCGGAGGAAGTAGACCGGGGAGTCGTGCAGCTTCGCCCACTGGCTCGGAGAGGAGGGGACAGGTGGCTGAGGAGGGCGATGCGGTCATGGCAGATGCGGCTGTTGACTCGCCTATGGCGGATGCGGATAGTGCTGTTGAGGAAGGAGAGGAAGTGGAGATTCCAAAGGCTACGGTGCATGAGCCCAGTGCGTCAAGTAGTGGTGAGGATAAGATGGATACCACTTGATACCAAGGAGCAGAAGTCGCTCAGCTTGTATAGATAGTAGCTAGCTGTATACTACCTGGCGCAATACCCGATCACGTCGTTCAATATGCTCAGTTCCCCCATAGACCTACGCCTTGCATATTACCCAATTCACCTCCACATCACCATTCATCCACCCCCTCACACACCTACTCCCCTATCCACACAACCTAACGCCTTCACCGCAGCATCCTTCAACGCCTTCTCCGCGCTCTCAATCGCGCTCTTCGCCTTCACCACCTCCTCCTCAGTTTTCTCCCCGGGGTTCTCCAGCGCCTTCTCAACCTGATCACGTAGTTTCTCGAGGTTATCCTCAATCCGCTGCTTGAGCGTTGGGAAGACAGCCTTGGTCTCCTCAATAGCTGCTCTCTATTGTTACGTCGTTAATACACTGTTGCACTGTCACGTGCAGCTATTCCTGGTTTGCCAGGAATATGCTGTTTTGATTGAAAGGGGGGAAGAGAGGAGAGATGGATAGTTGGGGGGGGAAGGGGGGGGTGGTAGCTCACCTCTTGCTTCAGGGTATACTCCCTATTCTCATCCTCATCCGTGCTCTCCTCCACCCTCTTCAGGCGCGCCTCCTGCTTCTCAAGCTCCTTGTAGTAAGACGCATCCTCCTTCACCAATCGCTGGAGCGAGGATGTCGCGATGGCAAGTGGGCTTGGTGGAGGCATTTTGACGGGTTGTTTGGTGTAGTGGTGTAGAGGTAGTGGATTGGATCTTGAGCTGGAGTATTTGAAGGTGTTATGGGTATATGGTGATGAGGTAGGGTTTTGATGGTGGGGTTGGTGGGGGTGTGTGTAGAACCTTTCGGAACGGAGTAAGAAGGGTCCCGAGCGCGTAAGTTAACTTGCCTTTAAATCGACTGCCAACAACCTCGTCAAGGGTTAGAAAGGAGGTTATAAATTAGAAATACATCAACGTGTGAAAGTCTTGGTTTCAAATTCTACTTTGTGGGTTCAAATGTATAAAGATTGCTGTTACCACTATACTATAGCTTCTTGTTCACCAAAACAATGTTCATAGACCGCATTTTCGCACGTTTATCAAATTTCATATCTCGTCTGATATTCGGCTACTACCAGCTCCAACCAGTAGACAGGCATATAAGGCGCTGATAGATAATATTATATCATCCATATATATAGTAATATGCCCATTTAGATCCCATCAATGACCCCCCAAGAACAGTCTGTATCCAATAAATGCTCAAAGCATACGCCCAACAGCACATAAACCAGCTGTTAACCCCCTTTCTAGACGCTAAATCCAGTGTCAAAGCAAACATTTTCGTTGATACGAAGTCAGTTCTCGAACCCATGCTTGCATGTCGAACTCCAAATACTGCTGTACCCGCTCATACAATCCGGTAGAACGTCCTCGCCATCAAGAAGCAACTCAGCCCAAACACCAACAGGCCGACAGTAATGCACCAAAACCACGTCAAGCTGTTTTCCGCATTCTGTCCAGGCACCCAGACGTTCATTCCCCACAAACCGGTGATAATATTCATAGGCAGCACGATCGTTCCCAGCACCGTCAATTTTCCAAGAACGTCTGCAGTCTGCTCTTGTCTCTCGTTCATGCGAATATTAATCTGAGCGAGGTAGTTGCCGTGTGACCGGGCGAGAATCCTGTTACAATTAGCGTCATATCAACTAGATAAGAAAATGAGGGGCGTACTTCTCATAGTGACTCAAGTTCCCCGTCATAGTCACAATATGATCCTGAATATCCCCCAAATATAGCCCAATCTCGCTCCTCGGCGCAACATCCCAATGCTCATTGCATCTCTTCGCAAACCCCTTAATCACATCCGCCTTATTGCCGAGCAGTCGATACAGACCCATGACCTTCTTCCTGCAGTCTCCAACACGCCTGAGCATGTCGGCGCCGTTTTCTACAGTCTTTCCGCCTGCTTCGGAGCGTTTCTCATCTGTGGAGTCGCCGGATGGTGGAGAATGCAACATTAGAATCGCGTCGTCGATGTCGTCGACTTCATCCTCGATGGTTTGGATCAATGGTGCAAATACATCGGTAATATCGTCGATGATGGCGTAGGAAATCCAATCCGAGGAGAGGATCAGGTAGTCTTTCAGCTGGCGAATTCGTCGCCGCACGTTTGCTGGGTGCGGGGTGAGCGAGAAGTGGAAGCTGATGATTCCTTCACGGAAAACGACGACATACATGTTGACAGGCTCGAGGAAGTCTTCGTTATTCATATCCTGCTCAAATGTCCGATAGTTGACAAAGTAGTAGTTACGGAACAGTTCCACCTTCTCTCGCGCTTCTTGAACCATAATGTCCTCTGCGGTAAGCGGATGAATACCGAATGTTTTGGCTATGGTTTTCATTTCCGCTTCAGATGGAGAGAACACGTCTAGCCACCACGTTGGCCTGTCTCCGTAACGCTTCGGTCGTTCTCTGGGGGCCTCTGGGGACTTGGTGCCGGCTGAAGTTTGCTCGGTTGTAGCTTCTTTAGCTGCCGCTGCTGCTTGATGAGGATCTTGTGGTGGCGGTAACGATAATTCGGTGATGTTCATGGTGTTCGCAGAGCTTAGTTTACCCCTGTGAGCGGGAGTTGAGACTTTTTCAGAATGCCTGTCCTCGGGCACAGTTGAACACGGGCTCAAATCCATATAAGAGCTTTGGCGAGTTGTTGCTATATATTCCATATTATTGCCATTTGAATGAGTACGCGTCTGGTATTGTTCTGACGGCAGAAGCCCCGGGTACTGATCCTCGTTGTCGTCGTCAGACGAGTCGCTTAATTCGGGGCGGTCAGGAATAAATAGCTCCTTAAAACCTAGGCCAGGTTGTTCGAGCTCTGATATAGTCTGGCTGTGGATGGTGCTTGGGAATTCTTCGTTGAAGTAGGTAAATCGGTAAGGAGCATCCTCCTCTACCCGATGCCAATTCCGCGAGTGGGTGGGACGCAGACGTCCTCCAATAAGCTGCGGTTCAACCATTCTCTTTGCTCGCGCCTCTTCACTTCTCCCTTCCTTCTCAATTCTGCTCCACTCATCAAGAACAGCCAGATCAGGCCACTTTGGACGTCGGCGTCGTACATTTTGGTGGAATATACTGCCTTCCCGTTCCGCAACGTCTTCTTCTGCAATTTCCGTGATTTCTGACATAGCTTCCGCAGGAAAGCACACATCCTCCTCTGCTCTTGCGGCGATTGTCGGGCGTCGTTCCAATCTCTCGACCAGCGAGCCATGCACTGACCGCCGGTCGGGCGTCGTCTCGCCCCTGTCATGATACTCGTCCGTTTCTTCTTCTTCAAAATGATCCCTATCACTTGGGAATTCATCTCGTCCCAGCATGTCCCCAAAGCTCATTGGCTTATGGGCCGGGCTCATCGAAGGGCTTCCTGGAACAGAAGGTGGGTAATTGACGTTGTAAGCGCCCGACGATTGAGAGGGAAGAGGGGCGGGCACCTCTCGGCTGGTCGATTTCGATACTCTTTTCCTAATATCGGACGAGCTGCTGCCATTTCGACCATATCGGCTCGGTTTGGGTCCCGACCCCATACTTTGTTCTCCGTATCCACTCCTTGGCATAGAAGTAGCAAGCATCGGTGTCCGCTCGTCTGCCTCTTCGTCCAAGTTTTCTTCATTATTGGGCCCTGAGTATCCACGCTTCAACTGGCGGCTGCGAACACTTTCTTGGGAGGCAAAGGGGTTTGTATATTGTGGCCGGATGGAGCCGGGGGATTCGTAGATTGACTGGTCAAATGCATTATGTTGTAATGTCGAGGCTCTTCGAGGCCTCATGAACTTCTGTTCTCTGCAGTTTGTTAGAATAATATCTTCCAGTTGCAAACAACACGCCATAAACGTACCGGTGATCGAGCAGTGCCTCGCTCTCTAAGCTCGTATTACTCGAGTTCCGCCCTTGTAGTCTGTGCAAAGGGGACCTCGCAGTGCTTTGCTTAGTTTTGCGATCTTCTGAGGTCTCGAGGACGGCCGACACATCTTCTTCTTCGGAGGGCGATGAAAACGACTGCTTCGTTGAGCGCTTCTTTTTCCCTCCTCTGTGATTCCTCTTCTTCCTCGGGGCCTGGAACGCCGAGGCTCGACTGCTGCTCACGCGCCCGTCTTGGCCTGGAGGCTGCTCCATGTCTTGATGGGCGTGGCGATTAGCGGTCGGGGCTTGCCTTTCGTTGTCGCCGGAGCTTAAGGAGAGGTCCGGCACATGGTTTTCTCACAGTAGAGGTCGCTTATTGGCAATATAGGGCACAGTAAGTCTCGACTTGGAGATAAATTTGGAGTATATATGGTGTGGCTGAGTTGAGGAATAGACGCCGAGTATGTGCCGCCTTGGTTCCACGACCTGGTTGAATGTCGCGCGCTAACTTAGCGGGGGGATACCTTGGATGGCCAAACCGCCGCAAGCAGGTCGTGCGCCCACAGATCCCGCGTTCCTTTCTTCTAGAATGAAACATAATATATACATAATGAATCGGCCGAGAATCTGGCATTAAGATATATCAGTTTTTCATATTGTTTCCTCGTTCTTGACGGGTTGGTTCTCCCTCACAGCAATGGAAAAAGTGGAGTCTGACGTCACCACGTCTGTTCACCTAATGGGCTAGCCTACAGACAAGCTGAGGCAGCAAAGCTCTAACAAGGCTTCTACCCCTATGGCTAGTATTTGGAATCCAGCAACGAAGCTTTGAATCTCCAGAGCTACATATTTATATGCAGGCAGCTGGCTAAGCACCTGATGCTGGAGGCTTAAATCAGATCATCCATGATCTGAGCGGTACAGCGAGAAATCGGAACAACATATTACCGTAGCGTATACCTTAATTCAACTTGAGCTCTAAGCGCCCGATACAGTGTGGAATTCTCACTCCTAGGCACCACTCCTCTGAGACTAGCTTAGGGGTGGAAGTATTCAACTATATAAAGTAGTTACAGTAGCTAGATTAATAAAATATGCTTTTATTAATCACTGTTCTAAAGACTGGTTGATATGCCTGTAATTATCATTATTCTATTCTTACAGACTGCTACTAAAGTTTTACATGTAGTATCTCCCTAGCTAACTTAACTCTAATCTTCAACTTTGAGCAAACACTATTTACTAAATAACGTGGTCGGACACTAAGTTGACCACGTTATTTAGTAAATACCGAGTTTACTGCAACACCGAGTTGATCACTTTTCTATACCCTTACCACCTCGAAATATAATAAAACCACCACAACACATAATATTCATTAAGACTACTCGGAATCTAATGAACTAGACATATTTACACCGTTAGGACAAGTTAGCGCATAATGACCAGTCTTTCTGCAATTGCCACAGTGTTGTGTAGTCAAATGTGTAATGGTGGGTGCACCAGATGTGAGAATCTAGCCACCCAAGGAAGGAATGATTTTACTAAGACAACACACTGTCTTAGAAAAAGAGCCAAAGGGTCGTAGCTTAGACTATTCCACAATGCAGCAATCAGGTGTATGATATATTGGAGTGGTTTAGACAAGTTGTAACAAATGTTGAGTCTGAGAACTCAGGGATAAGTCAGAGGTTAGCACCTCACTGACTTTTCAGAAACAAGGAGTAACAAGATCAATGCTTGGAAGCTTGGAAAAGACGTGGAAGTATGTGATAGTCGATTTACTGTATTGTCTGCTTGCCCTTTCTTAAGGAAAGGGCAATCCTATTTATGCTAAAGGAGTGTAGTTCTCTCATTTTCCAAGACTTTCCATGACTAACCAGGCTTGGTAACTGTAGTCGACGTAAGAGAATCCCATAGAACCATCTCCTAGGTTCCTAGCCTATAGGAAGTGAAAGGAGGTCCAAGGTCAGAGTACCCCTATAGACAGATTATGTCATAACTTAACCAATCTTGTGGGTAACTAAGGAGCGATGACGTGTAATGAATCATAGATGGTTGTAGAAGCTTTTGGAGCTATCGTTCATGTTCCTAGGCCTCTAGTTGATAAAGATATGTCATGTGTAGTATTAGCCCAGTAACTAAGGAGTGATGTCATGTAATGAATCATAGAGGGTTGTAGAGATATGCTATGTGGTCATATCGGCCCAGTAACTAAGGAGCAATGACGTGTAATGAATCATAGAGGGTTGTAGCAATCGCTGAGTAGTATTGCTCTTGTTGTTGGTGTGACAATCCAAAATATGTATAGTGACTTGTAGGTTTGAGGAGGAGATTTCTAAGTTTGCTCTTGAGTTTGATAGCAAACTGAGTGCAACGAATGTCAGTATGACATTAACCCCCTTGCCCCATACCTATCCGTACTTGCTGTATAAAAGAAGAGAATAGTAACTGCTGTTCTTTTCGAATATCCTCAAGCTGCATAGCTATTGCAGCTTGAAGCCGCTCTTCTTGCACCTTAAGACGGGCTTCTAACTGCTCCTGTAATACTGCTGGATCTAAATACGCAGTTGAGGAAGCAGCAGTTGAGGAAGCAGCAGTTGAGGAAGCAGCAGTTGAAGCAGCAGTTGAAGCAGCTGCTTCTACAAGCCCTTCTACCATCGTCATAAGACGATCTTCTCGTTCTTCTAGAGCAAGTAGGTGGCGATTCTTAGGACGCTGAGAAGAAGAGGATAAGTGTGGCGAAGGAGAAGCTCGGTATGGAGATGGAATTGGCGATAGAGCAAGACTGTCGTCATCTTCAATAACGATGACATCGTCTAACTCCTCACTGCCCACTAATTGCTGTCCCTGGAGCGCAGGAAGGGTATTCCGAGGTGACGGTAGTGGTGGGTTAATACCCCGCTTGTCTTTCATTGTCATAAGCATTGAAGCCCGGGCAAGGTAAGAAGCTTCACTCTTGGCACCAATATTGCCTCGATATTCCTTTCGCTGGCGTATGACAACTGCATCAGCCTCAAGGACTTCAATCCAACTGTCCTCATATAACTGAGTCTCAGTTTGGCCATCCTGCTCGCCTGTCCCAAGATTCTCAAGATACTTCCGTCATATATTGATCCTCTGCTGTAGCACCCGGCGAAGAGTGCCGTGGACTTTTCCTGTCTCACTTTGCCAATCAGCAGTAACGTTATTGAAGAACGGTACTGCCTCTGTTGATCGATAGGTAGGTCCCATCCGTAGGCAGATTTTCAACAGTATGATATAATCTTCTGGACTCAAGATCTGACCCTTTCCTTGTATTGTATCCTCCTCTTCCCCTTGCCTTTGCCGCTTCTTCAGTCTTCCTTGAATATTTGAATCTCTGTTGGTAGAGGTAGGGGTAGGTAAGCTGTAGTCGTCGCCGTCGTAAATATCGCTATCATCGTCAAGGGGAAAGACGTCAACTGGAGGGGTTGCTCGAATAAGGGGGCTATCGCCCTTATTTAAATTTGAATCCGAATTCCAGAAGGACTGGAAGCTGGCTGGAATACCAGTAATCGTCAGTTTTATGGGCATCGTATAGTATAGTGCATAAAATTGTCACTTTTCTCATGATCGTAGGCACGCTTTACTTTAACAACGTTGGATTTACTCTAACGTGGTTTACCACCAAACGGAACATCCCACCAAATGAAACACTTTCCGATAGCATCGCAACCTCAAACCCAATTACTCTACCCTAACACATTAAAATTAACTACACTCAATTGAATTCTCTTCTCCTAATATCTCTTCAACCTCTTGACAGGTTCGTACATTATGCCCAGTCTTGCCGCACCTCCCACAGCGCTGCGAAGTCGATGGACCAGCCTCTACAGCACCCTCCTCATTTGACCTTTTCTGTCGTTTCAACCCTTTATCCTCTTTTTCAGCGATCAGTTTTTGAGCATCTTCTATAGTAAGTGACCCTCCATCTTGGACACGTGTACGCTTGGCTTTCCGACACTTTGAAAGTGCTGTGTTGGCCTTTCGAAGGGTACGGACCTCCTCTTGTATAAGGGTCATTTGGTGCGCAATGCAGTCTGTACCCTTCACCAGCTGCTTTACAGCTGAAAAAATCGTTGTTGGGGAGCTTCCTTGATGAATTCCAATTCTATTCTGTACAAACTTAGACTGCAAAATTGCATCAGCTGGGGTTTGTGGCGTTTGAGGGACCCAAGGGTCAGCCTCTAGTAGGGGGGATCCAGTTGGTGTTGGCATCCGTAACTTGATATCAAGCTTTGAGAGAACTGCTTCTGGGTTGTACGGGACTAGGCCAGTACCTCGAAAGCCAGCTAGGATATTTTCAGTTGTCATTGTATGGTCGTGGGCAGCCTTGAATGCAATAAAGAACTCAATCTTAGTGATATGGGTAATAGAGGCCTTAATGAAGACCTCAAGTTCTCGACCATACATTCGCTTTAGTACACTAAAACACCCAACATCAAGAGGCTGGGTAAGATGTGAGGAGTGCGCAGGGAGACAGAGCGTAATAATGTTGTTCTCCTTGCAGTACATATCAAGCTGGGCAGATAGGTGGCTCTCATGGCCATCTAGGACAATCATCCACCAGACCCCTTGTGTTCGTACACGTGTATGCTGATTAAAGTGTTTTATCCAGTCTAGACCTGTATCATTGTCGGTCCAGCCATTTGGTGAGGTCTTGATGGCCCAAGTAGGTGGAAGGCCGCACTCTGTGTACCAAGGCGCAAGGTGATGCTTGCCTTGTACAATCAAGTATGCAGGCACTACAAAGCCGTCTGCACTCACACATTCAATCGCTGTTGCCCATTCCCGATTACCAGACTGAAGCTGCTTTGCTCGGCCTTTTCGATCTGAGCTCGTAACAACCATATTCCCACAGATAACACCCATCATAAAGCCCGTCTCATCAAAGTTGTAGAAGTCAGCATCCTGGATGCTGTACTTCGCCTGCATGTTCTTTACCAGCTCAAACCACTTTCTTATACAATCAGGATCTTCGCAGAGGGCTCGCTGGAGGTCGTACGCACGAGAGAGACGCGTCTTAAGCTTTGGTTCATTGTGTACAAAGCGGTAGGGCCAGTTTTTTCCAACTGGGGGTTCGCGACGCGTCGCACGGAGGAGATTCGCTATATCTCGTACATCCTCAATTCGAGGTGGAAATCCTCGCGAATCTAGGTCAAGTACGTATCGTATGAGCTCCTCTTCCTCAATTGGGGTCAATGGACGTTGTTTGTCGCATCTACCAGCTCGTGGTTGGCTTCCGTGTATGCGACGGGTAAGTGTTACATGTGGGACCTCATATAGCTGCGCAGCACGTCGGATGGACAGTTTGTGGGGTGATTTGGTAGCTTGAATGGCTAGTACAACTCGGCCTTCATTAGCTTTCTGAGGCATCTTTTTGTTGTGGTGTGGTGGAGTAATTGGGTTTGAGGTTGCGATGCTATCGGAAAGTGTTTCATTTGGTGGGATGTTCCGTTTGGTGGTAAACCACGTTATTACTAAGCTATATACTAACTATATACAGTGAATTGAACCTGTGCAGAGCAGGACAGAAAACTGTTCTGCTCTGAACAGGTTTTTACTCCGAATCGCCTAGAGCGGCCTGTTATGGTTGATCTAGAACAGGGGGCAGGGGGCGGTGGCAGGGTTTAAAAACCGGCGGCTTGGCACCTTCTTATTCAGGCCATGGTCATGGTCACGGCCTGGCTGTAATGGTGGGTGCACCAGATGTGAGAATCTAGCCACCCAAGGAAGGGATGAATTTACTAAGACAACACACTGTCTTAGGAAACAGAGCCAAAGGGTTGTAGCTTAGACTATTCCACAACGCAGCAATCAGGTGTATGATGTGGTGAAGTGGTTTAGACAAGTTGCAACAAATGTTGAGTCTGAGACACAGGGGTAAGTCAGAGGTTAGCACCTCACTGACTTTTCAAAAACAGAGAATAACAAGATCAATGCTTGGAAGCTTAGAAAAGACGTAGAAGTATGTGCTAGTCGATTTACTGTATTGTCTGCTTGCCCTTTCTTAAGGAAAGGGCAATCCTATTTATGCTAAAGGAGTGTAGTTCTCTCATTTTCCAAGACTTTCCATGACTTACCAGGCTTGGTAACTGTAGTCGACGTAAGAGAATCCCATAGAACCATCTCTTAGATTCGTAGCCTATAGGAAGTAAAAGGAGGTCCAAGGTCAGAGTACCCCTATAGACAAATTATGTCATAGACAAATTATGTCATAGACAAATTATGTCATAACTTAACCAATCTTGTGGGTAACTAAAGAGCGATAACATGTAATGAATCATAGAGGTTCGTAGGAGCTTTTAGAGCTATCGTTCATGCTCCTAGGCCTCTAGTTGGTAGAGATATCTCATGTGGTAGTATGAGTGATGTCATGTAATGAATCATAGAGGGTTGTAGAGATATGCTATGTGGTAATATCGGCCCAGTAACTAAGGAGCGATGATGTGTAATGAATCATAGATGGTTGTAGCAATCGTTGAGTAGTATTGCTCTTGTTGTTGGTGTGATAAGCCAAAATATGTATAGTGACTTGTAGGTTTGAGGAGGAGATTTCCAAGTTTGCTCTTGAGTTTGATAGCAAACTGAGTGCAACGAATGTCAGTATGACACTATGGGGCCTAGGTGGGGGAAGACCTTGTGTCGGAGGGGACTCGGGCCTGGCCCTTCGCGTGGGGTCACTTCGACCCTTCGTCTCTCATGGTGGTAGTGTCATACTGACATTCGTTGCACTCAGTTTGCTATCAAACTCAAGAGCAAACTTGGAAATCTCCTCCTCAAACCTACAAGTCACTATACATATTTTGGCTTATCACACCAACAACAAGAGCAATACTACTCAACGATTGCTACAACCATCTATGATTCATTACACATCATCGCTCCTTAGTTACTGGGCCGATATTACCACATAGCATATCTCTACAACCCTCTATGATTCATTACATGACATCACTCATACTACCACATGAGATATCTCTACCAACTAGAGGCCTAGGAGCATGAACGATAGCTCTAAAAGCTCCTACGAACCTCTATGATTCATTACATGTCATCGCTCTTTAGGTACCCACAAGATTGGTTAAGTTATGACATAATTTGTCTAGGACATAATTTGTCTATGACATAATTTGTCTATGACATAATTTGTCTATAGGGGTACTCTGACCTTGGACCTTCTTTTACTTCCTATAGGCTACAAACCTAAGAGATGGTTCTATGGGATTCTCTTACGTCGACTACAGTTACCAAGCCTGGTAAGTCATGGAAAGTCTTGGAAAATGAGAGAACTACACTCCTTTAGCATAAATAGGATTGCCCTTTCCTTAAGAAAGGGCAAGCAGACAATACAGTAAATCGACTATCACATACTTCCACGTCTTTTCCAAGCTTCCAAGCATTGATCTTGTTACTCCTTGTTTCTGAAAAGTCAGTGAGGTGTTAACCTCTGACTTACCCCTGAGTTCCCAGACTCAACATTTGTTGCAACTTGTCTGAACCACTTCACTACATCACACACCTGATTGCTCCGTTGTGGAATAGTCTAAGCTACGACCCTTTGGCTCTTTTTCCTAAGACAGTGTGTTGTCTTAGTAAATTCATCCCTTCCTTGGGTGGCTAGATTCTCACATCTGGTGCACCCACCATTACACATAGGCCGCCCCAACTTCCCCATCCTCCCCCTCCCTCCTTCCATCACCCTGAGTCGGAGCTTCCAAATTTGAAGATGCCGGTTCCCACCCCCTCCAGGGCTCTTCCTGTCGCCTTCCGTGTGCTCTGTTTGCGCTGCCTTCAGGCCAAAGCCCATGGGATCCAGTCCCACGACTGCGTCTGGTCCTCGACCAGTTCAAAGTGTGGGTACTGCACGTCGCAGCACTCGCCTTGCGTCCCGGTAGGTTTTCTTGTGGGGTTCAGAGTTTGGTTTGGTTGGCCGTTGCTGACTTTGGTGAAAGCTGCCCTGGTTCCTTGGGGAAGAGTTTGCGGCCCTCCTGGCCGCCCAGAGCATAACAAAGTTCCACTCCGAGGCGGAGCGTGACCTCTATGAGGAGGCACGCGCCACTCGGGCTGCCCTCGAGTTGGGGCTGGCCGTGAGTAGACCCCCTTCCCCTCGTGACTCAGTGTGGTTCCGATGCTGACTCTGGGCAGCAAATTCAGTCGTCGCTGCGCCGTCTCCGGACGGAACAGGAGAGCGTTCCTGCTCTCTTGGGGGAGTTGGTGGCTGCTGTGGGCAAACTGCCCACCGCTGCCGCTCCCGTTCCGTCAGCCCAGCACAAGTTATCAACACCGCGCCAACGCGCTCCCATCACCTACTCGTTCTTTGGATTGGAGGATACTATACAATCTATCAGTATCATAAACAAACGGACAGGGAGGGGCCACTTACCGGTCTCGGGCAGGAGTGTTGCAGGCGTTGTTATTGTAAGGTAAAAACAAGAGGAAGTGGGCGAAGCGGAATACTCAAATGTTAGCTTACAACAATGAACGCTGAATCAGGTTAGCGCGGCCACTTCTTCTTTCACGTTTTACGAAAATTCTACTCAAACGGGTAGCGGACACCTTCCGGTACTGTTTCGGACCCCAAGAACGAACGTGAGATCCAACAAAAGCAAACTCCAGTTTCGCATGCCACACGGACCCTAACGCGATACCACCTCGGGATGACTACGGTGGCAAACAAAGCACCTTCCCGATGCGCACGACAAACGAAGTTGTTCCGGACGCAATTACCAGCCAACATTATGATAACAAGAAACGCTCCGTTCACGGAGACGATACGGAGACGATTCGGAGACGTTGCAGACAGGATACTAGCCGCGTGCCTTGCGGACATGATACTAGCCGCGTGCCTTGCGGACAAAGCACTCTCTCAGGAGGGGGGTAGTGTAAGGATGCCTTCTCGTCTCTCATTCTAGGGAGTAGACTCCGGGTAGCCGCGGGGTCACGTGTGATCATTTGGGTGGCCTAACCGAGTCGGAACCGAGTCGGATGGGTTTCGGATACTTGAGAAAATCGACTGACGGGGGTTCCCCATCATCTTTTTTGTATCCTTCGTAGTAGACCTATAGGATAGCATCCGTTTAGCCTCCGACTCGCACTCTCATATGCTATTACTGTGAGCTGGGTGCCCTGTGTCCTTACACCGGCACGGATGTAGAGGCTTCTAGCATATCATCTCGTACTTGCTTCTAGGCCCGTTACTACTCAGGATGCTAAGGTGTGTATATAATAGCTTAAGCCCCCAAGGACGCCCCCTTGTCAGCCAGGTAAGGAATTACACTGATTGCTCGCTTAGCCCACCCAACTAGCGAGCCAATCAAAACCCATTGACCGGTGAGCCGGAATACTCTTGTAATGATGTACAGTTATGCTCGTGCTACATCCCACTGAGCCAAAAAGACTACAGTATTCCGGCTCTCCCGGAATACGCGTGACACGCTTTATATACCACATGTACTGTAACGGCGGCACCCGTTACACCGTGCCCGGGAGAAGGGGCGGGGATGCCGCCTAGGCCGCCAAGCGCCAACCTGGTGCCAAGCCTAGTATCACCTAACTTAGAAGATAAAACTAGGCACCACTGCTCCGAGACTAGCAGAGTTTTTCTGCTATATAAAAGTAGCTAGATGAATAAAACATGCTTTTCACAGATCACTGTTCTGAACCTGGTTGACATGCCCATAATTATTATATTATTCTATTATTACGGACCGCTACCAACACCTACAAGTTTTACACATATAGCTGTTCAAGTACTGCAGGATCTATTGTATCTGACCCAAGACTAGCAAGACAACGACGATTGTAGCTGGTCTCAGCAGCGCATGCAAATGCAGCATCAATAGTAGACTCTCTAGCAATCTGCTTTTGTGCTTGTGAGGAGATTTTGGTAATTTGATGAAGTCTGCCCAAGTGACGCACAGATTCCAGTACCAGTAGTCTCGGCATATACTGTAAGGCAGTACCTACACTTCCAGACAATGTTCCTTTAGAATCGACATATATGGTATTAATATTGTCATTAGGAATATGCTCCCATATCCAAGAAGTTCGTCCACGGCGTTTTTTAGGTACAGAGCGATTGCTAGGTCGGAGACTTGAGGCTTGTGAGATGGAGGATGAAGGTCCTGGTGGAGTTGATATGTCAATGCCTTGCTGCTAGTTGCCCTTGAGAAAACTGTAAAAAACTGGTACTGTAGAGTAGTAGTACTGCACTGCAGAAACTGTCAGAAACTGCGAAAACTGCCAGTTTGTAAAAACTGTTGGCAACACTGGCCCAAGCTAGCTTTCGAGCAACTAGCAACCCAATTGAGGCTACTTCGCAGACTACTTTAATTAAGAATAGGATTGCCCGTCATCAAAATACTTACATTTATAGCCAACTAGACTCTCTTGCAAAGAGTACAACTAGGATTATGTATAAAATGGCTTTAATGGTATAGGTAACCAAGGAGAAGCTTGCGGCCATGGCAAGGAAGACCATCGGTGGTTATACATTCAATAATTGCTATTGTATTTAGCTAGGTCTTGTCTTCCCGCTGGGTTGAAGCTCAGATTTGTGTGGACTAAACCGAAAGATGCAGCCGTCATCACTCTCTGACTGATCGGGACTTCGGAGCAGTTCGTTATTTTCTTGCTCGTTCCGACGGAGAGAAGGTTCTTTGTATTGAAGTCCCAGAATCAGAGGCCCTATCGAAGCTGGCCTACGTCGATTGAGGACTTTCCTAGGAATCTGGATACATTCTCCACGTTGAATAATGCCGTCCGCCAGCCCGACATCCGATGCTCTAATTGCACTCTCTTCTTCAATAGTAATCTCGCTATTGCTATCCTCATCTATTAAAGCACAAATATCGTTGGAATTCCGAAGGCGACTTAGATCGATATGACCGGCACATTTGGGAGATTTATGACATCCAAATGAGCTAGCAGAAGCATGCTCATTTAGAGGTTTCGTAGCTTCGTAGCTAGCTGGTAAAGCTTTATAGCTGTAGCATTGGGGTCCCTCCCAATGGAATACGCCAGGGAAAAGAATTGCGACATAAGTGACCCCCAGCTGCCCCCACTGCCACCATGGTCAGCACAGCCTATTGACACAGTCTTCCCCATGATCGTAGGTGCTTAAAATATCTTTGAATTCGACAAAACGGAAGCTTTCAAAGAGGATAGCGCCACATCGAGCACTACTCTCCCCGAAGTTATGACTCCCCAAGTGGGAGACTGCCGTGCGTACACTCGGCCTTGGGGTCAGAGAACCTGAAATGGATGACTTCCAGGTTCTCCAACCCAGCGCCCGATCAAGCAACCCGCGCTGTTATCAGCGTCCTCAGGAGTAGAAGTTTTCAAGATCAAGACATGACAACATAATCTGTCAAAGACAACAACCACGAAACAGGGGTAGTAAGAAGCAAAGTGGTACGAACGAGAACAGAACAGCACAAATACGATACTTAGCGGTGTGGGTATTACTCCACAGAGCGCTCATGCATCCATAATGGTAGGAAGGTTGGTAGCGATAGCTTTCCTTTGTCGTGCGGATTTGGCGTTGATAACCACAACTGGTGGACTTGGAGCTGGTGCTTGAAAAGACGTCCTCTGGTATAGGATCCGCTCAGAGCTTCATCCGGTTTGGTATGGTGTCTCCGGTAAGTTACCGTCCCCATGGCGGCGAGTTTCCATGGTATCCATTGCTTGTAAGCAAAGGCAGTCATATACGTGGCAGCGGTGGCTTGTGCCATGTGTACTGCGGGTTGAGTGTCTAAACTCAAGGGCATTGTCCATTAGCCCATGTCTGTAGGTGGGAAGCACCAAGTGGTGAGGTCTCCTGGCATCAAAACCTCGGTGCGATCCTGTGATATTGTGTGACCGGCTCACATTTCTATAGTCCTGTGGTGCGAAGTGCTGTGGTGCGAATAATAAACGCCACTGGGGTGGCTGACTGGATATTGTGTGGTAGCTGTGCGATGGATCAATTCTCACTTGGTCCGTGGTGGAGTTCCGGCTGGTGTGGTGGCGGCTGCAGCATGGAGTCTGCAAGGCCAAACGGCCATCATATGGAAAGGTGACCAGGCAATAGGCCCAGTTGAAGGTGCAGAATGAATCCCAAGGGGCGAAATGGTCAATACCCAGATGGAAAGGCGACCGGGTAAAGGGCGTACAGCATCATGGTGGATGCCGGTTGCTGGAAGATTTAATGATCCGATGGGCAGTCGACTTCCTTGGAATGGTATAGCAATGACCGAATGGAGCAAGTTTGTTGTCCCCGTGGAAGTTTGACTAACAAAAGTGGCTCCTAACCTATGGCAGGTCTCATCCATTTCCACGGGGCGTTCATCTAACAAACCTCTGGTTGACGCTGACCTGCATGTAACTGACGCTCGTCTGGACCCATTTGGGGTAAATAATTACGCATGCGGTATCCATCAAAAGGCCCTCTGTCCCTGGGCAAGGTATATGTGTTGATGCCCTCCGCAAGGCTCTCATCAATGTGGCCCAGGAACTCAACCACTGACTCCCGGGCAGATTGGGATGATGTGCTCAATGGTAGGGATTCAGAGCTTCCTATTCCGTGATGTTTATAGAGGGAAGAGCCCTCTTGCGTGGCATGTACAGTATCCATGGCTATCCGTTCTGGGTCTTTGTGGGGCGTCCTGGGTAGTTCATTGAGTGTTTCGCCCGACATCCTCGACCCCACATCGGTCAAATCGTCTCCATCTCGGTCCGCTGTCAACCATCTCTCCCCGAGAACCTCAATGTGGATATACCCCTGTGCCCAGCGGTCCGCCAGTCTATCCAAAGCCTTGGCTCCCCTGGCAAGCTCCATGGTACAGAAGAGCGCGGCACACACGAACAGCGGGATAGCGGCTGCAACTTCGCGGGCCTGAAACGCTGAGCAGTCCAAAAGGATCGGTGATAGGATGATGAGGAAGAGTATTGGCGGCACACCAGAGGACAAAGGCTCGTGTGGATAGGGTGACAAGACGATGGTTTCTGGCTATGGGCCCCGAAGTTTGGAGAGCTTTAACACATACATGGATAGCTGGGAGTTAATGGAGGAGGGCTCGTAGAGGGTGAACCAGATCACGGCGGTGGTGGCCATGGTTGCCTGGGATAGCCACGTTACCGTGAACGCAAACATGCTGGGAAGATGGTGTAGATATGGGGTGGTGTAGATATGGCTCGGAATAGTTAAATCGAACGTTATATGAGGTATTTTGGTATAATATTGGGTATACAGGAAGAACCGTAGACGGATCTGTGGGGAAGAACTGATGGGGAATCCCCATTTAAAGCATCCGGTCAATAAGACAAGTGACCATCAGCGATCCCCAATTGCACAGGGTAGAGGCGGACAAATGGGCAAATCGGAGCGGACACGTCAATATTGTGGTAGGATTGTGGTAGTTCATTCATTCGCACCGTCTGCTACGCCTCAGTCAATTCAGCCTCACCAACATATCGATGCCCAACCTCCAACCCAATTCCTACCCCTCGCACCGGCAACAGCACGCCACAAGTCAAATGAGCCAATAACCTAGACAATTGTAATCAGCAATGTCCCCATCATCATATCTCCGACCCTTCCGGACCAGACACCCTGCCGCGCCCCATGCCGCTCTTCGTCACCGAGTGTGGCGCAAGCAGAGGGCATGTTGTGAAGTAGCATCAGAATCCCGTTTTATAAGCACCGCTGGCACGTCCCACTGGGATTACCTATAGGTACGTGCCGGCCTAATACGGCTCTTCCTAAAGATATATGGGTATATGAACTCATCATTTGCTTTTTCGGGTCTGGGTGGTATGGTACGGTCGAGTGCGGAGCTCAATCGTGCCTCGTCGATTGAGAGTAGAAGGAGAAAAGGTATTGCTTACCTGGTAAGTTAGTTGATACACAGCTTGCGATGTACTAGGCAGCGACGCAGGACCAGCTGCGCCTGTTGACGCTCTGAGCGTTGCATATTTGCAAATGGAGACAAGAGCTTGAAAACGAAGAAATACTGAATTGCTATCCGAACGCGCTAAGTTATCGCTTGAGGTAATTAGCCACGTGACTATATGGTTTCAATATCACGTGATATACGCAGGAGATACTGTATTGGATGACCGGGATATCAAAGCTAGCCAGGCCCAACTACCGCGTCTCGAGTCTACGGGTGAAGCGGCTCCTGCAATCCCGCGGGCTCTGGGATGTCGTGGAACCCCTCCCGAAGGCAGAGAAGGCAGGAGAGCAGCCCCAAGCACTGCGCGGCGACGTACCTGCCGCCGCTCCTCCCCCGACCGCAGACTTCGAAGTCCGCGATGCCCAAGCGAGCTGTCTGATAATGGAGCTTTGCGACCCCATCTCCCTCGACCTCATCGTCTCCATCGAATGTGCGTGCGAGCAATGGGCGCGTCTGAGGTTCTACGGGCCTTCATTTGGGCAGTATCAGGGGCTACGGGAGGAGTTTGGGGAGTTCGCGGCGAAGGCGGGAGGAAAGGGGTGGGTGGAGATTGCCCGGGGGGGGGTGCCAGGAGGGGTAATTGTCACGAGTAGCCTCACGTGCAGGACCTGTCACGTGCACTATAGTGCCAAGGTGGAGGTGTAACGCTGACTTCTAAACGATAGAAGACACAGAGGTTCTCTTGCGTAAGGGTTTACTTATCAGAGGAGGCAGGGGATCAGACACAAAGGCTTCAAGTAACACGTTACTAGTATATAACAAATACTGTATTGAGTTGAGCACGAAGCTCCTATCTAAGGAAATACTATCTACTTATATAGTGGTGTCGTGCCTACTGGACTCTTGGGAACTCACTCGAGTCCTTGGAGTCCTGGACTCTTAGGACTCTTCTCATCATCCTGCGAGTCCATCACGTGCCTAGTGGACTCCTGGGAACTCACTCGAGTCCTCGGAGTCCTGGACTCTTAGGACTCTTCTCATCATCCTGCGAGTCCGTCACGTGATACTTTCGGAACTACTATTCCCCGCTGCCCCTCCAGGTACCAGGGCCGGTCTCATGCGACCTCCCTCCTTCCTGTCCTGTAGTTGGCCAGCCTTCTTGTTCCGTCGTAACACTCGCTCCCTTCCCCTGGGCATTCGTCTCGAATCCTATAAGTACGTCCATGTCCCCGGGACTCTGCTGCTCCTCAGCGAGTCCTTCAACATGCAACATGCCTACTGACACTGCCCGCAAACTCCAGGAACGCAACGATCTTGTCCGTCGAATAAAGAACCACGGATACGAACTACCCGAAATGGATTCTTGCTCGAATTGCGTGAGGCGAAACATTACTTGCGTGTCGTCTCCAAATGATTCACGGCGGTGCGCCGAGTGCGTTCGTCGCAACTTGAAAGAAAAGTGTGACTGTATGGGTCCTGAGCATCCCGACTGGGTGAAGCTCGAACGGGAGGAGGATCGCCTGGATCGCGAAGAGGAAGAAACCCTTTCGAAGTTACTTCGTCTGCGGAAGCAGAAACGTCTCATCCGAACCCGTGGTAAAGATATGCTCCGGCGAGGTTTGAAAACCCTCGACGAGCTTGATGCGGCAGAGGAGGCCGAACGTGTGGCTGCTGAGAAGCGTGACGCTGTTGAGGCTGAGGAACAGGCAGTTAGCGCTGCCTCCTCGTCTGTGACCGGGACCCTCGCTTCCTCCGATCCACTGGCCTACTCCCCTGCATCTTGGGATCAATGGCTGGCGGATGGCGGCATCGATATTCCTCCAGCAGTTCTTTGCTGATGTTCCTTGTTGGTTCCCACGAATTATCCGTAGGTTCGTAATTTTCCCATTTTATCAAAAACTCTTCTCGACGTCCTACTAACCTTCTGTCTAGGATCGCTTCGACCTCATATTCGATTATCTCATTCTCGGGTTGGAGTTCGGTGTCGGTCGCAACTGGGGTATTTCCTCTTGCTGGTTCCAGTAGTGAGACATGAAATACCGGGTGTAGTCTAGACTTCCTGGGTAGCTGCAGTCTGTAATTAACTGAGCTGACTTTGTTCAATATTTTGAATGGTCCCAATTTCTTGAAGTCCAACTTTGTGCTTGGTCGTTTCGTTTTGATATGTTTCCGGAGTAGGTATACTTTATCCCCCTCCTTGAAGGCAGGTTCCATACTGCGCTTCTTGTTTGCGTATGCGGCGGATCGTTCATTTAAGAATTGGATGTCCGTCGCAAGTTGTTCGTGGAACGATTTCAGTTGTTCCACCACGATCAGGGCTTGTTCAGCTCGTGATTCATCCGGTCTTGGTTGCCTATATGCTTCTGGCTGGTAGCCATAATTGGCAAAGAACGGTGAGACTTTCGTTGCTTCTGTCATCGCGCTGTTATATGCAAACTGTGCGATGGGTAAGATCTGAACCCAGTTATCCTGTTGATGATTGACATAGCTTCGCAGGTACTGTTCAAGGGTCTGATTTAATCTTTCTGTTTGGCCGTCTGTCTGGGGATGAAAAGCTGTTGACAGCTTATGATTTGTTCCCAGTAGCGCCATCAATGATTTCCAGAATTTCGAAGTAAAGAGCTTGTCTCTATCTGAGATGATTTCTTCTGGCATCCCATGATCGGCTAATATGACTCGAATGAAGGTATATGCGAGCGCCTCGGCGTCGCTAGCTTCTAGATATGGTATAAACTTCCCATATTTCGTGAGTCTTTCCGTGATGACGAGGATAGAGTCATATTCTATTCCTGTTAACGGGTCCTTGGAGGGTGGAAGCTTGACGATGAAGTCCAAAGCTATTGATTTCCACGCTCCTTTTGGTACTGGTGTCAACTTGAGTTGTCCGTATGGCAGGTGCCTATTGGATTTTGACTTGCTGCAAATGTCGCACTCTCTTACCACCGTCTCTACCTGCTTCCTCATACCTGGGAAGTAGTAGTGTCGGGTGATTCGTTCGAAGGTTCGTGTTACTCCCTGATGACCGTGTGCTGGTAACGAGTGTTGTTCTTGCACCAGCGGGCGTCTCATTTGACTTGGGACATACACTAACCCTTTGTATCGAATCAATCCTTGTTCGTCGATGGCGAAGTCGCCTTCAACTTTGGACAAGACTCGCTTGGCGCATTCGTCTGTTGCGTAAGCTTTCTTGAGTCTTTCCTCGAGTTCTGTATCTTCGATGACTGAGATCGTCGCTAGTAACTCGTTGTACTGTATTCCTGCATCTGTTTCCTTCAGAATTGCTCTAGGTCTTTCTTCCTTTGGGCCGGCGTAGTCGGTCCGTCTGCTGAGAGTGTCTGCTATTGCATTCTCGGAGCCCTTGCGATAGGTTATCGTGAAGTTGTAGGCTGCGAGGGTTTCTGCCCAGCGGACTTGTCTGCGGTTTAAAACCTTGGTCGTGGTGAAGTATATGAGGTTCTTGTGATCCGTCCATACCTGCACAGGGTAGGTGGGTCCCTCAAGATATACTCGCCACTGCTCAAAGGCAACGACAATAGCCAGTAGCTCCTTGTCGTGGATGTCGTAATTGAGTTCCGCGGGTGACAGTTTCCTAGAGTAGTACGCGATTGGTTTGAACTTACCGTTCTCGTCTGGTTGATTCAGACATGCTCCAATTGCGAAGTCAGAAGAGTCCGTTTCGAGGATGATCTTCTTTGCAGGGTCAAATGTAGCAAGGATAGGTGCTTCCGTGAACTTCGTCTTAAGTTCCTGGAAAGCAGCCTCTGCCTTGTCCGTCCATTTGAATTCGAGATCCTTTCTGGTAAGCTCCGTGAGTGGTTGAGCTACCTTGGAATATCCCGAGATGAATCTTCGGTAGAAGTTGGCGAAGCCTAGGAAGGCTTGCACTTCCTTGACCGTGGTCGGTGTTGGCCATTCCAACACTGCCGTTACTTTTGCTTGGTCCATCTTGATGCCGTGCGTTCCAATAATGTAACCCAAGAATTCGACTTGGTTTTTATGGAACTCGCACTTCTCTGGTTTGAGGAGTAAGCTGTACTCCTTTAGTTTCTTCAGGACGAGTTTGACATGCTTGACATGCTCCTCCTTGGTTGCTGAATACACCAGGACGTCGTCTAGGTAGACAATGGTAAAGATGTCTAAGTATTCGTGCAAAGCATCATTCATCAGTCGTTGCATGGATGTGGGTGCGTTTGTTAGCCCAAAGGGCATGACTTGATACTCGAATAGGCCATAGCGGGTGCGGAATGCTGTTTTCCACTCTTCCCCAGCCTTGATTCGGATCAGGTTGTATGCTCCTCGCAGATCTAGCTTACTGAAGATCTTTGCTCCTTGAAATCTATCGTGTAGTTCGTTGATTAACGGCAGGGCATACCTGTCCTTGATTGTGATGTTGTTCAACGCTCGATAGTCCACACATAACCGTAGGGAGCCGTCTTTCTTTGGTACGAAAAGCACCGGACTTCCTGCTGGTGATGTGGATGGTCTGATGAATCCTTTCGCTAGGTTATCATCGATGTACTCCTTAAGTACCTTCAGCTCCTTTTCCGATAGCTGATATATTGGTCCGAACGGTGGACTCTTGTCTTTCTCCAAAGGTATCTCGTGATCCCATGGTTGGTGCTTAGGAAGCGCCTCGTTCTTAGGGCCTTCCTGGAATAATCGCTCGTATTCCTTGTACTCCACCGGTATACTCGTCGGTGAGGATGCCTGGGCTAGGTCATCGAGCTCGGAGGTTGCACATAACTCCTTCCGGCCCTGGGAGGGTTTCTCCCGTTGTCGCGTGTCCGTCCGTTGTTCACACGCGCACTGGCTCATCACAACTTTCTCGTTCCACCAGTCGATCTGGGGGTTGTGTTTCTTGAGCCATGGCACACCAAGGATGCACGCATGGTTGTCCATGTGCACGATGTCAAACTGAATCGTTTCCTTGTGCCCGTGTAGCATGACCATTTCCAATGGGACCGTTTCGTGGGTCACCATTCCTTCATTAGTCGAGATGGGCTCTCCATCTACGACCATTAACGGGTATGGTTTGGTTTTCAATTGCGTCTTGAAACCTTGCGTGTCTGCTACTTTCTTTGTCATAAAGTTGCCCGTCGCTCCTGAGTCAATCATTGCTCGGAGGTGTCGCTGTTGTATCTTAGCGACCACATATAGTTGCATGCTGCCCGTCGTGGCGCATAGCTGGTCTGTACTAGGCCTCTTCGTGTCGCTCGCCGGTGGCCTACCGTCGAGGACTCCTAGTTTTTTGACTCGTCCGAGGAAGGATAGTATTCATCCGCTTCCAATGGTGGTCCTTGGGGAGATCGTTTCCCTCGCTCTTCTGCTTCGTCTAGCAGATGTGGGTATTTCTCGTATACCTGTTCGCTTTTGATAGGCAAGTCCCCTTCAGACTGGCTTCGCCTGAGGGCGTGAACTTGCTCTGCATCTCTGAAGTGTATCCTGGGCGAGGATCGGGGAAACAACTGATTCTGCTGTTTCTTTTCCCAGTGGAGCTTGCAGTCATCTTCGCTGCAATACCCCCAGTAGACATACGCGTGCCAGGGATGATCAGTCTCTGTTGCGTCTGTCGTTGATAGTTCCCGCTGTCCTCTCACCCATGCACTATCTTCCCTCGGAGGCGTGGAGAACGTGTCTAGTTGCTCCATGGCTCTCCTTTCGATGCGTGGAGTGGGTCTCGCATTTTCCCGTCGGAGCATATCTCTGGCTTTCTCGTCGTACTTCTCCAGGGCTCTCCTGCGGTCCTGGTAGTAAAGTTCGACGCTTTTCATATTCTTCAGTTTAGCCATATGCTCGACATCCTTCTCCAGTTCTTCCGCTTCTTGGGCTTCCAACTTAGCTACGTCTGGGGACGTGCCAAGCAGCCTGCGGGTATTCGTTAGTTGGTCGTAGTATCTCCAGAGGTCATCCTTGCAGTCGTCCACCTTGCACTCTAACGGAAGTCCCTGTAACAGGTTCCCGTAGATGCCCTTAAGCGTGGGGATTCTCCTCTGGCCGCTGGGCTTGTCTTGTTCGGCCCTAATCTTCGTGTGGGCGTGTTTTGCCATGCGTCTTACTACGCTCTTGCACCGTGGACTCATTGGTTCCGTAGGTGCGAGCTCGTCGAAGGTCTCCTGTTCCGAGACGGTGAACGATTCCGCCTCCGACCCTTCGTCTGAGGTCTTGTCTTCTGGGGTGTTTTCGCCGTTTATTCCCCAGTCCTGTTTGCTCACAAACGTTGCGTTCAACTGTCCTGTCCAGGTGGCGTTAAGTTGCTTGCCGACTTTGCGTCCGCCGTTCCCTTTCTTTGGCTGTCTGCAGTCTCGGGCCATGTGGCCTGGCTTGTCGCAGTTAAAACAGAGTCGTTCCTTGAATTGTCTGTCTTTCTTAGGGTCACGGGGTCGTCCAGGTTTGAACGTGGAATCGAGTTCCATTGGGTCTGACCAACGGTTGTCTCGCGGGTGTTGATCCCGTCGTCTGCCCTCGTTTCCCCGGTAGGGGTAACTTTTCTTGGGCTTGTCATAGGTCCGACGTTCCTTCTGGAATTCGTATAGTCGATTGTCGATTCGGACCGTATGTTCGATTAGCGCTACCATGTCCGTTAGTTGTTGTTCCAAACGGGCAAGTTCCATACATATATGGCTCTTCAGCCCACGTCGGTAGTGGCTGATGAGTGCGCTGGCGTCCCATCCTGTCTGATTGCTGTATCTCTGGAATTCTGTGGAGTATGTGAGGGCGCTGCCAGTCTGCTTAAGTGCAAACAGATGGTCTTCTGCGGTCTTAATCTCATCGATGTCTCCGAACATGCGTCGGATTTCCTTACAGAATCCATTCCAGCTGCCAAACATAGTCTGCGTAGTTGTCATGCTTCCATTGGTACTTTCATATTTGAAATAGTCCTTGAGGAATGGTTCGATCCATCGCAGGGCTTCCCCCCTAAGGTAGGACGCAGTCCACAGGGCATAGCTCTCCTGGGTGGGAAACTTCTCATCATTGAAGTGCTGGTACAGTTCGACCTGTAGCAAAAACACCTCAAGTTCCTTTCGGTTGCCGGAGTAAGTGTCGGGCAACTTGACGCGTAGAGTTTCCTTGAGTTCGTTGACGGTGGGTGCATCGGGCATCTCTTCATTCTCAGGTTTAGACCTCTGAGACGAAGTTGGCGTGGTGGGGGTTTTCCCCTTCGAACTGACGACAGACATGTTGCTTTGTGTGTAAGCCGGTACCTCGTAGAAGTGGTGCTCAAAGTGTAACGCTGACTTCTAAACGATAGAAGACACAGAGGTTCTCTTGCGTAAAGGTTTACTTATCAGAGGAGGCAGGGGATCAGACACAAAGGCTTCAAGTAACACGTTACTAGTATATAACAAATACTGTATTGAGTTGAGCACGAAGCTCCTATCTAAGGAAATACTATCTACTTATATAGTGGCGTCGTGCCTACTGGACTCTTGGGAACTCACTCGAGTCCTCGGAGTCCTGGACTCTTAGGACTCTTCTCATCATCCTGCGAGTCCATCACGTGCCTAGTGGACTCCTGGGAACTCACTCGAGTCCTCGGAGTCCTGGACTCTTAGGACTCTTCTCATCATCCTGCGAGTCCGTCACGTGATACTTTCGGAACTACTATTCCCCGCTGCCCCTCCAGGTACCAGGGCCGGTCTCATGCGACCTCCCTCCTTCCTGTCCTGTAGTTGGCCAGCCTTCTTGTGCCGTCGTAACATCAACAAGTTGATATTCCATCAACTAATCTTGAAGGTAGAATATATATTGCTATCGAAGCTATTAGATTACGCCAATTTAATAGCATTAGGGAAGCTGCAAAGGCCTCAAATGTCTGTCCTAAGCTACTTGAGAGGCGCCTAAAGGGAATACGCCCACGACGCGACATTACTGTTACGGCTATAGTAACATGATGTCATGGTTACAGGGCCAGGGCCTAGTAACGTGACGTGTGAGTCACATAACGTGACGTGTGAGTCACAGTGGGAAGCGGGGTAGGCTGCCATGTGACGGGGCTAATGGATAGTTGCAGAAACTAGTGGATATTGGATAGTTGAGCTATCCACGAACTATCCTGAATATCTAGCTATCCGCCAACTATCCAGATTACCCATGAGGCACGACGCCACTATATAAGTAGATAGTATTTCCTTAGATAGGAGCTTCGTGCTCAACTCAATATAGTATTCTTTACATACTGTAACGTGTTACTTGGAAAGCCTTTGTGTCTAATCCCCTACCTCCTCTGTTAAGCTAAACCTTACGCAAAGAAACTGCATCCTATCGTTTAGGAAGCAGCGTTAACCACATTTCTCATATTTACAACACTTCTCTAATTTTATATAAATTTGCTACTACACCCATCTCAAAAATGAACTACACACCACCAGCCGTCCAATCTATCCATTTCGTTCCTACAGACGAGGAGGAAGTTGAGATCGGAAGCCGCCAGGTCCAGGCAATATATGTTCTTGCCCACGATACACTACCCGACGGCGCCAACCACTGGTGCTTCTATCTTAAATTCTCCAAGACCGCATCTATATGTATCGACATGACGCCGACGTATAGCGCTCCTAGCACCGTACTCCAAGATGGTTCAAAAGGCCACATGCTCATATCCGTCCTCCCATGCATCCATCCGTCACCAGCGACCAAAACCATCCGCCTCGGCGTCTGCGCCAACCTAACTGTGGACCGTATCCTGCATCTCCTAGCTCAGTCAGGTCGCGACCAGTACGATTCCAAATCCGACGTAGGTGTCGGACGTGAGCGACTGGCCAGATTTCGCTGTTAGGGGCACCGGATCACTACGCGCCGGCAGCGGAAGCGAGAAATGCCACCCTGGCGGAGTATCCAGGCGAGAAGAAGTTTGCCTTGCATGTGGGAGCATACTACTTAAGCGGCCTATCAGTCGTGTGGTGGAGAGGGCGAGGATGGCTGGGTCGGGCACGGTTGGGTGGTCTTGCCGGCGAGGCGGATGGGCGTATTGTTGTCTTTGCGGGAGGGCTGGGGATTATGTGATGTGGTCAGTCTACGAGAGCTTGAGAGGACGTGGGATGTGAGGGAGACAGCTGGGGGAGAACGTCTACGAAGGGGCTGCCAAACATATACGCCATGATTTGGTATAGATATTAAAAGCAGAGACAGAGATGGGGAGAAAGGTTGCAATGTAGGCATGTGGTGTAGGATTTAAATACAGTATCATTCCATATTCTAGGCAGTCGCTATTATTTACATATTCTAGGCGGCTAATGTTGGATGTTAAGTCGGTGACTATCTCAGTTGGATCAATAGGATAACAGCAGGCGTGTCACACACGCACGAACTCTCACTCACACACATCAAGATTAATGAATGCCAGGCATTTCATTCCAGCTCTATGTTCCGAGCCTAGCTATCGTAGTATCCATGGTATCCATCGTCATACTCATTTCATCCATCCATCCACCCATAATTTTCATCCCCCCTCATAATCGCAGCAAAAGCCAGCAGTACTCGAACAAACACCCCCCCTATCCATCACCACCCCTCTGCCTCCTCGTCTAGATGCAAAAAGAGTGTTGCGCGCCAAAAAAAAATGTGGCTGGTATAAAGAAAGTAATCGACTGAGCCTCCCCATCCCCGGCCCAAGAATCCATGGTAGCAATAAACTCACCCAACCCCACCGCCTGTCTCAAGGCATAAAACTCAACCATCTGAACTCCATTCGCAACGACATCGAATGCGATGCGCAACGCCAGCCCGACCCAAAGTATGTACAACGAAATTGATGGAAATTGACCGTGTGAATCTCGAACCACCCACGGCTCACCACCCCAACGAAACCAGTTCGCACGGAATGACATGCCCGCGGCAAGGTTAGATCCACATCATGGTCGAGCTCTGCACCGGCATCGGCTGTCCAATCATCTCACAATACAAGTCCTGGATCTCGACCACATAATCCGCAGCGCTGAACTTGCAAAGCCCCCGACTGTACAAATCCTGCTCCTCCTCGCTCATCGCGCGGCACGTCGCACTACCGGAGTACTCCTCAGCCAGCTCGCGCACCTGCGCTAGCTCGTTGGTGAAGGGGTTGGCTGTGCTGTCGAAGGCTGGGGCAGAGGGACTGAAGAAGTCGGCGCTGGTGCGGGGGTGGGAGGTGGATGGTTTGCGGGCTGGCGTCGAGGAGGAGTGGGGTGAGTTCCTGGAGGATTGGCGGGTAGAGCGCTGGCGCAAGAGGATCTCGTGGGATTTCTTGGTGTGGCTCATTGAGCGCTGCGGGATGGAGGGGGCGGTGGAGTCGGTGAATGCGGTGGTGGTGTGAGTGTGAGTCGGCTGCTTGTTGTTGGCGTTGTCGAAGTAGGAAGACAGGTGGTTTGGGGAGGGGGAGATGGGAGTGCTGCTGCTGGACCCCGAGCCGCGGACGGAGGAGTCGGGAGTGGTGGAGGCGGAGTGCGACATGGAGGGGATGTCGGACTCGTCGCCGGAGGAGGTGGGCGAGGCGGTGGAGATGGGGTGCAGGTCCGGCGCGTTGTAGGAGATCATGTTGGTTGTTGAGATGAGCGCCACCGGGGCGGAGATCTTGTTGCGGATGGTGCCTGCGGAGAAGGAGTGCTTGGATGTCAGGCTGCGAGAGGGGACCGGCGTGGTGTTTTGGGATTTTGACGCTTTGCGGGTGACGAATGCGCGGGAGAGTGCCATTGTTGGGGAATGAGGGCGCGATGTGGGAAGAGAGTGTATGTGTGGTCGGTGGTCGACTGTGGGAATGGGAGAGTTTGTTTCGAGTTTAGTTGTAGTTGTTCTTGTAGTTGTTCTTGTTGTTCTTGTTCTTCTTGTTCTTTCTTGTTCTTCTTGTTCTTTCTTGTTCTTCTTGTTCTTCTTGTAGTTATTCTTCTTCTTGTAGTTGTAGTCCCTTCTTATTGTTGCAGATGCGCAGACACAGTCCAGCGCGTGATGAATCTGATCGAGATGTGTTGTTGTATGGTGCTGTGGACTCGTAGTGAGTTGTTGGTGGTGGGACAGTCCCGTCAATACTGTAAGGAGCGAACAGATGTTGATAATTGATGCGCTGCAAAGTCCAAGTTGTCGATATGATTTATCGACCTGCGACGGATAAATGAGAGATGGGGAAATTGGGAAATGAGAGATGGGCAAATGGGGAAATGGGGAAATGGGGAAATGGGGAAAAAGAAGGGAATTCGTTGGACAGATGCAGGCGACACGGGGAGGGAAGAAGTGGAAGAAGAAACAAAGATGGGAGGGGAGGGAGGGAGGGAGGGAGAAAAAGGAACGAGTGTCCCTCTGGCCTGTGATTGTCTGTGCGTCGCGTCTGTGTCGTGTCTGTGTCCGAGACTGTCTGTGTCTCTGTCCTACTAAGTTATGCCTGACTCGAGGGTGTTCGGCCCGACCATCCCTCCAATCACATACCTCTGCCCCTGGCCCTTGAAACATCAATTCCTCAAATCCTTACCATTCTCGGCATCCTTAATCCTTACCATCCTCACCATTACCATCCTTACCATCCTTGGTCCTTACCATCCTTGCCATCCTTATCATCCTCACCTTCCTCACCATCCTCACCTTCCTCACCTTCCTCTTCCTCACCATCCTCACCTTCCTCACCACCCTTCGCACCAACACCCAAAGAGAACGACATGATTGCCCCCCGACGACGACGTTTCGTCCATGGTTCATGAGGTTTTAGTTGTTTCGGCGCAAAGGGGGGGGACCGGAGCCGAGGCGCGGGATATGCGGTCGTATGCATGCCATGCGATGCTGCCGATACACATCAAAAGCCGGTAAATATACCAACAATCATCCAACCACTCCTCAACATCATGTACATCCTCAAGTGGTGAAGAAAAGAACAAAGTATCACTCCCCTTCTGCGCCGTCCCGGGCCTGCAACCCGACGACTGGGGCTATCTATTTCAGACACTATACACACCATCCGTCCCCACCCTATATCGCGCCCACGCGATATAGCGTCGGGATGGATGGCCCAGACAGACTGCCGACGAACACCACGGCAGTCACCTCAATCCTCATCCATGCTCTCCCACCCCTGTTCGCCATCCTTCTTCCCCCCCTCTCCTCCCCCCTCCTCCTCCTCATCACTACTCTCCTCCTCGTCCGCATTAACCCCCACCAACCTCTCCTTGACCTCCCCCTCCACCGGCGCCATGCGGTGCGCAAACGCCTTCCGCACCGCCGCATTCGTACTCGTATCCCAGATATGAACACTCCCCTTGCTCCCCGCGACGGCCAGGCGGAAGCCTACCTCCTCGTCTGGCGCGAACACTGTCGAGAAGACCTTGCCCACTTCCAGGTTGCGACTCACTACCATGGTTGGCCCGGACGCTTGGATGTTCCATAACTTCACCGTCCGGTCTGTGGAGCCGGTCGCCATGAAACCCGGGATCACGGGGTTGATATCAAACGCTGACACCGACTCGTCGTGCGCATGTAGCGTCCACACCGGCTTCGTCTTCGACGGGTCCGTAGGCGCAGCACGCACATCGTGGTAGTGGATCACTCCCGCCTCAGTGGAGATGTAGAAGTAATTCCCATCATGCGGATCCCACCTCACGGTCTCGACATCGCTCTCCACCCCCCACCTCGGCACCGTAGCGTCGGGGGCGCGCATATCCGCCGCGACGGCGGTGCGGTCGTAGGAGCCGGAGAGGAGGATCGTGGATTCCTTCGGGTGCCAGGCTAAGGTGCATACCTTGTCCGTGTGGTGCGCATACGACTTCGCGCAGGACGTGGTGTACAGATCCCATAGCTTGACTGTCTTGTCTGCTGATGAAGAGGCGAGGAGGTTGCGGTGGTGCCTGTTCGCGGCGAGGGAGAGCACAGCGTCAACGTGGTATTCTGCGTTGGGCTTGTTGGACTTCTTGCGCTTCTTCTTCTTCTGGGTGCCGTCTGCGGGTGCCGCGCCGGTGTCGTCGAGCCCGCCTTGCCCGAGGATGGCGTTGGGGTACATGCAATCCACCGTATCAAGATCCCAGATCTCGATATCCGGCTCGAACGTCCCGACCGCGACGAAGTTGGCGCGTGCGTCGCGCGCGGCGCTCGTCTTGCCGACGGGGAGGTCGAGCCACTCGAGGCAGAGGGGGATGGCGGGGAGCATGATGTCGTGGTGGACGTAGAGGTTATCAGCTGAGTCTTCGTAGACGTAGACTTCCAGGTGTGCGACTTCGTCTTCCACTTTCGCGGCGAGGACCATGTTGTCTGTGGCGAGGATCTGGAGCTCTTCTCGGTCTTCGTCGTCTTCGTCGTTCTCTTTCATGGTGATGTAGGGGTCGTCGGCGTTGGAGTCGTGGTATGCGAGGGATTTGACGTTGCCGAACATGCCCATACCTTCGCCTTCGGTGTCTTTGGCGACGTCGGAGTCGTAGTGCTCGAGGTCATATTCGGCGAGGTCATCGTCTTCGTCTCTGTGAATTGTTAGAACCCCTACACACATGTAGCTCCCCACCACACCACCAAATAAACTCACCCCTTCGATTTCACCCCGGCGCCGCCAGTCCCATCCTCAATATCCGAGTCCGAATCACTCTCCCCATCACCACCAGCCCTCGCCGCCTCCTCCGCCTCCTCCAGATCCTCCTGCGCGTCATCGAGCTGCAACTTTGCCAGCTTGGCGATCCTGTCGAACTCCGCCTCGTCGAACTCGTATTTCGTGGGGAACGGCGCCGCGAAGCCCCGCGGTACCCACGCCGTCGCTGTGACCATAGACATCTTCGGTTATGTTAACACAGTTGTTCCAAGGTTGTTTGAGACGTTACCAGCTGGGTCGGTGACGGGAACTTTTTCCTCACTGTACGACTATTTGGAAATTCATACGCTAGTGTTATCTAATCTTAGCGCGGATTATTTTGCGGTTGGTCCGTTGGCCTTGCTGGCTGGATTTCCCTCACTACGGGCTACGCATGACAACACCGCGCCTTCCTTTCTTTCCTTAGATAGTAGCCGATCATGGCAGGAGAAGATGGCTTCCAAAGCCCCAAGAGGCGGAAGATAGACTTCAACCCCCTCCGCAACGACGACCGCTTCGCCATCCCCTCCCGCCCAACCTCGCGCTCTCAATCCCAAGCGCCGCCACGCTCCCAATCCCAAGCCCCCTCCCGCTCGCAAAGCCGCTTCGGCAACCCCTCCCGCGCGTCAACACCACGCGGACAATCCCAATACCCCGGTACGCCGAAGCAGCATGGGTTCGATGGCCCCGAACCCGCAGTCGACGTCGAGGACTCGAATGCTCTCGACCGCGACTGGTACGCCGGCGACGAGAGCGGACATGTGTTTGGCGACGAAATGCACAATCCCTTCGGCTCGTACGATACCTCGTGGGAGGACCGACAGAAGGAGGCGGCGCTGGTGGAGAAGAAGACCGCGAAGCGGGTTACGGCGCGCGCGGCGCAGAAGCAGCGGGATGTTGACGCCTGGGAGACGAATCGGATGTTGACGTCTGGCGTAGCGCAGCGTCGGGACTTCGGCGACGATTTCGAGGATGATGAAGAGCAGACGCGTGTGCATTTGCTGATTCACGATCTGCGCCCGCCGTTTTTGGATGGGCGGACGGTGTTTACGAAGCAGGTGGATCCGGTGCCGGCGATTAGGGATAATCAGAGCGATATGGCGGTGTTTAGCCGGAAGGGGAGTCGGGTGGTGAAGGAGCGGAGACAGCAGAAGGAGAGGCAGAAGCAGGCGCAGGAGGCGACGAATATGGCGGGCACGGCGTTGGGGAATCTGATGGGGATTAAGGAGGATGAGGGGGATAGTGCGGCGCCGGCGCCGGGGGAGGAGGGGGGGAGGGGGGATAGCAAGTTTGCGGAGCATATGGCGAAGAAGAGTGAGGGGGCGAGTGATTTCAGTCAGAGTAAGACGCTGAGGGAGCAGAAGGAGTATTTGCCGGCATTTGCGGTGAGGGAGGATCTGCTGAGGGTTATTAGGGATAACCAGGTTGTTATCGTTGTGGGAGAGACGGGGTCTGGTAAAACGACCCAGCTGACGCAGTTCCTTTACGAGGATGGGTATGGGAAGAGGGGGATGATCGGGTGCACCCAGCCACGTCGTGTGGCAGCGATGAGTGTGGCAAAGCGTGTGAGCGAGGAGATGGAATGCAAGCTTGGCAGCACGGTTGGGTATGCGATCCGTTTCGAGGATTGCACGAGCAAGGAGACGGTTATCAAGTATATGACAGACGGTGTCTTGCTGCGCGAGTCTCTCAATGAGCCAGATCTGGACAGGTATTCGTGTGTCATCATGGACGAGGCCCACGAGCGCGCTCTCAACACTGATGTGCTCATGGGACTTTTCAAGAACATCCTGGCCCGCCGACGAGACTTGAAGTTGATCGTCACATCGGCTACTATGAACTCGAAGCGCTTCTCGGACTTTTATGGTGGAGCGCCAGAATTCTTCATCCCCGGTCGAACATTCCCCGTGGATGTCATGTTTCATCGCTCTCCGGTTGAGGATTATGTCGACCAGGCGGTGCAGCAAGTTCTTGCCATCCATGTTTCCATGGGCGCAGGCGATATCTTGGTGTTCATGACTGGACAAGAGGATATCGAGTGCACCTGTGAACTTATCCGGGATCGCCTGAATGCGCTCAATGACCCTCCTAAGCTCAGCATCCTACCGATTTACAGTCAGATGCCGGCAGACCTGCAGGCCAAGATTTTCGACAGAGCGGCGCCAGGTGTCAGGAAGGTCATTGTTGCAACCAATATCGCCGAGACGAGTTTGACAGTCGACGGTATTATGTATGTGGTGGATGCCGGATATTCCAAGCTCAAGGTGTATAACCCGCGAATGGGCATGGATACTCTCCAGATCACGCCTATATCGCAAGCTAACGCGTCTCAACGATCCGGACGCGCAGGCCGTACCGGCCCAGGCAAGGCATTCCGTCTCTTCACCGAAGCCGCATACAAGGACGAGTTGTACATCCAGACCATTCCTGAAATCCAGCGCACGAACCTCAGCAACACCGTTCTCCTTCTCAAATCCCTCGGCGTCAAGGACCTCCTCCATTTCGACTTCATGGACCCACCGCCGCAAGATACCATTACCACATCACTCTTCGACCTCTGGGCCCTCGGCGCGCTGAATAACATCGGCGATCTCACGGACGTCGGCCTCAAAATGACGCCCTTCCCCATGGACCCCTCGCTGGCCAAACTCCTCATCACATCCGAAGAATACAGCTGCAGCGAAGAAATGCTGACCATAGTCTCCATGCTCTCAGTCCCCTCCATCTTCTACCGCCCCAAAGAGCGCCAAGAAGAATCCGACGCCGCGCGCGAGAAGTTCTTCGTCCCCGAGTCCGACCACCTCACGTACCTGCACGTGTACTCGCAGTGGAAGAGCAACGGCTACAGCGACGCGTGGTGCACGCGGCACTTCCTGCACCCGAAGTCGCTGCGCCGCGCCAAGGAGATCAGAGAGCAGATCGGGGATATCATGAAGATGCAGAAGATGACGATGGTGAGCTGTGGGACCGATTGGGATGTTATTCGGAAGTGTATTTGCTCGGGATATTATCATCAGGCCGCGAAGGTGAAGGGGATTGGGGAGTATGTGAATCTGCGCACGAGTGTGGCGATCCAGCTGCACCCGACGAGTGCGCTGTATGGTCTGGGATACTTGCCGGATTATGTGGTGTATCACGAGCTGATCTTGACGTCGAAGGAGTACATGTCTACCGTGACGTCTGTGGATCCGAAGTGGCTCGCGGAGCTGGGGGGTGTCTTCTATAGCGTGAAGGAGAAGGGGTACTCGGCGCGCGAGAAGCGGGTGACGGAGGTGGAGTTTAATCGGAAGATGGAGATTGAGACGCAGATGGCGGAGGATAAGAAGAATGAGGAGGAGAGGTTGGAGAGGGAGAAGGGCAGGGGGGAGACGCAGAAGAAGGGGGTGGTGGTGAAGAAGGTTGCGCAGAGGGGGGCGGTGAGGCGGCCGGTGGTGAAGAGGAGTGGGAGGGGGTTCTAGGGCGCAGGGTTGGGAGGCCAGATGTACATAGTTGGGGATTGGGTTGTTAGAAAATTTACTTACGGCTTCATGCTTGTTTAGACCAGGAAGAGCAAGGGCGCGGGGAAGTAAATGTGAGTCTGCCGACGGGTAAGCAGGGGTGTCGGGCGTTACGCAACAGCGCCTGTCTACTCCAGTAATAATATTTCAATGTGAGAGTTTTCCGTAGGACTAACATGTATAACAGTGGGAAAATATGGCCAGAGATGGGATTGTTTGATCATAGGTTCAGGGATAGTGCGTACCGGTAATGCGTAGGTAGGCATTATCCAGGTTCACGGGCAGGTATTGTGGCATGTGTGGCATGTGTGGCATGTGTGGCATCCCGACGCACGGAATGCGAATGCCGTATTGCCTTTCGCACCATGCAGATATCCTGAGTCTATGTAGATTATTGTATCAAATGTATCCAGTGCACTTACTGTAGGTCTGGCTCGTTGGGAACCGCCACCATGAGTCGCCGCCCACACGACGCATGCTCATCATGGACCGTCGCTGGCAAGACGCATGCTCATCATGAACCGTCGCTCGCACAATGATGCATGCTGACCCTGCAGCATTGGCCAAGTAGTATATATAAAATCTTTCCCTCCCTCTACCTTTTAATCATGTACTCAAGCACAAGACTTGGGCATGTCGACAAACTTTGACCCGCTCTCATCTTTATCACGGACTGCAATGTCTTTGACTTTGATGGACGCTGTAAAAGGGTCTGACCCTTGGTATATCAGGCAGAATCTCGTTTCATTCATTGCCCTCTCTCTCTTCCCAAATGTCCTACTATAGACAAGTTGTGAGCAGTTTGTCGATTTGTAGAACATGCGATATGAGATTATGGCCTGTGCACCAACTATAAGTTACTATTCTACTGGCACTCTGCCGTCAGAAATAGGCCCGTATTTTGAAACCATTATCTAGTCATTCCCCGGTATTGATATTGAGGTTTCTAAGCTATGGAAAAGCCATGTATAGTTTTAGCAACTTCTCAAAATTGGGCGTCCTAAGTCCAGTCACAGGATCCCACCCGATATCAGCATGAAATACTTCAACGTCACAGCCATAATTGAACCCTTCTACCGCATCGTTAAATGCCCACACATGGTAGAGGATGATTCAGTTTCATAAAATACGGGATTCAAGATCCTACGCGATTTCTTTCCCGCACTTAGTCTCTTAATCATTGATTTTTGTATACTACAGGACACTTCTTCGAGATCTGTGTCATCTCTTTTTCTTTTATATAGTTGCACCTGTATCTTGCATCGATCCGCTCATCGCAATGCGGTAGCACTCCTTTCTTTTAGGAGTATTATATATTCAGTGTCTGGTAGGGACTTAGTCGTGTATTTTATGTCTAGCAAGCTTGCTGAAGCAGAAAAGTAGAGTGTTATCATGCCAATTTGGGCTCATAACCTGAAGAAATAATAGACCGTGCATTTGGGTGTGAATTCGGTTTAGCTAATGTAGCAAAAACTACTAGTCTAGAGATGGCGGACTGTGGTTTTTGCGAATATACAGAGGAATGGAACATTCTCCGTCGTCCTTCGCGTTGCGGGTGGAGAGATTACGGCCGATGGGTTAATAACCATTGGCCAAGTTGCAAAGAAATACAACCTTTACTGCAAAATCACTAGTGGACAGCGAATTGACATGTTTGGTGCCAAGAAGCAAGTTCTTCTCGATATTTGGACCGAACTTGTCAATGCTAGGATGGAAAGCGGCCATGCTTATGCGAAATCTCTCCGGGCAGTCAAGGTTCGTGGCTATAAATATTGTCCATGCCACCTCACTAACAAATTTATAGAGCTGTGTAGGAACTACATGGTGTCGGTTTGGAGTTGGTGACAGCGTTGGAATGGCAATTCGCCTTGAGCAGCGCTACAAAAGTATTCGGTCGTCACATAAAATCAAGGGTGGGGTTTCGGGATGTGTGAGAGAATGTGCTGAAGCGCAGAATAAGGAGTAGGTTTTTGCATTGTTATTTGACGATAGATACCGACCGTGTTCAAGTTTTGGGATTCAACGTCTTTGTCGGCGGTAATGGTGGGGCAAAGCCTCGGCACTCAGAGCTACTAGCAAAGGATGTTCCACCTGATGAAGTCATTTCTCTTCTCGACCGTTATCTTATATTCTACATACGAACAGCCGATAAACTACAATGCACCGGCCGGTGGATTGAGAATCTTCCAGGCGGAATTTACTACCTCCGCGAGGTGGTTATTAATGACAAGCTTGGTATATGTGCGGAACTAGAGCGGCAAATGGAAGAGCTAGTAAGCTCTTATTTCTGCGAGTGGGCCGAAACTATTAAGGATCCGGAAAGACGCAAACACTTTGAGCAATTCAGTAACACCCCAGAAACTGTGGATACCGTCGAGATCGTTGAAGAGCGTGGGCAGTCGAGATCGTTGAAGAGCGTGGGCAACAGAGGCCGACGTACTGGCCACATCACGGAGAATTTCAAGGGGCACCAATGGTCGCATGTCTCTTGGCAGCCAATTCTCAAGAGCCACCACTTCTCTGAAGAAAAGCTAGAGATATCGTCTACCAATATTAAACGTGGCGACACACAGCTCGCAATCTTCAAGATCAAGGGCAAATACTACGCAACACAGCAAATGTGTCCACACAAGGGCGCGTTCGTGCTCTCGGATGGTTTCATTGGCGACACTGATGCCGGAACTTACTGGATCTCTTGCCCATTATGTAAACGAAATTTCGAGCTCAATGGGGAATAAGCCGAGCAATGCACAAGCGATGAGACGACCAGCGTCGCAACCTTTCCAGTTGAGGAACGCGATGATGGCTGGGTATACTTGAAGCTGCCGCCCGTTGAAGAGCTTGATGCGTTGGGATGGAGAAGTGGAAGGTGAGGAGGGAAGAAGCAGTGGATCCGTTTGAGAAAGTCGATAGGGTCTATAAGAGCTTCAGGGGAAAAAAGGTCACTTATATTAAGGTTGAAATAATAGGGAAGCGTGCTACGGCACCTAGTAGGATTGACTGGTAGTTAACAACTTTGTACGCATATTTGGTGTTATTGGTTCATCTGCACTACATTTTATACCCTCACATATGTATTACTTCCACACTCGGCAATTGAGCAAAATAAGCATGGTAATTAACATCTGCATTAAGTATAAATAAAACGACATTCATAATTGCACGTTATTGTGGTTAAATTTGCTTTGGTTTGTATGATATAACGTGACTAGATAGAACAATGAGACGGAGGTAGGAGAGGCAAAAACCTCTCGAAATATCAACCCGTAGCAATCCAATCAGTATGAATCCAGAGAGAATATTCCGGGATATAACTACAGAGGGGGCACAAAGCCTAAAGAAAAGTCTCCAATCATTAGCTTCTGGTTAGTGCTCCCCTCCGCGAGCAAACGGCCGCTATCGTCTTAGCTACCTAGGAGGAGGAGCCCCACCCGAAAACCATCTCCACGGAGATGCTAAAATACGATCTATATAGTCATGCATACTAGTGCAGCCTTATCTCTGGTTACCTCATGTTCTGGCCTCTTATCCCTGTGGGTTAGATAGGTTGTGTCCACCTTCTTATCTTTGTGTCAGCAAGCGGGTCCGCTACTGACTATGAAGAAACCAATCTAGGGAATTCTTCCCGTAACATCATTCCCCTTCCGATATTGAGCGAGTATGCTCGTGAATTGCCCAATATTTTATTATTTTTCGTTCAGGCAGCATCGGTAAGTGTTAACTGGGCTGAGGCGCTTATCTTGTTTTCACAATCAGCGCCTCTATCTAAATTCGTATCAAGCCACCATCACAACCAGCTGTAGGTTTGGGGGTTACATGCCATGATCGTTGGGTGATAAGCTGATTTAATCTTTGAGACATTGATGGGCTGCTATCTATCTAAGGCTGGCAAATCCTCGGATGCAAAATGGACATCTCCTCGGACTGTAAGTTAGAATTTCATGGCAAGCATATATGGGCTTCATTATACGAATACAGAAGCTCTCATTCAATTTAGCCATCAACATCTTCCGCGGTCTACCTTTATCCCAGTGCTGTTTAGACCAACTGTCTGTTTTGCTTTTGAACTTAATCCTATTAATTTGAAATCCTCACACATGGCACCAAATTTTTTGAGGCTACTCATAGCCTCGCCGGAAATCAATCCCATCAACCAAAAAGCAAGATCGATCCCTATATTAAACCCATTCAATAAATATGGAAGGGTCTTCTTTTTCTCCTGGCTGGGATTCTTCGTTGCGTTTCTCTCGTGGTACTCTTTCCCGCCGCTGGTAAGTGCATTTTATGGTGGAACCCTCGAAAGATATCAGATCTCTAATAAATTGCCTTCAGTTGACCGTTACAATTAAAAAAGACCTTCACCTAAGCCAGACCGATATTGCCAACTCTAATATAATTGCTTTACTAGCAACGTAAGCACCAGCCCAATTTCGACAGGTTTCTAGTCTGACTTCTCTAGTCTTCTTGTTCGATTTTTCTCTGGGCCACTATGCGATCGCTACGGACCACGGTTGGTTTTTGTTGGCATATTGCTGGCTGGCGCCATACCAACGGCCATGGCGGGTCTGGTTACAAACATCCATGGCCTCATGGCGTTAAGGTTTTTCATCGGCATTCTGGGTGCCAGCTTCGTGCCATGTCAAGTTTGGACAACTGGGTACTTCGATAAAAACGTCATTGGCTCTGCAAATGCCTTGACAGCGGGCTGGGGAAATGCAGGAGGAGGTATCACATAGTAAGTTTGTCCAGTCTGTCACAAAGCACTTCTATTAATACTCGGTGTTACAGCTACGTGATGCCTGCGGTCTTCGATTCTCTAGTCCAGCACAGTGGACTTGCTCCCCACAAGGCTTGGAGGGTGGCATACATTGTCCCGTTTATCATTATTGTCGTTGTTGCTCTAGGGATGCTATTCACTTGTGACGATACACCCAGCGGCAAATGGGCCGACCGTGCCATGCCCATAGCAAGAGGCTCATCCGATAGCAGCATCCAAGGTGAAATAGACACGCCGTCTTCAGTATCCATTGCTAAGGATATCAACAACATCAATGAAAAACACCCACAGACGATTTCAGATATTGAATCTCAGAGCGACGGCACAACATACCTTGGCCTTGCCAATAGCGAGTTCATTGTTCCCCCGACTACTAAGGAGATCATGCACGTTGTGATTAGCCCTCAGACATTCGCCCTCTTTGGAGTATACGCATGCTCCTTTGGGACTGAGCTCGCCGTCAACTCTATACTCGGTTCATTCTACGAAAGAAACTTTCCCCACCTTGGACAGACGGAAGCTGGGGAATGGGCAGCCATGTTTGGGCTTCTGAATGTTCTATTTCGGCCATTGGGTGGAATAATATCCGATCTCATTTACAAGAAGACCCAATCCGTTTGGGCAAAGAAAATTTGGCTTATATTCCTTGGCGTGGCAGCAGGTGCTCACCTGATCGCGATCGGGGTATCGAATCCCAAAACCGAAGCCACCATGTTTGGCCTCTTCGTAGGCTTGGCTGTATTTATGGAGGCGGCCAATGGAGCAAATTTCTCCCTTGTGCCTCATGTATACCCAGCAGCAAATGGTTCGTTGTTCCCATTACACCAACTTATGTCCGTTTGCTAACTTTATTTGTGTAGGTATCGTTTCTGGCACAGTTGGAGCCGCCGGGAACTTAGGAGGAATCATATTCAGCATAATTTTCCGGTACAACGGGACGCATTACGATAGATCGATTTGGATAATTGGTGTCATATGTATCGTTGTCAATATGTCTGTTTTTTGGATTAGGCCAGTTCCTACTTTGCACAAATAGGCAACATTTTCTTTAATTTGGATTTTTTGTTTGCCTAGAATAGCGTTGTTTAAAATACATGGCCATTAGTTAGAATAGAACGAGCCTCAAAACCATCAGGGCTATGCCATAGTTATCATGTGATAAATGAAAGTTCTCATCTTCCGATCGTTGCTCAACTTCGTCGGTTTTGTCAAGAAAAGTCCCTGAAATCCATCGGTCAGGATTATCAATCACTCCAATTCTTCCAACAGAGACAAAGAAGCGGAGATTGCTTTACTTTTTGCAAGGTCATGTTAGATAATCATTAACACGGGGATAGCATGGAGTTAGCATGGAGATATGTACTGGATTTAATATTTATTTTCGAAAGTTTGAATATTTAATGGATTGTCATGCCCCCTATTCCTCTACAATACCCAGACACAGCTCGCTATTAAACTACAAAATATGTCATCCCAAATCAAGCCCATCAAGATCTACGGCAAAACGGGCCCTAATCCTCTCAAGGTCACCATAATATTTAAGGAGCTAGATATTCCCCACGAAATAGTCTCCGTCCCATTCTCAGATATCAAGAAAGCCGAATATGTCACCATCAACCCGAACGGCCGATTGCCATCTATCCATGGTCCTAACACCGGTATCACCTTGTGGGAGTCTGGCTGTAACGGGTGCCGCCGTTACAGTACATATGGTATATAAAGCGTGTTACGCGTATTCCGGGCGAGCCGGAATACTGTAGTCTTTTTGGCTCAGTGGGATGTAGCGCGAGCGTAACCGTACATCATTACAAAGATACTGGACTAAGTTCGAGGTTCTTGCCTACTAACGTCTCTCTCTGGGTGGAGGGACGCACGCCGCGGCGGGTTGAAATCAAGCAACTTTGATTCTCTGAGCGCATTGAATTTACCCTTTGTTTGCTATCAATCATGTTGTGTGCCCAATCCTGAACACTTCTTGCCCCGGCACTCCAAAAATTACGATTGCGTCAATCGCTGTCGCGCCTGAATGCGGAGAGCACTCTTTTATGGCGTAATGGCACCTCTGCCCTACAGCACCACCATCGGGGATTTTTCGTCTTTCAGACTTATAGAACAATTCGATCTGGGTTTCCGAGTCCTTTTCCCCTGCTGAATAATTATTGTCTGTCTTATGGCGGCCGTGGACGGTTTACGATGCGATGTCGCCTCATTGGTTGGTAGTTCTTCACCGAGCGATCAAGGATCTCTAGTCAAGAGTGAGACTGCTAGGCATGTCGCGTATAAATATTAACTTACTGCATATTTTATCTTACATAATGCGACCGTTCTCTTCCCTCCTTTGTGGCCTCCTCACTGGGCAGCGAAGTCTGACTCTGCTACCTGCACGCGGTGCTGCCTACGAACCTTATCGTCATGGTAAGAGCACAAGAACTCACGCGTTCTATTGTTGGCTCCATCATTATTTGAGGGCCCAGTGGTCACTCCTTTACTGCCACCGTTTCTCGCTATCGAACTCTCCGCGGTACGAAACACTTCCGCCACTGTCGCCCCTCGTTTCCACACCAGGTCTTCGATCTTTGAAGCGTAATTCGTGACATACATCACCGCCAACATTTTGCTCTGTGTCGCTATAAAAGACATATAGAGATTGTGTCTCAATCCAACTGATCGCCTTGTTCCACCTATTCACCATGCTATAATTCCGCCGAAGTTCCAACACTCCGTCCTCCCTGAGACCCGTCCTCTCCACAAGTCTCCAAGGGGCCTTGAACCTACATAGATTTCTCTCCTTCGCCAGTCTGTTGATGGAGTACTTTACGCACATCGGGCTATGCCAGTAAATCTGAGTTGCGCCAGCGCAGAAGTTGGCTTCCTCATCGAACGCGGCAGAAAACTGTCGACCGTCCTGCATCATCGACGAAATGTCTGACATCGCTGATCGCTCCGACGCCACAGCGCAAGACGCTTCCTGATCGAGCTCCTATACGTATACTTAGCATCATCCCGAACGAGTTGATGGCTCGGCTGTTAGAACAACTGCGTATTCATTCCATCGCAATCAGGACATATGGGGCAAGGATGCGGGGCTCTTTCACCCCGAATGGGGCTGTCGGAGGAGAATCGCAGGATGGAGAAGTATCTGGTGCATTTCGGCCAAGGTCATCGGGCCTGTATTGGAAAAATTCAGGCTTTGATTGCCATGTGGAAAGCCGCGGTTGCAATATTGCGGAGATACAAGCTGGTGCATGCTGATGGGAGTGGTGCGGAGACTTCGTTGCAGGGGTTTGACATTGGCCCATTGTACGTTAAAGTCAGGAATAAGATAGTCGATTGAAATGATTGCTGTTGTAATATCTAATCCATGCTTATCACTAGTGCATTCTCGTTACAAGTTAGCCGTACTTAGTAGTGGTTCGTATCTGCTTTGACCTTATTCTGCTGATGATGCTCTAGGGGATTCTATCTTGAGCTGCTGCATGAGATTCTGAACGGAATTAAGGGCCTAGGAATGCTCGCTGTCAGAGCCGCCTCGGGGTTGTCCTGGGTGAAGGACGCGTCCTTTAGAACCTAGATCTTCTATCTCCTTGGCTGACATGCCGTCGCTTTTGAAGAGAAAGTACGAGCTGTTGACGGTGGCCAGCTGAAGGACCTTGATGGAGACGCTAATCGGCGATCTCGAAGACCTCTTTGCACGGTCTCATGTTTCGAGTTCCAAGCACCACCCACAAGGCCCTGTCGAAAGTCCTAGAAATTGAAGCAGAAAGCCAGAAGCATATCAAGAGCCGTCTTAAACATGCATCTTGCTGGCTGGCGTCAACAGCAACAAGAAGCATGCAGGAGGAGTTTTATTTGAAGATAGTCAGGGTACTAGATAATTATAGAGTGCATTAGATGAAGTTCTGGGAGGGCAATAGCTTCGCGAGATGCCTCGCGGGAAAGCTGCCTTGCAATAGTCTGCCAGCATGTACGTACATTGTCTACTACTTGGGTTGTACAAGCCACTCCTACCGAGCATAAACGCATATTCAACTGTTGTTCAGCATTCACATCTTACTGTGCTGTTAAGGTATTGCAGTCCCGTAACAAAACAAAGCCTATCATCACATTCCTCCATCGCGAGTTGTGGCTGATAATGGGGTAAGATCGTCCCAATCGATCGTCCCAATCGATCGTCCGGGAGATCGTCCGGGAGCACGGGAAGGTGCGAGCCACAAAGCCATTATCCTTACACTGCGCTTTACTAAAAGAGGTAAAACCTTGTGCTAATAATAGTGGGGCACGATATTTTATGAGAGTGTTTGGGAAAGCCGGTTTCGGGCGCTGCTGTACATGAAGGAAAGAAAAGATGCTAACTTACCAATTTATTGCTAATCACTAATCACTACTAGCGAGGAAGAATAGCTTTGTACAAAACACACCCTGGCAATAGGTTTGTGTCATCCTGCGCATCTCCCCTACAGGCGGCCGAGGGACGTTAGGGAGTTTTATTTTATATTTTCTACCAACACTACGCCTCCCCTCTACTTCCTGCCCACTCCATACCCTTTGCACGCATCACAAAAGATATTAACGACTCTATCTCAATCTCCGCATCTCATACACATGCTGCTGCGGTCGAGCGAGCTCGAATCAGGAGGTAAAGCCTCTAGTTCTTGTCGGCAAGGAAGGGATAGTCGTATCCCGGTGGCTCAGGTGCAGCACGCTTGTCGGCGAGGAAGGGATAGTCGTATCCCGGTGGCTCAGGTGCAGCACGCTTGTCGGCGAGGAAGGGATAGTCGTATCCCGGTGGCTCAGGTGCAACACGCTTGTCGGCAAGGAAGGGATAGTCGTATCCCGGTGGCTCAGGTGCAGCACGCTTATCGGCGAGGAAGGGATAGTCGTATCCCGGTGGCTCAGGTGCAACACGCTTGTCGGCAAGGAAGGGATAGTCGTATCCCGGTGGCTCAGGTGCAGCACGCTTGTCGGCGAGGAAGGGATAGTCGTATCCCGGTGGCTCAGGTGCAGCACGCTTGTCGGCGAGGAAGGGATAGTCGTATCCCGGTGGCTCAGGTGCAACACGCTTGTCGGCAAGGAAGGGATAGTCGTATCCCGGTGGCTCAGGTGCAGCACGCTTATCGGCGAGGAAGGGATAGTCGTATCCCGGTGGCTCAGGTGCAACACGCTTGTCGGCAAGGAAGGGATAGTCGTATCCCGGTGGCTCAGGTGCAGCACGCTTATCGGCGAGGAAGGGATAGTCGTATCCCGGTGGCTCAGGTGCAACACGCTTGTCGGCAAGGAAGGGATAGTCGTATCCCGGTGGCTCAGGTGCAGCACGCTTATCGGCGAGGAAGGGATAGTCGTATCCCGGTGGCTCAGGTGCGGCACGCTTGACAGTAGCACCTGTTCGAACTTGTGAGCTTATGGGACGACGGTCCTAGAAAATTCTATTGCTTACCCTGAATCTGAGCAGTTGGGGCTGAGAAACCAATCTGGGCAAAGGCCAGGATGGCGATAGCAGTGGCAGCCTTCATGATTGGATACTGATGTAGAAGATAATAATATAGAAGATGATGATGTAGAGGTGGACTTGGAGTGGGAAGAGAGAGGCTCTTATAGTAAGAGTGCCTTCTCTCCGCGTCTTTGCTGACTGTGGACAATGAGACTTGGACCTTCCGTTTTCGATGACTAGGATTTTTGACCCTGGGAGCTTTCAAGGGGGTGGGGTTAAATCATCTAGTGATGTCGAATATTATGGAGCTTGCATCGGCAATCTTGATCCAACGGGAGCTGGATCAAGATTGCCGATGGCAAGCCAAGGTCGAGATTAGCATTGCCACACAATGGTGTCACTCCGCCGAATAGTTTCGTGCCCGTATAGCAGAGTGCTTGGTCGTTCCCAACCGTGTTGAGCGTGGGTCATAATATCTATGCGATTATGACCCACGCTTAACACGGATCGGTGATTTTAGCCTTTTGTCAGACTGTTTTGACATACGATAGCCTCAGCCAACGCGGTCGTTACAGAAGCAATGTTTCATCCGGAAAGGCTGGGAAGGTCTTGCTTGGGAATGTGACGGGGAGTTATTTGACTGGGATCAAGCAGCAGGTCTTGTCCGCCCATTCTTGTGTCATGTTTACGTGAGAAGAGTCTCTGTGTTACCGGCGAACTATGAAGAGTTTACCTAGATTGCCGGTCCTAGTCAAACCTTTGGGGGTATACAGTCATCGGACGAAAAGGTATGGCTCTTTTCAAGCCACTTACATCCGCTGATCAATTTTGCTCTTACGAACTTCCTTAAACGTAAATTTGGCATTCCGATTATCTCTTGTAAGTGGAGAATGTTATACGGGGCGGTTGATAGTATTGGTCCTCTTTTGTTACAAATAAAACAGCTCTGCGACTAGAGGGTGCCGTTAGTATTAGACAAGTTCCATCTAGCAAGTGAATTTATTTCTCGTCACTCAGCTTACTGCATATAGCCCATGCTTCGATCTTGCATTTTTAGGGTACCTTCCTTATTGTGACGGGAAAAGTGGTGTTCAGGGTAGCACTACTTTGCCTCGATATTCCCGTCACCTTCCTATTGTAGCTGCAGTTACCTCGCTCAAATAGATAAGGCCCATGCATCGATCTTGCATCTTTCGGGTACGTTCCTTATTGTGACAGGAAAAGTGGTGTTCAGGGTAGCACGACTTTGCCTCGATATTCCGATCACCTTCCTCTTGTAGCTGCAGTTATCTCACTCAAAACAGCCGGACGCTTCAATTTTCTGCAGCTGCAGCCGGGTTGTGGTCAAAGACTTTACGTACATCTGTTGCTCGTTGCTTCCCTTCTCCATTGGTAGTTCAGAAGAAGGCAAGAGCAACTTGTTTTATTAAGTATAGACACTGGTTAGAAAGCAGCGTAATTTTTGTGTCTGCGTGCGGCAGAGTTTTATGAGGTTTATACAGATCATGATATCATACTTTGGTCTACTTTGAAGATTAAATTGCTGGTCTTGAGATTCGCAAATCATTGTAGGCCAAGTTGATCTGAAACCCAAGTACATCCTCTTTTCTGGCAATCACAGGCGAAGATCCTAGTCAAACATGCACCCCGAGTCTTTCCTCCCAAGCTTGCCTCGACTCCACAAGATTAAGGTCCGCATGGTGGTCTGTTACCCATGCCACAATGTCATCCCAGTTTTTACATTTCCTTTCCACCAAAAAGTTCGGGTTTGGTCGAGGATTCGGGTATCTTTTCTCTGAGACATACTCGAAGGTCAAAAGTTCAGTATCTGCATGGCACATGATGATCTGCCGTAAGCTGTCGAGGCAATGCCCGACGTGAATCAGTTGCATCGCAGGAGCTTCGCGAAGATCGTAGTAATCCCGGTGGATATAGATCCTGATCTTGTCTCTGAGAGGATGGATTAGTATAAGCTTCTCAAAGAATGAGGTCACGTACAGGCAGTGAAGTTGGTGGAAAACATCGAGCCTGTAGAGATAATGGAAATCGGCAATTAGCACTGGCAATATCAGGTTTGTTTTCGAGAGCTTACATAGCAAGATATCTGTTAGGGCCATCTGTGAGTTTGACTGAACTCTTTCCAATAGCATTCAGATCTTCGATGCCAACGGCTATCTCAGTTACTAGAAGCCACCAGTGTTAAGTGAATTTATGAGCAAGGTGCCAGTGATGTCTTACAATTATGATACGTGAGCCATGCTGCGGTTTGAGCAGGATTTGGAGCGCCCTTGAACTGATTTTCGTCCCAAAGACTGTTGTTCATAACCACTCTCGAATACGCGCTTACATCATTGGCTGGAGCTGTTGGTAGAGTCAGTATTCTGAGCTGAAGGCATTTTGGGTAAGCCAATTCACATGGAACATTTTGGTTGAGCAAAGGATTATGTGTCTTTCCGGTCTGCCCAAGAATTATCAAGGTCCAAGTAGTGTTGAGAAGTGCAAACAACAGATGAGGGAGGTAATGTCGAAGAGATTTGGCAGTCACTATGTCTTTGTATTTTGTGATATGTTTTTGAATCGAAGGATATAATAGACTCTCCTTGCTTTCCTTCTCATCGCCGGTGTTGTCCGTCAATGTAGTGGAATCCTCGGATAAAGAGTGGTATCTGAATGACTCGGCCATAACTCTCACTCGAAGGTAGTCGAAAGTTGTCAAAAAGTTTCGCGCACTAGATGAGGTGAAGCAAAGGAAGAAGACTTCTTAGTGGCATTGTGCAACTGGTTTTCACTGTCGAGTCAATGATTCTTATCTCCTTGCAAGAAGAATTACCGAGCCTGCTGAATTAGGAAGGTTCGATCAGCCGTAGACCAGGCCCGATCTTGTCAATCGCATTATTCTCTCACAACACGAAAGCCGTCTAGTCGTTTCGAGAAGGTGGCCATCATATGCAGACCCATCAACATCGACGGGCTCGGATATTCGTGTCGGGCACGGCTGCACCCATAGTTCCGCCGGCCCGGCGCCACACACTACTGCAATTCGCATGTAGGTAATGCTGGAGGCAAGCTACACAACTACACATTAAGATTTAGCTGATGCCGATGCTGATTGCCTGACGTGAAGCAATCACAACATCTATCACTTCTTGATTACTGTATCGGAACGCCACTTCCGTCACCGGAGTGAGAGTCCAATCTTACCCCTTCACCACTCAACTTAACATGCCGTCTGATTTTCTGACCTCCTCTGATCGGATTCATCAAAATGGCCGCAAGTACTTCAAAAAGGTAAGTTGTCTTGGGATAGTCTCGAATGTTGACTTACTCGGCTTCTAGTATGGACGAGGACATCAGAGAATCTCGCGACTTATCGAGAATACCAGAGACTTATCGATTAATGCACCAAGAAGAAGACAAAGACATGCTCGACGACCATTTGCTCCATACAAAACGGCTCGGTGACTACATAAACCATCATCGATACAGACATTTATGCACGGCTTTGAAGCTCATAGTGCTATGTCTCGCGGGCTGGGGAGTTTTCAACCTCTGGGAATTTTGGCCGGGCTCAAACCAGCCCCCGAATTCTCACACCGGCCACGATCATGCCGCTACACCAGATGAGTATATCTGTGACTGCGGGTCTTCAACAAAGGAAGCAGTCTCTCTCGGATGTCAGTTTGTGCCCATGGCAGCAGCTTGGCTCCCACCAGCCTGTATCGATGAGGAGCTGAGCCACGAATTCAACACCGCCGGCCCCGGCATCAACGGAGAATGGACATACTGGGCTGATCGTGACCATCTACACGAGATCAGTGAGAAAGATGTCTCACTTCTGGCTGATACTGGAGAACTGTTCTATGGGACTTGGGAGTGGCACGTCAAACATTGTACCTTCCAGTGGCGACTGGACTACCGTCGCAGGTGGCTGAATACGACCTTGGAGCCGAGATATGATCATGAGAGCCATATCACGCATTGCCAGATGATCATCTTTGCAGATCGGACGAAGTCGACTGCGAGCAATGTGAAGCTGAACAGCAGCAGCCATATGCCACCGCATGGTCATGAAATGCACGGAAAACGGTGGTCTGCGGTGTCGGAACCAATCATTCATTTGATTGATTAATAGATCCTCGCCGTCAAGATGCGTTGGGATCAGACTCGATTCCCGAAATTGTTGACAAGTATCATATAATATATATGTATCAAATTCGATGTTCTGTCTCTGCCTGTAATGTTTCCGACAGATTTCATTTGGAAATTTGTGTCTTTGTGTTTGATTCTTGATGATTTGAGAAACGCTTGTAAATATCTGTCTACCTCTTACCGCCGTAGTTCCTTATATTTGGGGCATCATATCAGACAATCGTCCATACATTTAACCCTAGCTTCATCCCCTTTCCAATCGGCAGCCCCGCATGAAAAGTTCTCATGTCTCCCGTACCGTCCGCATGAAGATTCTTCCAAAAGACGGCGCTTCCAGCCGTTGCCTTGAAAGTGAGTGCATCCAGGATATCGCATTCTACAAAGTCGCACCAACGAGGATCTTCCTTTGTCCAGTCAATCGCTATCTTGGGAAATTGAGTCCCGCACTTCTCGCAATCACCTTCTAGTATTCCGAAAATAGTGCTCTCGCGCTCTGCTTTGAATTCGCTGGCAACTCCCCAGTCGTAGTGGGCTCGGTACTCCTGACCCTCCTTGTACTGAACAACTTGGAGCATCTCGATCTTTTTAGGGGAGAGGAAGCCTTGGAAATCGGCGGCTCGTTTCTGGATACATTGGCCTACGGTGTCATTGTGTGGGAGGAATGCCGTGGAGCTTGTTCGAGAAGGCTTGTGGACTGGTGGTCCCCCATCTCGGCTTGCCACCGTTGATCGCCTCAGATTTACGTTTCTGGAATGCAATCAGTGCTGTGGTCTAAAGTTCAAAGATCGAGAGCTGGAGCTTTCCTTACGTGACATTGGCCAAATAGGCCCGCTCAGCTGGCGTGATGAAGTTTTCCAAATGAATAATCAGTGGATCGTAGGACACGATTCGGCTGACATATGGCTGAGGCTCGCAGGACGTGGTTCCGATTTTATCAGCGGAGGGTTGAGAAGGCCAGAAAATGTAAGGGAGGACGATAGAGATCAAGGCCACTACAGACAAACCCCATGAGTAGATCGAGGAGAGGGGGACACGATACTTGTCAGGTTTGATTTTTGAGGCCGACATGATTCTAGCTATGACTTTTGCTAGAGTAGAAAGCAGCTCACGCGAATGGTTGAAAGAAGGAGTATCGCGTCGTGACACAAGTGAAGACTTTCGTGTAGACGTCGTTCCCAAACACGTCCTGGCAATCGATGCCAGCGTGGCAATGCGAGCAAGGACTTCTTTGAACTGCTAGGATCTAAGTTGTGTGAATCCACGTGAAACAGGTAAAGAAAGCGGTGAGACGGCGTCAGTGACTAGTGCTTACCGAAGCTTCTTTTGCTTGTTTTAGTGTGGCTTATCCACTGGGTCTACAGTATTCTGTTTTTCTATCGAAAAGGATTTTGGGACTCGAGTGACTGACGAAAGGGGAAGGTCGCTTATTTCTTACTATCCCCAAAACATATAAAGGGGTTGTACCTGAGCTCTATTGTCTCACAATCAAGCGGGAGATCGTCACCAGCCTTATGGTAGTAGTGCGGGGCAAATCTATGTCCGTACGGAGTATGGAGCATAATCAGAGATATGGAAATCCATATCTCTGATTATTTTCGCTACATACTGGCGATAAGGGATAAGGACTGCTGGGGCAGGGGTGGGAGTCCATTATGTGGCAAGGCTCTTATCAGCACCTGAATATAGATTGCTGCCTAAGTTCACGCACCTCGTCGTGTGGTTTATAGAGCAGCTTGGCTGTGGTCATTTGTTGGCAAGCGTCCCAAGGCTGGCTCTGGCATTTCAACCTCATATCCCTTCACAACAAACCTTACCGTTATACTAGTCAGGTTACAATTATAATACCCACTCATAGGCAATCCATTTCCCCATGGCTGATCCTCTCACAGTAGTCGGCATTGTCGCCAACCTCGTTGGCCTCGTCGAGTTTAGCACGAAAGTCCTAGCGCGTCTCAACGACTTCCAATCCACCCTCGGGGAGATTCCAAAGGCCTTTCGACATATTAAAGCCGAGCTGCCAGTCCTGCAAGAGACGCTCAAACAAACCATAGACAAAATCGACCATGGTGCTATCAAAGACTCAACAAAGGCTGCACTGCTACCAGCCGTTCAAGGTTGCAAGATGCAGATTGAAGCGCTCGACGATCTGCTCGCCGAAACCCTACCAGTCGCAAGTGACTCTCGCCTCAAGAAGACTACAAAAGCCCTATGGAGTATAAAACAGGATAGCAAGGTTGAAAGCATTATGAAGACTCTCCGTGGTTATATCGGAACCCTTACATTCTACCACGCCGCTGCGTCTTCGACATTGCAACCAATGAAAGGTGTGTATCTACAGGATAAACCAAGCCTTGTAGCTAACAGGTAGTCACAGATACAAAGCTTGTTGAGATTCGTCGATGGCTGTCTTCACCCGATCCGTTGATCAATTACCGGAAAGCAATCGAACTCCGTCAGCCTGACACTGGGCTTTGGCTTTTAGAGGGCGAAGTATACTCTAAGTGGAAGAGAAATGCGTCATCCTTTGTCTGGCTGTATGGAATCCCCGGCTGCGGCAAAACTATCCTTAGCTCGACGGTCACTCAGGACATCCTTCTTTACTGTGCCAACGATCCTGGTAAAGTAGTTGCGTACTTCTACTTTGACTTCACCGATGCAGATAAGCAGAAACCCGAGCTTATGGTACGGTCGCTAATCTCTCAAGTCTCGGAACAATGCATTAAAATGCCGTCAGCCCTCGAGGCACTATACTCATCCTTGGATAAGGGAAATCGACAACCTTCTCTCGATGCACTGATGATCGTCCTACAGCAGATGCTTCAAGAGTTTCCACAGTCATACCTGATTCTAGACGCCTTAGATGAGTGCGCGGACCGATCTGAGCTGATGAGAATCCTCGAGCGGATGGCTGGGTGGCAGCTCGACAAAATGCGTGTCCTGGTTACAAGTCGGAAAATACGTGACATTGAGTGCTCACTTGAGGACATTGTAGACAGAGAGTGTATTATCTGCCTCCAACACCAAGTAGTAGACAAGGATATTCAAACTTATGTTCGCCAGAGGTTGTCCGAGGACAAGGGACTAAAAAAATGGCAAAAAGATGCTGAAATTAGGCGGGAGATTGAGACTACCCTTATGGAAGGATCTCGCGGAATGTAGGCATCTCATCCCCAGTGCAAATATGCCATATTCACATTCAGAAGGTTCCGGTGGGCTGTCTGCCAGATGGACGCATTAGGGAAGTGTCGCACTCGGGTAGCACTTCAAAAGGCACTAAAAGCGCTACCAACAACACTGGATAAGACATATGAAAGAATCCTGTGTACAATTAGCGACGAGGACTCAGAGTATGCCATACGCATCCTTCAGTGGCTGGCCTATTCATCTAGGCCGCTATCAGTGGAAGAGGTCGCAGAGGTGGTCGCTATCAACGTAGAGCGAGAGACTGCCTATGACCGGGATGAGGTCCTTGAAGACCCGATGGACGTTCTAGATATTTTCATGAGTCTTGTCTCAGTGGTTAAGACAGAAGTGCCTTTCTCGAGTCAACGGAATCGCCACTTGAGTACAACATTCCAGACTGTCACATTGGCCCATTACTCCGTTCAAGAATACCTCGTCTCCGCCCGCATCTGTGAGGGCCATGCCGCGAGATATAGCATGCGACCGGCTGCGTGCCATAGTTATATCGCAAAGGGCTCCATTGGTTATCTTCTCCAATTTGAAAAAGGATTGTTCGATCGTTTCGAATCTGCTGGGTCTCTCAAACAGGTATATAGACTAGCTCAATACTCAGCTGAGCACTGGTTAATCCATACCCGTAACGGAGAAGAGGGCGATAATCGGCTGAGTTATTTGGCCACGAAGTTCCTCTCCACAGGAGAGGGTGCTTACTTGAGCTGGCTTCGTCTATACGACCCAGAGAAATCATGGGATACGCCTAACTTTAGAAGAGGATTGGACTCATGTCCTAATCCACTGTACTATGCATCACTTGGTGCTATAGCTGACACCGCTAACCAGTTAATTGAGGAGGGCGTCGACGTCAACGCGCAAGGAGGACGATACGGGAACGCGCTCCAGGCGGCATCATGCAAAGGCCACGACAAGACCGTCGAGGTGCTACTAAGCAAGGGCGCCGACGTCAACACGCAAGGGGGACGATACGGCAACGCGCTCCAGGCGGCATCATTCGAAGGGCACAACAAGACCGTCGAGGTGCTGCTGAGCAAGGGCGCCGACGTCAACGCGCAAGGAGGAGACTACGGCAACGCGCTCCAAGCGGCATCAGCTGCAGGCCACGACAAGATCGTCGTGCTGCTGTTAAGCAAGGGCGCCGACGTCAACACGCAAGGAGGATTCGTCGGCAGCGCGCTCCAGGCGACAGCGGTGCTGCTGAGCAAGGGCGCTGGCGTCAACGCGCAAGAAGGACTCTACCGCAACGCGCTCCAGGCGGCATCAGCTGAAGGCCACGACAAGATCGTCGAGGTTCTGCTGAGCAAGGGCGCTAACGTCAACGCGCAAGGAGGAGACTACGGTAACGCGCTCCAGGCAGCATCAGCTAAAGGGCGAGACGAGATCGTCAAGGTGCTGCTGAGCAAGGGCGCTGACGTCAACACGCAAGGAGGAGACTACGGTAACGCGCTCCAGGCAGCATCAGCTAAAGGGCACGACGAGATCGTCAAGGTGCTGCTGAGCAAGGGCGCTGACGTCAACGCGCAAGGAGGAGACTACGGTAACGCGCTCCAGGCAGCATCAGCTAAAGGGCACGACGAGGTTGTCGAGGTGCTGCTGAGCAAGGGCGCCAACGTGAACGCGCAAGGAGGATTATTTGGCAACGCGCTCCAGATAGCATCATTCGAAGGGCAAGACAATACCGTCGAGGTGCTGCTGAGCAAGGGCGCTAATGTCAACGCGCAAGGAGGATTATTGGGCAACGCGCTCCAGGCTGCATCATCTAGGGGCCACAAGAAGGTCGTCGGGGTGTTGCTAAGTAAGGGCGCAAACGTTAATGCGCAAGGTGGGTATTTCCGCAACGCGCTCCAGGCGGCATCATCTGGGGGCCACAACAAGGTCGTCGAGGTGCTGCTAAGCAAGGGCGCCGACATAATGAGCAAGGGCGCTATGCAAGGTTTGCGAAGTTAAGTCTACCTCAAGCCCAACCCACCACCTTCCTATTAGTATTCCGTTATATATATTGATAAGATGTGATTATACTATCTGGTATCCAGAATACTGGGAATACTGCAAGGCCGTATTCACAGCCGATCCCAACGGAGCATGGGAGACCGAATACATACCACGATTTTTGGAGGTTGCTGATTGCTATGATGCTTGGAGCTATTATCCTCAAACTCTTGGATACTGAAACATTTTCTAGAGATAGCAGTGAATTGTGCTACATGTGCTGGGCACTTTCATTTCTAGGGAGCTGGGGGGGCGGGGAGGGCAGAGGGATATTATAAGAAACACTGCAATGGGGCTATCGTTTTGAGTGAATTAAGACTCATTGATATTCAATCAAAAAAATCGCATCAAGGAACATAAATTTTTGCTGTTCTTGTTCATCAGAAGAAATAGCTCGGCTTGAAACGAATGTCTTTGGATTCAAATATGATCCACACAATTTTCTAAACAATCATAGGTACCTGCCGAATTGGGGAGTCAACTTGTTCCACATGTACCGAAACCATTCCGACTCAGAGACTTGTCCCATGATAGCTGCACTTTGGAAACGAGCCTTGAACTCTGGGAAGGTTTCGCTAGCATGCCCCTTCTCTTCCATTTGCAGGTCGTCGAAGAGGTTTCTGGCCTGTTCCGTCTCGTTGCCTGTGAGGTAGTATGAACCTAGTAGATCCATCATCTCCTCATCACTGCGGAACCCATGCGTAGCGGACAGGTATTGGGGCTCTAGGTATGTCTTAGCCAGGCCGGTCATAGTTCCCCATATCAACGCTCTTCTCGAGACGTCGGTAAGGTATTGGTTCCTCATTGACTAAGAGTCGGTCCCGAATTGAGGCTCTCCATTGTAGGAAGGTATGTTCTATCCCATCGCTGAGCGGAGTGATTCTCTCCGAGATGGTAGATTTCTTATAGCGAGTCAGTGGGTCCTCGGTGTGCATTCGTGACGTGCTTGGGATCGATGGAGAACGAGTGTTCTGAAGAGGCGGCAATTGAAATGTTTCGGGTGTTTCGCGTGCGAGGCGTTCGTTGCTCCGTAGCTTCGACTGTGGGCATGGGGGCGTCCCCCGGCAGTGTGGACAGGATTCTGGTCTGGGCTGCCGTCAGGGTAACTAGTAGATCCTTGACCTCCTGTATCTGTGCTTCGAGGTGGGCCATTCAACTCGGGATGTCTTCGGATGGCACAGCGGTCGTAGCTGCAGCGGTGGTTTGTCTGGTAGTCATTCTGGGCAATTGACCGTCGTTGTCTTGGGGTATGTTTGATGTCAGCTTTTTCGACATATTGCCTAGGGTGTGTATCGGTACCGATACGAAAGAGCTTGACTTCCGGTAGCTTGTAGCTATCAACGCTCTTGTCCACAATTTCCTCTGTGCTAGGAGGGGGTTCTTAAGGATCTCGTATCCAATTTGGCGCCAACGTGTCGGGACTTTACCAGCTTGTTCTGAAGAATCAAACCCTGATCCACTGGCTGTCCGTGAGATCTCTGGAATCATGGCTATTTGAAGTCGTCAGGTCTCTCCTCCGAAACGTCACCGAGTCGCGGTCGATGTCGTAATGGTAGTTCTCCTGAGTCGTTCCGGTGTGGGATATTATTGAAGTACGACCGTCCCCAGCAGGCGTGATCTTTTTTTTATAATGTAAGGACACAGGGCACCCAGCTCACAGTAATAGCATATGAGAGTGGGAGTCAGAGGCTAAACGGATGCTATCCTATAGGTCTACTACGAAGGATACAAAAAATATGATGAGGAACCCCGTTGGGTCAGTCCCCTTAAGTACCCGAAACGGGTCCGACTCGGCTAACCTGCCCTAACTCTCCCCACGTGACCGTAACCTGCCCGACTCCGATCCCTTCCGTCACTGAGGGCGGAAGCATCCTTACAGATGGAGACGTGAAAGGGAAAGTAATCCACGCCATTGGCAGTCCTTTTACGGGCTACTAGCTTGAGATCAAGTAGTACGGTATTTCGGAGACTAAAAAATCCCATGAGAAGATCTCGCTCTGATCCATTGATGAGAGTTGGTTGCCCCATCTTAACTCCAAGGCCGAGGGTATTAAGCCTCCCGAGGTCAGCAAGAAGCCGTTGGATCCATTTGGAGTAAGTCAAGCCGTATTTTAAGATATATTTTAGATTGACAATTTCTTTTAGGGAGAGAATTGCCAGAACTGGCTTGAAAGTTATGTAGGTGTGTTAGTAAAGGATGGAGTAGTGCTGCAGTCGACTCGTGATGTCCTCACCAGGGCTCCTAAGATCTAACACTTGGGTCTGTTTTGTCAACAGGATTGTTAACTGGCGCAGCCGCGTCACGATCATCAAAAACCAATGGAATGGAGACTACCAGACCATGGTACGAGAACTTACCGCCTTCGACCAGGAACGGCGCCGGAACAACGAATTGAATCCGCTACCCGCTCTCGCAAGGACGTCCACACGTACCATGGATACGGCAAAGGCGTCGGCGTCGAAGCCGACTCGAGCCACACCCACTCTGTTCACCCGAACCACGTTCCTCCCCAAGCCAGCCATACCGGAACGTGTGAGAACCGCAGTCCCTGCGCCCTCAGGGAACTGTTTCAAGTGTGGCAAGCCCGGCCATTTCCAGGACAAATGCCCGCTCAACGCTACTGTCAAGGAAATCGACCGTAATGACCCCGAGGCAGAAGAACAATGGGAAGAAGCCGTGGAACTTCAATCGGATGCATCCCTCGAGGAAAACGACAAGGCCTAGGAGAATGCTCCTTCCTAGGTCTACACAAATGTGACCTGCGAGGACTAGACTTACGAGAACTCCTGGGAGGTACCCAGTTCTTAGTCGACACGACCCTGAGTATGAATGGACTCGGGGTGCAAACGAAGTCCCTAGCAGACACAGGATCAAATGGCTACCTCGTCATTAACAAGCCTTTTGCAATATGACTGTCGAAAGCGCTTCAGAGCCCCATACGGAAACTACCCTACTCTGTACCCATAGGTGGAGTTCAGCGCAAGATCCAAGGCCACGTATCAGAGTATATTCAGTTACACTTAACAGTCGAAGGAAGCCGGATATATAACTGCCCCTTTGTACTCCTGGACCTCGGAGCACAAGATGTGATAATTGGGAAGAAGCTTTTCAGCCGCTTCCGAATACTACTCGACTCTGCAAAGAGCCAGTTAGTATGGCCAAAGGAGTACCCGCCGACTCCTAGCTGGAGCAAGGAGATCACCTTGCCCTACTACATGCGAGAAACGTCCATTTGACATCCCGCCGGATGCGAATCGCAGGGATGCTGTAATCCACCGCGAAGACAGAAGCCGTGCAGGCGGATGCTCGATGAACATGAAAGTGATACCTTCAGGCTATGAAGAGATCACCGATATGCCACTGAGTCCTACCTGAAACCAAGAGGTTTCTCCCCCACTACTAGTGAAACTGGTACCTAGTTTCACACCCATATGGATATGCGAAATCAGTGCCAATGCATTCCATCACGAGATGATGCGAAGCGACTCTGAGTTCTTTCAGACTAGCATCTACGAAATTGACCAGATCATCCATGAAAAGGAGTTGGTAGAGGACGAAGAAACGCTTCCGCATATGCACCAGAAGTACACTGATGTTTTTTCGAAGTTGGAATCTGATCGAATTCCCCCACACCGCATATATGACCACAAGATACAGCTCGAAGCCCCTTTACCAAACGCTTTCTACCCGTTAAACTGACAGGGCACTGAAGAGCTTAAGACTACCAAGAAATACCTATTAGAGAACCTAGAGAAAGGCTTCATCGTCAACAGCAACAGCCCCTTCACGTCCCCTATTCTATTCATAAAGAAAGCGGATGGCAAATTGAGATTTTGCATCGATTACCGGAAGTTAAATGGCCTTACCCGGAACAATCACTACCCCATCCCGCGTATTGATGAACTACTAGGACGGATGTCAAAAGCAAAAATCTTCATGAAGCTAGATATCAGACAAGCCTTCCATCGCATATGGATGCACCCCGACTCAGAAGAGTCCACGAACTTTCGGACTCTCTATGAATCCTATAAGTGCAAAGTGCTGCCGTTTGGACTAACGAATGGTCCAGCAACCTATCAGCGGTATATGAATGACGTCCTGATGCAATATTTAGACGACTTCTGTACCGCATACTTAGATGACATCCTAATCTATTCAGAGGACCCTACGGAACACATAGACCATGTGCATAAGGTCCTACAGCATCTCCGAGAAGCTGGACTCCAAGCCGATTTGAACAAATGCGAGTTCAACGTCACCAGGACAAAATACTTGGGTTATGTTCTCACTACCTCCGGTGTCGAAGCGAACCCTGACAAAATCAAACCCCTTCGAAACTGGATCCGACCGACCACTGTTACGGGTGTGAAGTCCTACCTGGGATTCTGTGGCTTCTATAGACAATTCATTCGTAATTTTGGCAAAATAGCAAAGCGCCTCACCACCATCACTAGTCCCTCGGAGCCGTTCCAGTGGACAGACGAATGTGAGAATGCGTTCGAGGAATTGCGACGACAACTTTTAGCGGTACAGGCACTTCACCACTTCAACCCCGAATTGCCTATGAAACTGGAGACCGACTCCTCCGATGGAGTCGTAGCTGGTGTCCTCTCTCAAGAACACCCTGACAAGCAATGGTACCCCGTAAGCTTTTACAGTCATGTCCTATCCGGACATGAGATCAACTGGGAGATCCACGACAAGGAACTATTCGCAATAGTAAAGGCCTTCAGAAAATGGAGGCCCGAGTTGGCTTCGGTGCGCCACCGAGTGGACGTGTACACTGACCAGCGTTTGGAATATTTCATGTCTACCAAGGTTCTCACCGCGAAGCAGGTTAGATGGATGGAGCTACTCTCCGACTTCAACTTCTGCATTACGTACACCGCGGGCAAGAATAACCAGAAGGCAGATATTCTGAGCCGAAGAGACCAAGACTTGGTAACGCAGCAGAAAGTCAAGCTTGATAGTAGGGTGAGGGTATTGTTAGGTCCAAGCTGCCTGCACCCCCGAATCAGCACCGAACTCACCGAGAGCTACATAGCATCCATTAATTCGATGGACACCCTGAATCCCCAGATGCCTTTCGATTTAATAGAGGCTTTATGTGAGGACAACAGAGAGTCATTTCCAGAAACACGTGCAAAACACCTCCTACCTGACAGGTTCACGTTGAACGGCCGGCTTCTTCTATACAAAGGCCAGCTATGTGTAAATCGCCACACTGAGCTATGTATGAAACTAATCCGAGAAGCGCATGACCAGGTGTCGGTGGCACATCCTAGTGGCTGGAAAACCTATCAATTGATTGCCCCGAAGTACCACTGGGTCAGGATGGAAGCGGATTGTTTGCGCTATGTGAGTAATTGTGTGACATGTCAGCTTTCTCATACCAATGTCACCAAGCAAAGGGTTACTACACCCGCTGCCTGTACCCGAATATCCTATGCAACACCTCACCATGGACTTTAAGGAGTTCCTAAGGGACAAGCACAGATACGACAGCATCTTCGTGTTTATGGACTGACTCGGAAAGAGTTCAGTGACTATACCTTGCTACAAAACCACAACTGCCCGGCAAATGGCACAATTGTTCATCGAATGGATATACTGATTCGGACACACTCCGGAGTCAATTGTAAGCGACCACGGACCCCAATTCGTATCATCCTTTTGGCAGGAGATCTGTCGAATTATTGGCGTTAAGGTTAAGCTGTCGACTGCCTATCATAAGCAGACCGACGGACAGATCGAAATCGTGAACCGATACATCGATCAGAGACTGAGGCCTTTCGTATCTCATTACCAGGATAACTGGAGCGAACTCATCCCCATAATGGACCACGTGCAAATGACACTCCCCCACGCATCCATTGGCATGACCCCCTACTGACTCAAGTACGGAACCGATCCGCATATGAGTTGGGATTGGAACACCCTGAAAAGCACCAACCCCCGGGAGAATCTAAACCGAGATGAAGCCAAGGCAGTTGCAGACCGAATGCATACAGCATGGGTCCACGCAAAGGAAAACATGGCAAAGGCACAAGAGGAAATGTCTAAGCACACGAATCGACACCAAAGGGCCATCGACTGGGACGTAGGAGATATGGTGTACCTATCGACCAAAAATTTGGAGAACTCCCGCCCTAGCCGCAAGTTGGGCCAACAATGGGTCGAACCATATACAGTGTTGGAACAGATTGGGCACACGTTTCGATTGGAACTACCTACCGGTTCTCAAATACACGATGTGTTCTCACCTGACGTCCTCATGAAGGATCCGAACAACCCCCTACCTGGTCAGGATCCGCCTGAGCCTAGTGATAAATGGTGTAGAGGAATGGGAAGTGAAAAAGATCCTCACCGTGAGCCTCCGACGGAAGCAACTACAATACCGGGTTAGTTGGGTCGGACGATCCGGACCCAGAGTGGTACCCAGCGTCGAACTTCATGAACTCTCCCCATAACCTCAGAGAGTTTCACACGGAATACCCAGATTTACCAGGTCCACCTCGAGAACTACTCGGATGGGTTACGGCATGGGAGGCGGGCGAGGAACAAAACTACGATCATGCTCGGGAAGACAAAGCGGAAGAAACAGAGTCGTTACTATCTATGACTCTAAACTAAAATACCCTCTGAGCCAGGGTGCACTCACCACCGTAACTCTTGCGAGAGTCACCCTTCCCAAACGTCTCACTGGCGTCACAACAAGCGGCTACCACTGAGAGAGACGAAGGGTCGAAGCGACCCCATGCGAAGAGTCAGGTCCGAGTCCCCCCCGACACAGGGCCTCTCTCCATCCTACGCCCCATCCTCCTACACCCCATACTGGGCCCCAAACCCATCCCCCTCACCCTCATCACCCCCACCACCCCCCTTCTTCCTTCCCCCAGTGCAGTCTGGAACCATCGCGGTGACAGCGACGGCAGGAAGCCTGCCCACGGCAGCCACCACTTCCACCAAAAGAGCCAGCACACTCCCCTGCTCCGTCCGAAGACGGCGCAGTGACGACCGGATTTGCTAAACCGAATCAGCACTGAAATAACACAGGACAGGGGGATACTCATGGCCAGACCCGCCTCGAGGGTGGCGCGCGTTGCACGGAGCTCCTCGTAGGAGTCGCGCTCGGCAGCCGAGCGGAATTTCGGGACACTTTGGGCAGCCACAAGGGCCACCCGGTTTGCCTTTGCGGCAGCTGCTTTGATGGCGATGGGGTCTCAAGTGTTACAATGGTCATAGAGGTCATGATGCCAGTCCAGCAAAAGTAATCTAGATTGAATCTAAAGCGAGAAGAAGAAGAAGAAGGAAGGAAGGTGAGGCTATTCCTCATAACATACAGTTGTCTGCTTAGCGGTTGTAACCTTGGTGGCTAAGGCTACACCCGTAATCTCCATAACAACCATAATAACTGTAATAACCGTAATAACTGTAACAACTGTAATGTCATACTGACATTCATTGCACTCAGTTTGCTATCAAACTCAAGAGCAAACTTAGAAATCTCCTCCTCAAACCTACAAGTCACTATACATATTTTGGCTGATCACACCAACAACAAGAGCAATACTACTCAACGATTGCTACAACCCTCTATGATTCATTACACATCATTGCTCCTTAGTTACTGGGCCGATATGACCACATAGCATATCTCTACAACCCTCTATGATTCATTACATGACATCACTCCTTAGTTACTGGGCTAATACTACCACATGACATATCTCTATCAACTAGAGGCCTAGGAACATAAACGATAGCTCCAAAAGCTTCTACAACTGTCTATGATTCATTACACGTCATTGCTCCTTAGTTACCCACAAGATTGGTTAAGTTATGACATAATCTGTCTATAGGGGTACTCTGATCTTGGACCTCCTTTCACTTCCTATAGGCTAGGAACCTAGGAGATGGTTGTATGGGATTCTCTTATGTCGACTACAGTTACCAAGCCTGGTTAAGTCATGGAAAGTCTTGGAAAATGAGAGAACTACACTCCTTTAGCATAAATAGGATTGCCCTTTCCTTAAGAAAGGGCAAGCAGACAATGCAGTAAATCGACTATCACATACTTCCACGTCTTTTCCAAGCTTCCAAGCATTGATCTTGTTAGTCCTTGTTTCTGAAAAGTCAGTGAGGTGCTAACCTCTGACTTATCCCTGAGTTTAGACAAGTTGTAACAAATGTTGTAACAACATTTGTTACAACTTGTCTAAACCACTCCACTAGATCATACACCTGATTGCTGCGTTGTAGAATAGTCTAAGCTATGACCCTTTGGCTCTGCTACGCTCTGGCACTCATTGACGACCTTCACCAACTTTCGAATTCACTCACTTCACCCAATCTACGCCCCAAAACCCTCCAGCTCTGCTGAATATATTTGTTACGCCTAATTGCCGCCATGGAGAAGCACTTACATCGATCTTAACCTCACCCAAGTGAATTCAAGGTAAGAGATCTCTTCAATTTCCTGAACATGTACAGAGGCATGGTACTAACTTGGCACAGGTTCACTCCAATATGTCAGACCTTACATCGGCCTCAAAATGCGTCAAGACGCAAGGTGGGAAGCTTGACGACGCCCAAAGTGGCAGCAGTCCAGCCCTAGGAGTGGCAAGTGGCCCGTTCTATACATGTACACAAGAAGACTAACGTGACGATAGACTCCCTCAAATGGTAGACGAAAGCGAGTCTCAGCATCACAAGGTCAATCCAAGATGTGGGGTGTAGGTAGCCCGTTACTAAACGTCCTATCCCGACTCTCTGAGGCGACTGTTGCTGGTTATTTGGGTTACTCAGATGCAGTGCATCTGCGCCAGTTGATGTGGTCGTACCTAGTGATGAAAGGGGCAATGGTTTTTGAGACAGTTTTGAAGAACCAGCTCCAGGTGCATGCAACCTCAATACTAAAGGCCTCTATTGAGAATCCAGAAGAGTACGATTACGAGTTGGATCTTAGTACACTCATTGCCAGTTATAATCTCCGTAGCGAGGAAGAGAAGGCAGATCAAGAGGCAATAAACCTGGCGCAGAAAATCCTATTTGCAGGTACAATTCACCATACTGCCAATGCTCTTGAAACACTTGAGTACTTAACCATTGAGGATGCTCAACTTCAAGCTGATTTCACCTATCACTGTGTCAATAACACCAAGATTAAGGCCTTCAAAGTCCCCCAGTCTAATAACTCAGCTCTGCTTTGCCCGACCCTTGGCCCGCTTTCACAATTTGGCGAGCACCCTATGGAGAGATACTGTCGGGCCTACACATGCATCAGATACCTTTGTACCAGACAACCGCCTCTAAATTTGCTGCTACTACGACAAAGGTCGGGAAGAACACATACTTTGCACCTAGCGAAGTGACTTCAGATAGGCTCCCAGCTTGGATGAGCTAGGACACGGTGTTGGAGATCCCAGGGGCAGAGGCAATGATCTTATGCACCAATACAAGCCTGCGCCCAACCAAATTTCTCTCCGGTTTGTTCGTGAAGATGGCACTGACAATGACGACAAATTCACTGATCATATCAACACCTTCCTCCGGCGCCGCAAGATCCTTCTACAAAAAGAGGACACTACCTACCAGCACGATATAAGTGAGTTCGATGTCGGGCCTCAATGGCATGACCACCTACGACACATGTTGTTGCTCCCTCGCCTCTGGTGTGATTTCAGCACCTTGATGTTATTCTCACTTAACGAGGCTATAGCAATCGAGCCAGGCCCTGTACCTGTTCCAAAGGAGGGTCCGTGGACTATCTACGATAACGACAATCCTGAACAAGTAATTCCCTGGACTGACGTTCAAAAGATCCTACAAGCTGGGGCCAAGTTTCCGATTCAATATGCCCTCAAGGTAATTGATACCAATGAGGATGGTCCATATCCATTTGAGTTTGATGGGGGACCTATGCAGGTGCGCAGTAACATTGCTATTGCTACTGCTAGTACTGTGTCTACTGCAATCCGGGATACTATTATGGCAGACGAACCTGACAACACTAGACCTCAACCTATGGAGAGCCTGGCATTAGATGACAAACCCCAGTGTGAGAAGGGAAAGGGGCCCAAAACCACAGAAGCCGCTACCACCACCCCCTCATATCTAGAGGGAGTCCTGTCTGGGGCGAACACACACGGCATTTGAGGGGCTATAACCCCAGATAAGTTATTTGGTGACAGCAAATCTACATCCTCTCTTGCATGGCATTTAGGCGTGGATGTTTCCACGCCTACAGGAATCGATACTTTTATTCGAAAGGTCATTGGGACACTTCGGGTTGCAAATGTTACACCCAAAACAGCCCTTAATTTAGCTGGTCTTCCAGGTAATGTGAGAGAAGAGATCCAGGCCGGCCTTGCTGCAGCTACAGAGACCACTCTGAATGCAGATGTAAGCTTGCCTCTATACATGTACAGAGACCCCCCATAATTAACATCATTCTAGGTTGGCGGAGTTCAAGAGGATTCAAATTTTGAGGACTATTACAAGACGCAAAAGTTGTTTGCTGAAAATGAATCCCATACAGGCCCTCCTCTCGATGCTTGTTTGGAAATATCCCAGGCAGTATTTGACTCCTGGCATGACCAAAACCAGATCCTAGCGAAGTACAAGCTGAACTCGCTCCCAACAGTTAAAATGCGCCCATTAGGACACCAGATTACCGGTTTTCTCTGGATGATTGTGAAGGCTTACGGGTATATCTGTGCTCCAACGGAAGAGGCTCAGGCTATTGCCGAAGATTTGCTTACCACACGCACCTTATTCTAGCTCCAGCAGGACCAGTTATTTAGCAATGGCGCCAGGATATCATCAAACACTTCAAGGGAATCAACCTAATTCTAGGATACAGAGACTCACCACCAGACGGGGCCTCGTCGTTAAAGTGGATATCATCAAAGGGGATGAGAGATTACCCCAAAATGGCAAGCATTCCTCGAGTTCTCCGGTATATCTTTGACACGAACAATAAGTCGGCTGCCAAGATGGTAATCCTCACGTCATACGACACACTGTCTGCAAGAACTATTCAGAAGCCCCGTCGTCAGCCAGGTGACGAAGATAGGCCTATCCAGCCTTCGGAGTGGACAACTAAATGGAAGGGAGTTTTCCACACCATCATCCTAGATGAAGGGCATAAGGTCTGCAATTCCTTGACGCAGATCCACGTTGCAGTGGCAAGGTTATGTGCAAAACACCACTGGTTTCTAACTGGTACTCCAGTCCAGAATCAAAGCCTGGTAAGTTAACACATTCCTATAACGTACATGTATAGCGAAAGCGCCAAACAAGCGAAAGCGCCAAAATGATGCGGTGACCAAACCCCCCAACTAAATGTTAAATTCCTCAACAACAAAACATGCCCCATAAAAACGATGAAAGCCAATTAGTGCTAGCTATCCAGGCTATGCAAAGCGACCCAAAGTTACGCCTTCGAGTTGCTGCTAGGATCTATTCTGTGGACCACCGCAAGCTAGGTCGTCGTCTAGAAGGTGTACCTTCACGACGCGATATCCAAGCCAACTCACGGAAATTAACTAACCTAGAGGAGTCCGTCCTTGTTCAGTATATACTCGACCTAGCTACCAAAGGGTTTCCTCCTCGGCTGTCTGTTGTTGAAGATATGGCAAGTCGACTACTTGCAACATGCGACGCGTCACGCGTTGGGTCGCGTTGGGCTTCAAACTTTGTTAAGCGGCGTGTAGAGCTCCAGACACGCTTTCAGCGCAAATACGACTACCAGAGGGCTAATGTAACACTGACTTCTAAACGATAGAAGACACAGAGGTTCTCTTGCGTAAAGGTTTACTTATCAGAGGAGGCAGGGGATCGGACACAAAGGCTTCAAGTAACACGTTACTAGTATATAACAAATACTGTATTGAGTTGAGCACGAAGCTCCTATCTAAGGAAATACTATCTACTTATATAGTGGCGTCGTGCCTACTGGACTCTTGGGAACTCACTTGAGTCCTTGGAGTCCTGGACTCTTAGGACTCTTCTCATCATCCTGCGAGTCCATCACGTGCCTAGTGGACTCCTGGGAACTCACTCGAGTCCTCGGGGTCCTGGACTCTTAGGACTCTTCTCATCATCCTGCGAGTCCGTCACGTGATACTTTCGGAACTACTATTCCCCGCTGCCCCTCCAGGTAGCAGGGCCGGTCTCATGCGACCTCCCTCCTTCCTGTCCTGTAGTTGGCCAGCCTTCTTGTTCCGTCGTAACACTCGCTCCCTTCCCCTGGGCATTCGTCTCGAATCCTATAAGTACGTCCATGTCCCCGGGACTCTGCTGCTCCTCAGCGAGTCCTTCAACATGCAACATGCCTACTGACACTGCCCGCAAACTCCAGGAACGCAACGATCTTGTCCGTCGAATAAAGAACCACGGATACGAACTACCCGAAATGGATTCTTGCTCGAATTGCGTGAGGCGAAACATTACTTGCGTGTCGTCTCCAAATGATTCACGGCGGTGCGCCGAGTGCGTTCGTCGCAACTTGAAAGAAAAGTGTGACTGTATGGGTCCTGAGCATCCCGACTGGGTGAAGCTCGAACGGGAGGAGGATCGCCTGGATCGCGAAGAGGAAGAAACCCTTTCGAAGTTACTTCGTCTGCGGAAGCAGAAACGCCTCATCCGAACCCGTGGTAAAGATATGCTCCGGCGAGGTTTGAAAACCCTCGACGAGCTTGATGCGGCAGAGGAGGCCGAACGTGTGGCTGCTGAGAAGCGTGACGCTGTTGAGGCCGAGGAACAGGCAGTTAGCGCTGCCTCCTCATCTGTGACCGGGACCCCCGCTTCCTCCGATCCACTGGCCTACTCCCCTGCATCTTGGGATCAATGGCTGGCGGATGGCGGCGTCGATATTCCTCCAGCAGTTCTTTGCTGATGTTCCTTGTTGGTTCCCATGAATTATCCGTAGGTTCGTAATTTTCCCATTTTATCAAAAACTCTTCTCGACGTCCTACTAACCTTCTGTCTAGGATCGCTTCGACCTCATATTCGATTATCTCATTCTCGGGTTGGAGTTCGGTGTCGGTCGCAACTGGGGTATTTCCTCTTGCTGGTTCCAGTAGTGAGACATGAAATACCGGGTGTAGTCTAGACTTCCTGGGTAGCTGCAGTCTGTAATTAACTGAGCTGACTTTGTTCAATATTTTGAATGGTCCCAATTTCTTGAAGTCCAACTTTGTGCTTGGTCGTTTCGTTTTGATATGTTTCCGGAGTAGGTATACTTTATCCCCCTCCTTGAAGGCAGGTTCCATACTGCGCTTCTTGTTTGCGTATGCGGCGGATCGTTCATTTAAGAATTGGATGTCCGTCACAAGTTGTTCGTGGAACGATTTCAGTTGTTCCACCACGATCAGGGCTTGTTCAGCTCGTGATTCATCCGGTCTTGGTTGCCTATATGCTTCTGGCTGGTAGCCATAATTGGCAAAGAACGGTGAGACTTTCGTTGCTTCTGTCATCGCGCTGTTATATGCAAACTGTGCGATGGGTAAGATCTGAACCCAGTTATCCTGTTGATGATTGACATAGCTTCGCAGGTACTGTTCAAGGGTCTGATTTAATCTTTCTGTTTGGCCGTCTGTCTGGGGATGAAAAGCTGTTGATAGCTTATGATTTGTTCCCAGTAGCGCCATCAATGATTTCCAGAATTTCGAAGTAAAGAGCTTGTCTCTATCTGAGATGATTTCTTCTGGCATCCCATGATCGGCTAATATGACTCGAATGAAGGTATATGCGAGCGCCTCGGCGTCGCTAGCTTCTAGATATGGTATAAACTTCCCATATTTCGTGAGTCTTTCCGTGATGACGAGGATAGAGTCATATTCTATTCCTGTTAACGGGTCCTTGGAGGGTGGAAGCTTGACGATGAAGTCCAAAGCTATTGATTTCCACGCTCCTTTTGGTACTGGTGTCGACTTGAGTTGTCCGTATGGCAGATGCCTATTGGATTTTGACTTGCTGCAAATGTCGCACTCTCTTACCACTGTCTCTACCTGCTTCCTCATACCTGGGAAGTAGTAGTGTCGAGTGATTCGTTCGAAGGTTCGTGTTACTCCCTGATGACCGTGTGCTGGTAACGAGTGTTGTTCTTGCACCAGCGGGCGTCTCATTTGACTTGGGACATACACTAACCCTTTGTATCGAATCAATCCTTGTTCGTCGATGGCGAAGTCGCCTTCAACTTTGGACAAGACTCGCTTGGCGCATTCGTCTGTTGCGTAAGCTTTCTTGAGTCTTTCCTCGAGTTCTGTATCTTCGATGACTGAGATCGTCGCTAGTAACTCGTTGTACTGTATTCCTGCATCTGTTTTCTTCAGAATTGCTCTAGGTCTTTCTTTCTTTGGGCCGGCGTAGTCGGTCCGTCTGCTGAGAGCATCTGCTCTTGCATTCTCGGAGCCCTTGCGATAGGTTATCGTGAAGTTGTAGGCTGCGAGGGTTTCTGCCCAGCGGACTTGTCTGCGGTTTAAAACCTTGGTCGTGGTGAAGTATATGAGGTTCTTGTGATCCGTCCATACCTGCACAGGGTAGGTGGATCCCTCAAGATATACTCGCCACTGCTCAAAGGCAACGACAATAGCCAGTAGCTCCTTGTCGTGGATGTCGTAATTGAGTTCCGCGGGTGACAGTTTCCTAGAGTAGTACGCGATTGGTTTGAACTTACCGTTCTCGTCTGGTTGGTTCAGACATGCTCCAATTGCGAAGTCAGAAGAGTCCGTTTCGAGGATGATCTTCTTTGCAGGGTCAAATGTAGCAAGGATAGGTGCTTCCGTGAACTTCGTCTTAAGTTCCTGGAAAGCAGCCTCTGCCTTGTCCGTCCATTTGAATTCGAGATCCTTTCTGGTAAGCTCCGTGAGTGGTTGAGCTACCTTGGAATATCCCGAGATGAATCTTCGGTAGAAGTTGGCGAAGCCTAGGAAGGCTTGCACTTCCTTGACCGTGGTCGGTGTTGGCCATTCCAACACTGCCGTTACTTTTGCTTGGTCCATCTTGATGCCGTGCGTTCCAATAATGTAACCCAAGAATTCGACTTGGTTTTATGGAACTCGCACTTCTCTGGTTTGAGGAGTAAGCTGCACTCCTTTAGTTTCTTCAGGACGAGTTTGACATGATTGACATGCTCCTCCTTGGTTGCTGAATACACCAGGACATCGTCTAGGTAGACAATGGTAAAGATGTCTAAGTATTCGTGCAAAGCATCATTCATCAGTCGTTGCATAGATGCGGGTGCGTTTGTTAGCCCAAAGGGCATGACTTGATACTCGAATAGGCCATAGCGGGTGCGGAATGCTGTTTTCCACTCTTCCCCAGCCTTGATTCGGATCAGGTTGTATGCTCCTCGCAGATCTAGCTTACTGAAGATCTTTGCTCCTTGAAATCTATCATGTAGTTCGTTGATTAACGGCAGGGCATACCTGTCCTTGATTGTGATGTTGTTCAACGCTCGATAGTCCACACATAACCGTAGGGAGCCGTCTTTCTTTGGTACGAAAAGCACCGGACTTCCTGCTGGTGATGTGGATGGTCTGATGAATCCTTTCGCTAGGTTATCATCGATGTACTCCTTAAGTACCTTCAGCTCCTTTTCCGATAGCTGATATATTGGTCCGAACGGTGGACTCTTGTCTTTCTCCAAAGGTATCTCGTGATCCCATGGTTGGTGCTTAGGAAGCGCCTCGTTCTTAGGGCCTTCCTGGAATAATCGCTCGTATTCCTTGTACTCCACCGGTATACTCGTCGGTGAGGATGCCTGGGCTAGGTCA